AAGAAGTAGCTTAGTAATAAGCAAGGAATAAATCGTTAATAAAAGAGATAAATAGTGAGATATAAAATAGAGAAAATATAAGCAAGTATCTGAACCACGTTCACCACAGTTACGCACGCTCAGAGGATTTCAGAAGATTTATTTTTATTTATTTATTGTATTTTATTCAATTATTAGGAATAGAGAGTTCCATCGAAAATACTTGAGAGCGGCCATTGTAAGACTTACAACTTATCCGAGCAGCATTGTGCAAATGCCTAGAAGGAATATTGACCAGCTGTAAACATTTTATGAAGAATTCATTCTTACTTGTTTGTGATAGTCTGTGATAACTAGATTATTACAGTATTTATGTAAGATGATATACTTATCACAATCAAATACAAATACATTTGAGATCTGATCACTCTTGAGTCGAGAGCAAAGTTACTTGTTTATAATGTTAATCACATTAAAAGAAAACTTAAAGCCCAACTTGATTGTGATTCCTGTGCAGCCAATCAGCCATGCAAGGTAAGGTTGAGGGTCATGCGGTTGGATGGGATGGTTGGAGGGTGTGTTGGCCACGTAGATGCTGTGGGACAACATTCTCGTCGCATACATGTTATAAGAAATTAACTTAAAAAGTCATTTTGCAGGCAGGCAACGAGACTGCGAGACAGCTAAGGAGGCAGCGAAATGGAGCAACAGCGCGAATGAGAATGAGAAAAAAGGATTAATTGCATGGAGAGTGCTGCACGAAGCTGAGGGCATGACATCATCGGGATATGTGGCAACGGCGATGGCAACACGGCACTGAATATCCTGGCTTTTCCATAAGCCATTGACTTGCACATCTGCATCCACATCCACATCCACATCCGCATCCTTTGCCAGGACAACACACACACACACACACACACACACCAATGCAGCCAGGCAGACAGCGGCTGAAGCATGTGCAACTCGGGCATGTGTGGAGTATTTTTTAATAGTGTTTCGTGTGCCTCATGGCGTTAATTTATGCCACAAAATCATTTTCTTTTATACACGCAGCCACATGCAAAATAAAAATTAAAACTGAAATATGAAATATGAAAAAGGCGAAAAAAAGACAAGAAACATGCAAATTGCGTTGCAGCGCCTTCGGCGACGAGTCGCAGTTTATGTCAAGTGAAAAATGAGTGCGAACTATGACATGAAATATGAGCGCATACCAAATGCAACAAACCCCCTTCATCTCCTTAACCAGCCCACACACCACCATTTATTAGTGCGCTTTGAAAATGAAATAAAATAAGACATAAACAAGTCAGAGTGCTCTGAACGACTGTGCCCGACCCGCAAATATCTTGCATCCAACTCAGATCTGCCAAACTTAATCGATTCACAAAAGCAATGCATTTTTGATCAAAGCTGAAAATCTAGATTAATAATATTTTTCTAGATTCTAAATAAAGAATCTACATTCTCTAGGCGCCAAGGGTTACTTATCCTATTATTCGGAAAGTGGATTTCTAAAAGGGAGGTTTGATTCTTTCTAAATCTTAATACAAGGTTATTTCAAAAATTTCAAAAAATAATATGTCCAAGTTCCAGGATGCTTACAGGGTATGCAAAAATTGAAGCGCGGCTTATTATTGAGTGCTATTAGCTCATATGTCAAGCGAAAATCAACAGCGAAATTGAATCGAATACAAAATCGTAATAAAAACACATTAATACGAAAAATGTGGAAAGAGAAGAGCAGCCTGATAAGCAACTGTATATTAAAAAATGGGAAATACAAAATACCCAGAAGTATGTGTGAGTGTATATATATATATACATATAATAATATTAAATGTGTTATTTTGATTTACTAGCCCTGCATCGACTATCAAATGCGAATTCGTGCGAATATAAACAATTTCAAATAGTTCAAATCGCCATCGGAAGTTCACAGCAGTTGCAGCCTGACCAACTGCGAAGCACAGACAACCAGACAACAAATGTTGTGTAATCTAAGACGTAGTTGATTCAATTGAACCAAGCCTGTATAGTATATTTAATTAGAATCTATGTATATATAGTGTATACTTTATGTATATACAGAAATATATTTTATTTCAAGGCCGTCGTTTCATGTTCAAAGTCAATTTTCGTTTTCACTGGCACTGGAGCAAGTTGACTAAATTAGGGAATTGCAATTTTACTGCAATATACACATGTTGTACGAGTGTGGGTGTATCTGGAGGTTATCGAGAGTGACAGTAATGGATACGAGTAAATAGCAAAAGAGTATAACCCCATTATTGAGGGTATTATACTATTTTTTCAGACTTGCAACACTTTGAAGGATATGTCTGTGATTCCATAAAATATACTCCATAGCGACTCCATAAAGTGTATTTATTACTTATCTGCAGCTGAGTCGATCTAGCCATATTTATCTGTTCGTCCGTCCGTCAGTATGAACTAAAGGATCTCAGAACTAGACTCTTTAAATTTGGAATGTCAGCTCTCTATAAGTACATGATTAAATACATGCGTTGTCCTAGTTATTTTCATGGAAATGAGAGCACCGAGTGAAAATTTGTCGCTGAGGGGGAATTTGGCAATAAATCTAAAATAATATATATATAATAGCTGGGTTCAGAGTATCTGGTAGTCGATCTCACTCGATGAAAGCATTCTTACTCGTTTTTGTTATTATTTGGTTGGCATGCACATCTCAAAAGATCTCTCAAGGCATTATTATAGTTTATATTGCCCAGCTATATAGAACAAAGAACTTACAGTGTAAACTTTAGTTTTAGTTTTAGTTTTTTCTCTAAAAAATGCTAATATTTTTAGCTCTTAAAATGACATCCACTCACTCAACGAGTTGCCTTGGCTTAATTCATTCAACTCACTCGCCTAGAACGATTTCATATTTTGCGCCCACACGTTTCCAACTCAACTGTATATAACGACATGAAATAAACATTGAAATATTAGCGCAAAACTAAAATATTATTTATGGGATAGACAAGCCTATACATCTGAGAGCCAGACACGAGTACGTGCCTCTGCTGTCATATAAATCTTTCGAACGCCAATGTTTAGCAAGGACGTTTATTTTAACAAAATCAGAATATCAGAAGCAATATTTGTATGTACAAATTCCAAAAGACACTTAGAAAATACGATTGAATACTTGAAATATACGAGAATCAAACTGTTGTCAGACCTAACCAGCGTTGAACTTGACACTGAAACCCAAATCGTAGAGATACGCGTTGACGTCTACATATATAATAAGGTTCTTTATATGCATATACTAAAGTATATTTAGAGATTACGCCCAAGACTGATCGGATCCAAAGCTCTGTACGGGCACGCCACTGATCCATTGACACGTGACAATTGCAAACACAAAAATGTAAACATAATGATGATGATGATGATGAAGATGACATCATGATCACCATTTGGAGAGCATTCTGGTCATATATCATCGCAGAGAGTGGATCGCTGATAAGAGCCGCCACGGTTGACCTAGTTGGCAACCTTTGTGTCTCTTTTGCTACCTATGATTCAGCACTCGAACACAAATACACGTTCTTACATAACCCGTGGAATATTTTCATATACTCAGGAAAACAATCCCCCTCAATCAATTGTAGAAAATCGACATATGTTTTTTGCAAAGGGTAATTCACCGTACTATTCAAAAAGTATATTTCTAAAAAGGAAGGTTGTGTTTTTCTACAATCCACCGATATTTTTCTTAATTCACGATTCATTTTTTTTAAATCAATCAAAAAAATTTCTAAATATTAGGGTATCTTTTACGTGTGTATTTTGCATGTGTTTTCTAAGATTTTCTATTTTATTACTTGTATTATTATAAAACATAAGTATTGAAAATTTTCACACACATACAACCATTTTTGATAGCTTATAAATTCAAATAATTAAAATTTTAAAAATTTTCTAAATATCATAAACGATTTTTTCTACAAATATGGGTTTGCATTTCTTCTTTTCCGAAAAATATTTTCTATTATTAAAATAATACATTACGAAAAATAAAATCGAATTAGAAATTATTTCTAAGAAAGAAAATCTTTTTGTTTTCAGGATTATCCAGAGCGACTTTTTTTCTTAGTGTATTATTCCTGTGAAAGTCAAGAGAGAGAGAGAGAGAGAGACAATTTCAGTGTAAATAAGTTTGCGCATGCAGATTAAAGCAATTTCTGAGAAGCGAAATATAATTGAGTATTTGACTTTACTCACCATAGTTTTGTCATTCAGATAATACCAACAGTCTCAGCAGGTGGAAAAAGTCGCGATCATTTTTGTCTCCTCGGAAATTCTTATCTATAATTTAAAATTTACATACATAGCCTTAAGCAAAAATAAATATTTGAGTTCAAGCCATCAACAGCGTTCAACTCATGCACTCAGTTAAGTTAAGACCTGGAAAATCATTAATAATATTATCTCAAACGGAAATGTGAACGTGTTTGAGTGCTCATTTGTATAACTTGTTTTATTATAACATTTAAGATATTATATATTATATATTATAAGTTATTATTGATTTCTAGAATACATATTTAAAAAGAATACTCCATTAGACAATTTACCTTTGATGACATATTGGAAGCAAAAAATCGAATTTTGCCAAGGGCTAAACAATGTTCTTTCTACTACTTACGGCTTTTATACCACTCACTTTGGATCTGTCGATAAATAGCGTTAAATTACGGTCTCTTAATTAAATTGCATCATAGGAGAGCCATTAATAATATTAGCACATTTGGACACAGCACACTTGGACCATCCAATTAAGGCAGTCCGTCCCAATATTGTAAATCATGTGATAGACTCAAGGGCCTTGAAATGAACACAAATAAATAAATGAATGGGCCATTCAATTAAAATTGGTGTCCCAATCGTTTATGAAAGAGCTAGAAAAAAATTGAAAGAAGTATGCTCAACAATGGGTCATTCTGTAATAACGAAATAATAAATTGATAAAATCTTGTATAACAATGAAATCAGCAATCAGATAAGTGACTTTTGAATATAGATTGCTAAAAATATTTACAGTGCATTTTATTACAACAATCGAAATATTTTTATATACAAAATATGGGTACAACATATAAATAAAAATATAGATAAATATAGTCTACAGTTGACATGTGTATGTTCTGATTGATTTATATAGATTATATATTACTACACAAATTGGCTAAACCAAAACACAGCAAACTTCTCCATTATTGCAGTCATTGCCCGGTCTTTCCAGGTCTTTGTTGCACCTTTCCATGCATTCTCCCGAGAAATGCGAACACGGCGCTGGCTTAACCGAATCTGGAGCGGCATCGGAAGTATTTGCGGTAGGCACACACACATAATAACAAGCATAGTTATATGTGAGAGACAGTATTTTAGGGGTAGAGGATGAGCAGTCCATGTTAGTACATTTTTGTTGATCGCAATTGATGAAAAGGACAAATAAAAATAAAAACAATATGTGAGTACTTCAAGCAATACCAAATGAATCATGATAATGATAAGCTTTGAGAGTCTATAAGTTGTCTACTCACACTCAAAGCAACACTCCACACCGTACTTCTTGTTGGTGGGACAGAGACCCTCGTAGGATGTGCGCTTATCACAATCCCTAGTCTGGATACATAAACCTCCAAGTTTCACACATTCTTCTTCATGAGGCAGATAAACACGCACGCCCTCATGCACTATAAGTTGGGGTTTAGACATATATACATTTAAATATATATATATATATGTATATATATATTTAGTATCATTATCAGATGAGACTTACTAAAGAATTTTGGATCATTATCGTTCACTTCGTTTGTCTCGATATCCGCACAGACAAATTGCAGCATTATAGCTGACACTAAGCACAGGCCAAGAAATATGCTCGTATTTGACATTTTCGTTATTTTACGATTAGTATTAATATGTATGTAGTATGTTATTGAATATTTATATGGAAATATGTTTATTGTCACAGCGTGTAAAAAAAGTAATCCACACAATCGAACGGTTTGTGTAGCACTGAGCAAAACTAAATTCGCTCCAGATGCTTTTCAACGAAAAATTATTGTCGAACAGAAACCATCAAACAACGTCAGCGGGCCGCAACGTTGTTTTGCAAAACTCGACGAACGATCGGTAAATGAGACAAGAGGCAACCACGACAACAACAACAACATATAGCAACAACAGCCAGCAGCCAGAGAGTCGGGCAGAGTCGGACGCAGCAGAGAAGAGACGAGAGGAGGCGAGCACAGATGAGCAGAGGAGAAGGTCGGAGAGAATGGTTTAAATGGGCAGCAGCAGCAGATAGCAAATAGTAGTGTTTAATGCGGGCGCTCAGTTCAATTGAAGAGCGTGAGAGTCATTAATAATAATATTGGCGCGTTTTGCAAGCACACGATTGATCATGGAAACCCCGACATGATGACGAGTGGCGCATAAGAAATCAGCCGGCAGTAGCCAACAGGTAGAGGCAGCCCCCCCTCCCCCTACGGAAGCCCGGTACTCAAACCCAAAGCCAAACACGATCCAAAATAAAACATAATTCATTTGTTGTTTGTTATATTCACGCGCTCTGAAAAGCATGCCAATAGCTTAATGAATGGCCCATCAAGCATTTAGATTCAAGTAGTATTTATGCGCCTCTTGGTTTATTTAATGGCAACAACGAGTGGACTGATCGACTACAACTGACCCTGTCAGCAGTCAGCCCGGATATCAAAAGTGTGCCTACAAATTTGTGGTTGAAACTCAATTTTATTTATGAATAAACTAAATACAAGTGCAATTTTTGAATTTTAAATTTTATATTTAGAAATGCCAGATTCTCCATAGTTACATAATATTGCACAACTTTATGATTGCCTATCTGGTCATTTCTTGGCTTAAGGGGTATTTGCGAAGCCAGGAAAAAGCGTCAGTCGTAAAACAAATCCAGAGGTAAGACTTCTTCATGATTAACCGCATTTATCGAGGCGGAACGTGATTTAACTGCATATAATGCAAATGATCTGGTTTTGCTCCCGCTAAGATAATCTGTGCATGTGTATGTGTGTGCGTGTGTGTGTGTGTTTATGCGTGTGTGTTGTGTTGAGTTGGGGAAACAATCTGTAGTTGTTATCAGCTGCAATGGATTTCGTGTGTCAGCTGAGTGAATTTTTGTTTTTGGAAATTTTAGCAATGTACGAAAATAATAATTTAATTATAGCTCGATGCTAAATTAAGCACATAATTGGTACTAGAACGTTCTGTGTTAAATATATTTTATTTTCAGTTAATAACAAGAGTTCTGCTAATTACAGGCCTTCAGTATTAAAAGTCTCGTATCGCTCACAAATCAAAACTACACATTTACTTGACAAATAGAAAACAAAAATTAAAAAACAAATAAAATGTTCTGTTGCACAAATCTCAACATTATCAAAAGCGATTTCGACCATGAAATCTCATAATCTGAGTAGAACTTAAAGAACGTTCATTGAAAATCCCCGACTTTAGTCATCGCCTCTGATAACAAACAGACATGAGTGCTTTCATGCTGGAGAACAGCAAATTATTCATATTATTTTGACTTAAACTTATGTAATCGTGAAAATTGTTAACAAAACGGAATTCTGAAGTTGCTTCATTCAACTTGAACACCTGTCGTCAATTTATTGTCAACAGCTTAAGCTGATCTACTTAAAGCATTCTGGTGTTTTTTAAGGTCATGGTTGTGAATAGAAAGTTTTTGGAGTTGGTAATTATTATTGCTACTAAGCCTATTCAAAATAATTATAAATACCATTGGAATCAAATGAATTGCTGTGGAAGAATCAGAATAGGCATTAATTGTAATTTACTGGTTAGTGGCTCAAGTATTTAAGCTTTTAAATTAGCTTACAAGAGTATTTAATATACGGCGCTATTTTTCGTTTTAATCTTCAAATTGAAAAGCTTTTTGATAAATATTGGTTTTTAAATCGTTTTCTAATCTGCTTGTTTCACAAATTTGCACTGCTTGATTGCACTACTTGCTGCACAGCAGTATTTGAACTGCTTGTACGCACTGCTTGAGACACACTGCTTGATAAATTGCCCAACAATCGGTAATTTTTTTAAACCAAAACGTGAATCATTTTCCCCTGAATTCTGTGAGCAATAACTTAAAGATTTGCATACTCATCCCAATCAACAACTAATGAATTAATAAGCATTTTTTAAATGAGATAAAATGTTATACATTTTATTATATTGTTATATTTTATTTTATTAGCTAACAAAATGCTAAATTAATTGCGAACAAAAATATAAATGGACCAGTAGAAAATATGTTAACATATTTTGTCATTCAGTCTTTTTAAGCAATTCTAATAACCTATTTGTTAAATATACGGATGACAATTGCTACAATACTATATACAATATATATAATATAATACATTTCACACTGCACTACAAAATCTCGACGTTTTCGACGACATTTTGAATTTGGCACAAGGTGCACGCACAGCAAATATCACAGAGACGTTATACAGTTATATTCGGGCCGATAAGGGCCAACTTTTGATCCAATTACACCTGTGCCTTTGGCCGCTCATCAATTGTGTAGGCGTTGGTGGGGGAGTTGGCAGGGCCATTAGGCGCATCATTGGCCTTATTCTCACTGTTGAACGGTATAACAAAGACGCTCGTCTTGGCGTCATGCTGCATTTTAATAACAGTATCGTAGCTGGGCGGGGCAAATTCACTGTACGATGGTGAGGGTGTGGGCGGTGCCCGTTGCGCCTCATTTTGCATGGGGTTCGCTCGTCGGACACGCATGCCCCGGCAGCGTCGATCCGAGCAGGCCATCAGCATGAAGAAAGCGGCCAATGCCAGAAATGTTGCCACATACCACACAATCGTGATCACATCCATAGCCGTCTGTGACAACTCGTTGCTGGAATCAGCTGCTGAAAGTAGATAAAGACAAGAGATCATTAGTTACCAATAAAATGAAAAATATGTGTATTCCAAATAACATTTAAACTTGAGTCACTAAGAATTATATTGTCAAATACAAACGGAACTGATACAAAATGAAATTGATTTTGAAATAAGTTTGTCAAAATCTAAAAAAAGAATAAAAATAAATAAATAAATGTGACAAATATTTATTTTAATGCATCTAATCAACAAATAAAACAAAATATCACAATTACCCGGATCTTTTTGCTACCACAATATCACAACTCATATAGATCCCCCGAATGGGGCTTATCAGGCTGGCGTCGGTCTCCAAGTGAAAAGCTTATGAACTATTCGTCATTTGATGACGCAAACAACGCGTCATATTCCAGCGAGTACATGAAGTGATTGAGTGAATCCATTTGCGCTGGACATTAAATGGGTTTGCTTATAACCTGTTTGTCAACCAGTTATTAAGTTGTAACCTATAACTGCAAATTAGTTTCAGCGACAACAATATTATATATATTTTATTATTATATTTTGAAATGCCTCTTACATTTTCTGCCATTAAATGGGAAATTGTACTTTACAGTAAATACTCGAAGTGCAATTTGAAAAAAATTTCAAAATTGAAGTTTATCAAACGTGTTCCAATTTGCAACTAAAGGAAAAGTTGTCCGTTATCATTTTTAGACTTATTATCTATTTTTAAGTTCACATGAAGATAAGGTTTATATTTAATAAACTACAATAATTATTCACACTTTTGAACTTTGAAGCTTTTGTACTTTAAACTTAAGTCTTAAGTGGGCACAATACTTACTGTTTTTATAAACAAATATCCTGGACTTATTATCCACTTGCTCGGTAAATAGATCCGTCTCCGTTGTACCGTTAAAAGTCGTTCGATTATATGGCAGTTGTCGTGTAATAACGTTCTCCAAAGTTAGCACATAGGACTGGCCATGTACAGCGGGTGCGTAGACACTGAATACTGAAATGGTATAAATACAAAAAGGCTATAGAACCTGCATTGCTGATAAAACAAGAAGGCAACAACCAACACATGAACAGCAATAAAATCACAACGAAATGATGATCACACAGATAAGCTATCAGGTATGTTACCATTGAATATGCTTCCCTCTCTAAATAAACAAATACTTATAAATTGTATATTACTACCCGGTCATTCCCTGTTTTGGGCGTGTGCAAATTACAAAGGCATACAAAGAGACAAAATGCCCAGACTTCCATATACTTTTATCAAGGGGAATTGGGGTGGGACCTTATGATCGCAGCAGTTGTACATTTATCGCAATAAAGCGATAATATGAATAATTAACCAATTCGTTATGGATACGATAATAAGCCTAATGCGTAAAGGCGCAATTTCTCAAGTAGATTCTTGATAACAACTGGCGTCCACTGGTCTATGTCTAATTTTAACACCTGCCACAGAACCAGTTAATGGATCAGTTTACAATCGCATAAACAGGCAAAGCACTTAAGTGCCCCAACTTATAGGTAAGTTCAAGTTCCATCATAAACTTGCAGTTAATAACGAAAAACACATTGCTATTATTAGTTGAGCAGGTTTATCGATTTGTTTTTGTTATTGTCTACTTTTTTTTAATCTATCTTACGCTGCCGGAACATTCGACGATTTTGCCTTTCCACCATTTATCAATCGGCAAATCAAAAGCGCGTGTGTCAGCGACAGAAATAGTAAATATAATTATCTTTATGGAATCGCACACGGCACACGACTTTGTTGCAAATTCAATCATTTTGACATATTTGTTCTCTTCCCTCTAATTTTTTGTTGTTGGCTTTTATCAATTTCACAACGCAAGCGAACGATGTACAAAAGTTTTGTTGACCTAGGCTCAAAATGCGGCAGGTGTCCATTTTCCTTATTATTTTATCGAACTACTTAGGGGCTGTCTTAGCTATTATTCATACGCCTCTTGGGCCCGGTATTATGTCAGGCAATCTGACAACTCTTAAGTCACAAGCTGCATCTGACAGCCACATTAAATGTAATTTATTAAGACAAATACCAGTTGCTTAGAATAACAGTGGCTTTATCACTCGGCTTTATCTTTATCTAAACACAATTTGTTTAGTTTGAATAGTATTTTAGTTCTTATTTTGGGTACGCAAGTTATAAAATCAGATGTCTGCATTAAAGAAAATAAGATTAGCTTGAATTATGCATTTAAGTTGTAAAAACAATTTAGTCTTTTATTGTCGTTAGCTCGAATACCCATTGAAAATGGGTGAAAGGGTATAATGAAGTTGTGAATGAAGCTTGATAATTTTTATAAAATATCCCTACCCCTCAGTCACCTCAACATTAATCTTAATTCATTTCCGCAACACTTGATTCATCAGATAATGTGCTCAAGTGATTAGAAGTTCAAATATACCCCACAATCAATATATGTTTTTTAAACAGGCATCTTAAGATCGATGAACGTTAAGCGTTTGCCTGATGCGGCCATATCATAAGCTCATTAAGCAGCGCCCATGGCCAATTATAGAATGAACAATGCGAGCTGATAAGACAAAAGCCGAACCCTATTGGCGACAACCATATAAAAGCGCACCGGCTATACGACAAACAAAAAATGAATGAAAAAAAGGAATATAAAAACAAGAATGCTATAGTCGAGTGAGATCGACCACGAGATGCCCTTAACCTACTGCTATTAAATATGTAATTCTTGTTTAATTGCCGAATTGCTTTGCACATTAAAATGTAAGCAGTTGTGGAAGTGCTCTCATTTCTTATGACCAGCACAGGTACTGATGGGTAAACCAGTAAAAATAAATTATTCTTCTAATTTTATTGCCACATACCAAAAATGCAAAATGCGAGCTGATAAAACAAAAACCGAAAGCTGACAGCCATAAAAAGCTAAAAGCTAAATAAATAAAGTAAGAATACCATTGTAGAGTGAGCTCGACTACGATATATACTGAAAAGTGCGAAATACGAGAGCTTATATATTCTATTCTCCAGCTCTTATAGTCTCTGATATCCGCGTGATCGAAAATGTGTACACCCATTGGTGTCGGAGACCCTTATACCCTTGTTAGCCATATTTAATGGGTTGAGGCTATATAAAGAAAATACTAAACAACAAAAAGCTGAACAAACTGTTAGTGGCGGCTAATAACGAATGTCAATTTTGCCACTTTATAAACTATATTTACACATATTTTACAATCTTGTAACTGTTCAAATTGTAGCCACATCTGGCAAATCTATTTAGGTGTTTAATCTGTCAAGAGATAATAAATCAATATAAGTATACGCGTGTCAATCCTCTCGCATTTTTCTCTCTTTCCCTCTCTCTCTCTCTCTCTACTGGGCCAGTGATCGAAATTCGCCGATTTCTCAATTCCTTTCGGTTTCTCTCAACAAAATAGCTGTCGGTCACGTGCCGTCAGTTGTGTCCGTCATTTGCATAGCTGTTGTGCTGATTACAAGTCGAGTCCAATGCCTTTTTGAGAATTCAGCCAGAATTGTGTGTGTGGGGAAATTAGCATAAACAGTTGGAGAGACATTACGCAGAGCGAAACGGTTAACCGTTTGGCGTGCAATTTCAATATAACATACTTATTTCAATGCCGATGTCAACCTTTATATAATTAAATTGAACTTGCTGACTTAGCAAATGGTTTTGATTAAATTATCTTTTGTCATGTTTGTAGATTCATTTTAATTATGTATTTAATATGAACTAAAAACAAGCACATGTCAGTTCCTTATCTTTACCTCGACAATCTCATAACGGACGTCATTAGACTTTTTATGAGCACCGGATAAGTGCTGATAATATGTTATTAGATACAGATATATTGAGTTGGTAAATAGCCCATAAAAGTGTTTAACAAGATTTTTGTAATATAAGCTCAATTTCCTTATCAATTCATTGACAACACTCAAATTTCATAAACCATAAAACAGTTTGACAACATTTTTGTCAAATAAGCCCCATTTCCTTATCAACACAGTGACAGATACAATGACAATACTAAAATTTCGTCAACCACAAAATGGTTAACAAGATTTTTGCAACATTAGCCCAATTTCCTTATCAATATACATTGACAACACTCAAATTTCGTCAACCATAAAAGTGATTAGCTAGATTTTCGCAATATAAGCCCAATTTCCTTATCAATACAATGACAACACACATTTAGCAAATAAATTATACTTGCTCTTAATGTATTAGCTGTTACCTCTAATATTTTGACAGGCTGACTTTGACCCTGTCTAACAAGCATTTCACTCGGCAAATTCAGTTAACGAGCGGTGTTTAGATATGAGCAATTATTAATTGCGATTTATCAAATAGCACTTTCAGCTATTGAGTAATGGGAACTGCCACGGGAAGTTCTCATGCAACATGCATGCAATCTGAATAATTTAAGTCAAGTACAAACTATTGCTCATTGACAATAACATCATAATTCGCATTAAACTCAACTTATTCTCAATTACAAAAGTGAGAAAAATGCTCATAGTTCATATACATGTGCTTATATTCACAGAAAAAAATCCACTTTTAAATTTAAAAATCATACCGAAGACTAGAACATTTTTCTCTCCGAAAAAATTGGAAATGCTTCCTTCGTATTTGTTCAAAAATATAAATGTGCAATGACATATTTTTCGAAAAAATCACTTTTGAAATCCAGAAAATACCCTATATAATTCTACTTTTTTTTTTTTAATTTAATCTACTAAGAAAGTTTGAATAACTGAAATAATAATAACAAAGAAATAAGCTGTGTACACATATAAAAACAAAAAAAAAAACATGAAATGCGGAATTTTTATGTTTAATTTATAAAAGTGTAGCCTGAAACTAAGTAAATAAAAACCGCGGCTTTAGAAAGATCCAGATTTTCGTTTTAGAAATGTTTTTTTTTAATAATAATGTGAGTTACACTTGGTGCCAAAAGTAAGACGATTTTCTAAAATTCAGGTCGATTTTTTCTCTGAGTGTAGTTAATTGCTTTTAAATGCACTAATGCACTAATGCACTATAATGTATGTATCTTTAATCTCTAGTCATATTTTAATGAGGAACATTCCCATGCGATGTGTTCATAAGAGAATTCATTTTATAAAATCTTCAATTTTATATTTTAATTTAAAAAAAGTCATTTATATAAGGTCTTAAACAATTTGATGCAGATCATTGGTAAATTAAAATCCCATTTAAAATTACAATTTCAAATTTTAAAATCTATACAAAAAATACAAAGTTTTGTATTTATGAGCCCAAAAATGTCTTACACTCCTCCGCATTAACAATTACATTATAGAATATATATTGTTTCTTTACTCACTTGCAATAATCAGCAGCATTGTCTGAATTTTCGGCGCCGTCGTCATTTTCAAATAAAGCTTTTTCATGTATTTAAACAATTTTGAAAAACACGCGCTATGCACAAACAAATTATCGTTTATTTCTGATTTACACACACAAAAATATTTGACTTTGGCGTTATGCGTTGTATTAAATAAACTATCGCTTCCGCGTTTTGATTTTTCCCTTTAAACAAAAGTTTATAGCACAATTGACGGCACAATAATCAATGAAGAAATAAATGTGTAAGATAAATTTATGAAATATAAATCGTTGACTTTCAATTGAATTTTCAGCGACACGCGCGCACAATTTGCATGGGAATTACGTTCGAGTGTAAAACGACGGTAAAGTTTGCCACCCCGATTTCGATTCGCCGTAGCTCCAAGTTCACTGGCACTCTCCGACACGCAGCGCTGCGAAGCCCGCTAAATTGATCTTTCTGGTTGAGGTCTGTGTTGTCGACTGAGCACAGCTCTCCAGCAACTTGGGCAGCCAACTGCCTCGAGCTGGTATTGTTATGGGTATGGGTAGTTTCCACGAACCCCACCACTCTCTCCCCACGTCGATACCAATACTTTTGCTTCGTTCCGCTGTTCGTCGCTTGAATCACACACAGTCACACACACACACACGCAAACAAGCAACGACAATAATCGTTTGAGTTGCGATCGCAGAGTTTTAACTCGTTTTTACTTTTTTTATTTGGTGTATGCTAAAAGTAATTTCAACAAATTGTGTTTTGTTGATGCGCTTGTGTTAGTTAGCGTAACATGGCTAATTGTGCCACTGACCAAAAATCAAACAAATGGCTAAAGTCACAGCAACATCAACAACATTAAACTGCAGCAATTGTCGCAGCCGGCAAAAGCAAAAAGGTAACAGCAACATGCACAGACTTGCACACACACACCGACACACACGCATACTGGTGCAGTGCAATTTATAATTATATACCTGCAGATAAGTGTGTGTGTGTGTGTGTAGTGGTTGTTGGTACCATTGTATATACCAATATTTACGCTTTTATCGTCGCTCTTTGTAATTCGCACATTTCATTAATTCAGTTTATAAATAAAATGCAGCAATAAGTATCTCATGGCATTTTAGCGTTTCAGATTGAGGACGTCTTCAGGGCGTGGCCCTAAGCATCTTATTATAATGCCTACACGCCCACACGCGCACTAATTGTAAAATTAACAAGCATGGCAAAATAATCAGCCAGCAGACACTCTTCTTAAGCAACACAAATTTAATTTCAAAATAAATACTCATTTATATGTACAAAAAAAACACACAAGAAGCTTAAAATGAATTTATTAACGGTGCTTTAAACAGCAATCAAATTATAAAAAAGAATTGATAAAATTCCATTAGGATAATTTTTAAATCAACAAAGTTTTTCACATATGAATAATGAAATTTTTACAAAATAATTTATTTAGCTTTGATAATATTTAAGACAAATTTTATTCAATTTATGTTTAAGCCAAGTTTACGCCTTTTAAATACCCTTAAGTTCAACGATACTCGATCTGAAACAACAATATTTCATTTTTGTTGGTTGAAGCATTTAACAATTGCATAATCAACAGCAATCAAATAAATAATTTAACAAAACGAGTCAAGTTACGATAACTTCAACAAAATTGAATAAACTTCAAAATATATACTCAGTTATTTTGTTATTTTATTGCCTTGTTATCAATACAAAGTTTGCTCAAAATACACAAACTTTCCGCTCACATTTCGCATGTGCTATTTAAGATACTCTCTGTGCGAGTGTATAGAAAACCAGAAAACAAAAAAAATCATGAATTTCATCAATTTGAACGCTTTTAATGCTTTTGACGTCACTTCGAAATGATCGAGATTTTGGAGTTTGTCATTTGCTATCTGATACTTTTAGCATTTGGATACTGGTTTCAGCTTGTTTTTGATATGGCAAACGATTTAAATCTGAATGTGGACACAGCCTAATTAGCGTCAACGGGCAATTGCGTTCCAGCCACGACGATTGTACTTGATACGATGTGTTCTTATCTGATGTCTGAATTATGCTAGATAAAGAAAATAAAGCAAAACGAGTACTCTAATCAAATTAATGACCCGATCACCAATTATAACAAGTGGTAATTATGGCTAAGTGCTTCAAATTGAGGTAGTTCAGGAGCCTTGAACTTGACCATTACAAATCGGTTTTGTGAAATATCGGCCATTGACTTTAGTTGGGTTCGATGACTCATCTAATAAAGATTAAATGTTTCTTTAAATTACCATTGTTTGGATTTAGTTTTAGTTTAGTTGAACTTTACCAAGGCAATTACCAAATTTTAAGACCATTAAGATTCGTTTCGCATTGGCATTGAATACTTTAAGACATAAAAATCATCTGGCTTTATATGGTTTGTTGACCTCAGTCAAAGAGTTTAGCTGAGTTGTTTGCAAATGTTTGCCATATTTTAAATGCGCGTGACAGATTCGAGGTGAATAAACAAATATGCTTTCCCTATATGCAAAAATTAATACAATAACGAAATACTTTTTGTGGCTGCAACTGGTTTTTGGCTTCTTTTCTGCTGCTGGTCGCTCCGAGATGAATCATTTGGTTTTGAGCTCTGTGTCACCACTTGATGTGGATTAAAATTACCTATAAATGGGTAATTTACCGCACCCAACAAATTCAACAATCATAATATTTAGTTTTAACATTTAGTTGTTTTATTTATAGTTAATATACGTATATGGGTATGTGTATTTGTGTAATTCTCTGTGTGTTTCAAGACAAATTGACCGCTAGTTTTCTACATATTGCTCGGCTATTGCTGTTACATATTTCGAGTACATACTGTAGCTTACACAATAACATTTTCGCATATGGATTGACATTAAACAATTGACGACAAGGCCAGCAATAACATAATTGTTGTCTTTTCACAAATACGTAATAAGTTGTCTTTTGTTTTTAGTTTCTTTTTTCGGTTTCACAAAAGCGTGTTGTATATATATATATATAGATATAGATAAATATGTTACAGGTACAACTAGATGGAATGCCGCTAAATTTTGTGGACTTATATTACAATTATTTAATTGGAATCTCCAAATTTGCACTAACTAGCATTAGTTGTAGTTTACCTTATAATTGATACAATTTGCATTACTAATTGCGTGAGATTTCATTAGTGTGTAATTGAGATTGATTGGATTGGATTGTGTTGTGTTGTATTTATATTATTACTACAGATTCTTGAACGGCAGCTTTTACATTTAAAAACAAACATAATTCGCGACTATAATATCAACAAACAAAATAATAATATATACCTATATAAATAATGTGCGGTTGTATTTACAAAACTGTTAGTTAAAAACAAAAGGGGGAAATCAAAGTTAACTGTTTTAGTAGTAGTGGTTGTACTTGATTTGTTAGCGTTTGAACACATTCACCCAAAGTCTTATAAGATATATAAAATAATATTCTGAGTTTTGGCCTAAAGCTAATCGAATATCGAATCGAACATAAAATCAGCCCTAACACTACAACGAATGTGCATATTTACATTGCATTCATATATCATCTCGCCTGCTATCAATATCAATATTGTAATAGTAATTGCATAATTCGTTAGCAACAAATGCAATCATCTAACAATTATTAATGGAACTGTTGCATTAAACGTGAATTCGAGTTTTTTCAAGTGTTTGGAGTTTTGATTTTCGTGTTTGTGTTCGTTTTGGCGCCAACATCTTTTTGGTTCAACGGTTCTGGCACAAAGCGGAGCGTATTATAAATATAGCATATTATGCAGCCCTTATCTCTCCGGAAAAAGTGACTCATAGCTGGGCGGCATATCTTTTGGGGTTCCCGGTTGCTGCTGCTGTTGCTGATGATGATGCTGATGATGATCCGGCGAAACTGGCGATAGATCATGTGCCAGCACGCCATCATATGACGGCGCTGACGGCAACTCAATCGTGGGCACGTCCGACTAACAAACGCAAGCAATAAATAAATAATAAAATGATGTATGCAGTAACCGCTTTTTTGATACTCACCCGAACATGCCGCTGATTGAAGCGAGCAGCGGATGCTTCGTGGGCATGCTGCTGCACAGTGATGCAGTTCCAATATTTCCAGCAAATCCATACACAGAAGCCCACACCGACCATGGTGAATATGAGGGATGTGATTGCCGATAAGGCCACATTGGTGGTGTCCATCTCCTCGGGTGCGATGGCATCGTGGAAACAGGTGCCCTCATCCCGGCATGGATACAAACAATTGGTGATATTGTCACGCACAAAATGACGCGATATGCAAGAGTATTGATCCTTGGGATCGCACAAAAAGTCACCCGCAAATTGACAATGCGAATGGGCAGTGAGCACCATGCGCAGCTCCAGTGGATTCTCGAATATATGACGATCCCTATCGATAAATATATGCACATGGACATCGCGATCACGCTGATCGAAGATCAGGCGACCAGCTGGACCATCGATGGAGATGTCGCTGCAGATGCGTTCGCTTGGCGAACGATTTCCATTGGTGAACTGAATGTAATCGATGCATTTTTTCGTCACCGGATCTCTGCGAAACTTCAGCCGTGTGATGATCGTATAAATACCACCGGGCGGACGATCATTGGTCTGCACTCGGAACTGGCAGTCATATTTGATTTTATTCGACGAATGACCACCACCACCACCAACGCCGCCGCTGGGCAGCGTCACATTCCACGATTGGGTGATGATCGCCCCCGAGTCGTGGTCTTCTGTTAACCGGAGCGTTGGATCGCCACGGAACGGTTTGGCCAACGTATAAATGAGCTTGTCCGAGCAGAGATTGTCCTGCAAACGCACCGTTTTGTAGCAAACAATTGCAGTTGGCGCATAGAACGCAATTGCAAGCGTCAATTTGAGTAGCGAGCAAAGCGTGTATTTGCTCATTGTGTTTGTATTTTGGTGTATTTGGCACGTCCTGCGTGCGTGCTATGTGTGCGCGGTTTGAAATGCAGACATGCACGTTCCTTTGTTCGTTAATTATTATTGTAAAAAATGCTTAAAAATACATTCGACGAACTTTTTGTTGTTTTGCATCTGGGCCAGGGCTGACAACTATCAAGGCTAGCCAGAGCTGCTGCACTTCTAAATGCTTATCGATATATCGAATGGCTGTATCGTATTACCCGATACTCTTGCATTGATACACACAGGAACAGAGCGTTGCTGGTGCCATTGTGAATTTAGATGCAATTTTACAACACACACAGTACTCGTAACGGCTTCGCACTGTTAATAACATTGTCGCATAATGTTAAAGCTGTTGAGAGCCCACAGCTGGGTATCGATACCATATTACATTATTTATTACTAGCCGCAACACTGTTGCCGCAGCTACTCCCACATGGAGGCAAATTTAATAAGTATAGTTTTTTTTTGCTTTGATTAAACGCCGGCAGATCTTTAAGGCGTCAGCACCTCCACCAGCCGCACTGAATCTCATCTATCTACGCTGAGTAGATCCTAACATGACTGTTTGACGCTTGCCGACGATTTATTAAGGATCCAGCTGAGCTATTTCTAGTCGACCGTAACTAAAAACTAATGGCCACATCGGACTTTGTACTGGGTGGCTTGGCCTCAGTGGGCGCCACATTCTTCACGAACCCCATCGAGGTGATTAAGACGCGCATCCAGCTACAGGGCGAACTGGCCGCCAGGGGCTCCTATGTGGAGCCCTACAAGGGAGTCCTGCAGGCATTCATCACAGTTGCCAAAAATGATGGCATCAAGGGCCTCCAAAAGGGCCTGGCTCCCGCCCTCTATTTTCAGTTCATAATCAACTCCTTCAGGTGAGTGAATCACTTATGTTAAACGATGTATGTAAATGGTGCCATTTCATCATCAGGCTGAGCATTTACACAACTGCCATGGAGAAGCATTGGATGCACAACAGGCATGGCGAGGTCTCCTTTGGATTGGGCCTCTGCTGGGGCGCCCTTGGCGGCATTGTCGGCAGCTATTGCTCTAGTCCGTTTTTTATGGTGAGTGCAGAGACGGTTACATAAAGCATGCTATATAAAATCAGACGCCAACTTATCTATCTTTATGATTATATTCCTCTTCCATCAAATATCATTTGAGGCTAGACGTAATATGTTTGCCTCGGCATAAAATGTGATCTGAGTCCATTCGGGCTTAGATAAGAACACAAATTACATTTGCCCTCCTCAACTAGCGATGTGAACGTGTTGCATGCTTTTTATTTACCACCACACGTATAATTATAGTATATTATAGATTTAATTATATCGATGATTCCATTACTCTTTCGAATTACTGTGCAATTATTATTTCTGAATGCTTTTCAAATGACAACAGTTTTGCAAATATTTATTTTTTAATTTAATTTTAAATTTTCATTTCGACATCTACAGAATTATATCACATTTTTATTTTATTATTTAATATCTCAATTGAAAAGAGTAACGACTTGTGACTTATTTCAAATTTTCTAATATTAAAAAATGCATTTTGCATAACCCTTTTAAACTGCAAAATAATTTATTATTTTTATTATTATTTCTGTACTCAAAGTGTTCATTTTGTATTTTATATCTTCATTTCCACAACATCAGATTTAGTACATTATTAATATTTAAAATTATATTAATAGGAACTTATACATCACCACCAAAGTACCTTGAAGACTTTCAATTTCAATTTTTCTAATCTTAAATAGTTTTTTCCATAATAATTTTAATCTGCAGCATGAACAAAACTTTTGTGTTTATAATTAAATCTAGCAGATTAGTAGCAATTCATGCCACATGGGTTAATTCTTATGAGACGACAACTGATAACTTCCCTTCCTGCTTCCCAATTCAGATCAAGACACAGCTGCAGTCGCAGGCAGCCAAGGAGATTGCTGTTGGCCATCAACACGCCCACAAATCGATGAGCAGTGCGCTGCGAGAGATCTATGGCAAAAGTGGCATCGTTGGCCTCTGGCGAGGATCACTGTCGGCGCTGCCACGTGCTGCTATTGGCTCCGGTGCCCAGATAGCCACTTTTGGCAAGACGAAGACAATGCTTGTGGAATACGATCTGGTGACGCAGCCGACCCTCAACTCGTTCAGCTCGGGTTTGATTGCGGGCTCGTTGATGTCGGTGGCCATCACGCCGCCGGATGTGATAAGTACCCGTCTATACAATCAGGGCGTGGATGCGCAGGGTCGTGGGCTCTACTACAGTGGGTATCTGGATTGTTGCGTCAAGATCCTGCGCACCGAGGGCATCTATGGTATGTACAAGGGTTTCTGGGCCAACTATTTGCGCATCGCTCCGCACTCGACTCTGGTCTTGCTGTTCTTTGACGAACTGATCGCGGTGCGGGAAAAATACAATCTTCGCTTCTGATTGCAATGTACTCCAGTATGAGTGCTGTGTGCTAGTCTTCTTTGTCTTAATTTAAGTACAAATTTCTTTAAATAGTTGTTACTAGATTTGTTAACAAATAAAAACCTGCCCAAAGAGTTTTCCATTCCCCAATTCCTCAAATGCTTCCTATAAATGTGCCTTAACGTGTAATTTTGTAACGTATGGTTAAGATTTGAGAGCTGGAATATCCACAAACAAATATTGAAACAAATAGCGTTTATTTTGCTCAAATCGAAACTTCAAATTCCCATTTTGCAAAGCTAGAAAAGTAGACCTGTAGTACGTAAATATAACTGTGCAATACTTTTATTTAATAAAATGCGTTATTTTGTTTGTATTTTAGATTTTGTATTTTTATTTTAGTTATATAGCTAATGTAGACTATACATATATTATACGTACAGGGTATAAGATCCATCAATCAAGATTGCGAAGCTGTTAAGCTTTCCAATTGGAAAGTTTTGTGCTGCGCGGCAAGCTTAAGCATGCCTCACTTGGAGTTCGCAGCAGCTGCAAACGCAAAATTGAGCCGCTGTGGCGGTCGGTCGATTGTTCGTACTATCGAAAGTAAACACTGGCATCGAAATATTGAAAGAACGCTGGTGTAACTAGTCGGCGAAGCACATTAAATCAATTATTTTCAGAAATTCAAAGTTAATAATGGCCGCCCAATTCTCACTTGTGACGCAATGGTTTGAAAACTACAAGCAAACAGTGGACTACTCGCTGCGCGACTCAAGCAAGCCATGGACAAAACCACTAGATATGGTCGAGCAGCGCACGGGCATCGACAGATCTAAAATATTTTTTGGTGAGTCCTGCTCCTAATGAGACTCATTCTCCAGCTGAAAACTCAACTAAACATGTCGCAATAAGCAATTAGAATGTCTCCATGCATAATACGTGGCTACGCGGCGTGACTAAGTGGGGTTTATTTTTTGTCTGTGTGACACTTATAAATAGGAACCGCAACCTGTTATAATATTATAGCAAGGCAAACATATACAAAACATTTCATGCGGGCGCCGAAAATTAATCACAATGCGAGAATAGCAGATTGACTACTTTCATTACTACAGCAATTGCATACTTTTTTCAGCACACACAGATTCACACACACACAAAGTCAAAGTCTCTCTGTATTTTCTCCACATATTTTTCCATAAACTATTGATGTTTTTTCTTTCTTTTGTTTACTTCACACACAACGCATTTCTCGCTGCGTGTAGAAGCGTAATTTCTGTCGTAGCAGCAGCAGCTGCAAAATTATATTATTAAAAACCACATAATTAATGAATTAATCCAAAGGTTAAGCTCAACTTCGACTTTGTGCTTTCGTGGCGATTTTCTGTTTTAGCACACGTGTGTAATTAAAAGGTCGGGTCAGGTGTGCACACATACACATACATATATACATGTGTGTTGAGTGTGTTTTTAAGCATGTTAAGTGTGTTATAAAGCGCAATATTAATGTGGCTCTGGGATTACATGATGGAAATTCGACAAAGGCAGGCGGCGCGTAAAAATGTTCGAGTTCCCCTTGTCTACATAGGCTCAGGTGAGTGTGTGTGTGTGAATCAGCAGCGTTTGTTTCTTATCTGTCGGCACCTTCACATCTCTCTGCCCATGGGTAAGGTGTGTTGGAGAGCGCGAATTTAATTAGTTGAGTCTGTGACGTCACTAACGATAATTCAGTGCGATTAAATATGCAAAGGAGAGCATTAATTATGCGTCGCCGAGCAAAGCAACACTGGCCAGCTGGGCAATCTGTGATCATAGAAATTGTAGACGTAGAACAGAATTCCTAATTTATGGGCGAAATGCGCGTGGCCAAAAATCAACTTATGACAAGAGCTAAATGGTTAATAATAGCCACACGGGCTGCAAAAAGGGCAATCGTCTTTGAATTAAACTACGTGCAACATCTGCATTCAGTTATCAGAGATTGAGATCATGGCATTCGAGGCATTGGAAGAAAAACTAATTCAAATTTTCCAAGTGAATCCCATTGTGCGATATGGTCAGATTAAAAATAAAATAGGCATTAATTAGTAATTACTAATAATTAATATTCAATATAATTTTGTAATTTTTATAGGTGCTGCTGTCTTTTGCGGACTTTATCTGATATTTGGTTATGGCGCTCAGTTATTGTGCAACATTATTGGCGTACTTTATCCAGCGTATGTCTCGATTCATGCCATTGAGACCAGCACCAAGCTGGATGACACCAAATGGCTGACCTACTGGGTCACCTTCGGCATCTTCACAGTCATCGAGTTCTTCTCGCATATGCTAACCCACGTAATACCCTTCTACTGGCTCTTAAAGGTGAGAAGCAATTTTTAATTATTAAATTAAACAATTTATTTTAATTTGCTATTATTGTACTTCTCGTCAGTGCGGCTTCCTCATTTGGTGCATGCTCCCAATGGAGAACAATGGCTCGGAGATCATCTACCAGAAGCTAGTGCGACCTTATTTCCTTAAGCATCATGCTTGTAAGTGATTTATATTTAATTTATAGATATCAATACCATGCTGAAACTCTACTTTCATTTTCAAGCTGTTGACAAGATCATCGATGATGGCATGAAGAAGGCCGGCAGCGTGCTGAAGAACGATTAAAATGAAGATGCTATCACACAATTCTCACTCACTTCTCACTTCCTTGAGCAATTGGTAGCTTCCGCTGGCACGACGGAATGTCACAAAAAATTGAATTCGCTTGTATCACGGATTGTCTTTTAATTTTAAATTTGTACTCAATAATTGTTGTTATAGGGCTCATGCCACATGGTTCTCGCAATCCCCGCCTCATTTAATAATGATTACTATGTGTTTTTAGTGGAATTCTCGGCTTGTTACACATAAATTTTTGTAAAAATCAACTGTTTATTGAGTACTTTAATTATAATTAATGCAAAACTACGCCGTGTCGACCTTGGAGGTTTCAGTCTCTGCTGCTTCTGCCTCTGCAGCTGCTCTCCGATTCCGCCAGGCAGTCATATAGGTGCGGGGATGCACCGGGAGTAGACCGGAGATGCCCAACAGCTCTGCAGCCGGCTCCGACATGTGGGCACCTTTGCCCAGCCAGAACCGAATGCGTTCCGTGTTAAGAGCCACCAGGCGTTCGTTGGATTCGTTCGGCATGGGATCGTAGGAGCCAACCTGCTCGATGACAGGCTGATGCTGGTTCTTGCGACGCTGTAAAGTATGAATTTATTTATTACACACTCTTCAAAGAGTCCAATGAAAGACTCACCTCCATAACGACAATGTGATAGAATGGCCGATTGGCACAGCCGAGACGCACAAAGCGTATTATTTTGGCGGAGTGCTTGTAGAAGCGACCAATGCCACTGGCTGGTGACAAGGACATTTTCAAACCTATTCAAAACTTGACCAAAAAACAAAATGTGTTATGAAAACACACTGCACTACCACAATACCTATCGATAAATTATCAACAAACGGACTATCGATTAATGTACCATTATAATATTTAAATCGTTGCAAAATTCTTTGATTAATAATGCTGCCCGCTGACAGGACAGCAACGCAAGGACCTCAAATTCGTGTTGAAAAACGCTGTGTTTGCGTTTTTCAAATAATTGTGGTAATGCAACTCTGGGTATTATGGGTAGTGAGTGTGTACACACTGTTTGATCATACAAAATGGCGTCAGCAGTCGAACACGAACACTAAGGAATTTTTCAGTGGTGTCTGTGTCTGTGAATTTATATATTGGGGGTAAAAAAAAACTGTGCATTATTTTGTTTATAAATTTAATTGCAAGTACGGCACATAAATAAATAGCGCGTACACACACCCACCCACCCACACACACAGGCAGACAGACAAATGCTAAAGTGCGCTTATCAATGAATCGAATTTGAGGCAAAAAGCAGCAGCAAGAAGCACGCCAACGCCAACGAAGTGAATTTTTCGAGGGAACGGAAAAAAATGGCGCCCGCCTCAGCCACAGAAGCAAGTTGACTTTCTTTTCGGTGTGTGTAGTTCGTCGCCGCACTCGTCGCTCGTTTTCGTCGCATATTTGTCGCGATAAAATAAAAAAAAAAAAGAAAAGTGAAAAAAGAAAAAAAATATATATTGCAAATTGCATCTAAATGCGACGTTTGACGTACAGCAGGAGGCTAGTATTTTGTACGTGATTTTGTATAAATACATATACATATATAATACAAATAGAAGCAACAGAAAAGTGCAATTACAATTTGCGTTTGGAAATTTTGCGCTTTTTTTCTCTTTCGCCTACCCCCCAACTCCCCACCCCACATTTTCTGTTTCTGCTTTTTGCTTCATTTATAATGTGCGCTGCACAGAGCAATCCGCCGCCCTTCGGCTACACTTGGGGTTTTGCAGACAACGGCAACCGTGCCGCAGAATCAGTTTTGGAGATATCGCCAAATATTAACTACACTGTCAGTGGGGAATCGGTAAGTCGAGCCAACATTTTATATCTTCAATTTGTATGTATACATAGAATAATTTCCTTGGTTGCATCTATATTTTTTTTTTTTCGTATTCCTTTTTCATTTGTATTTTCGTACATATCGAATGCGAGTGCTTTTTGCAAGTGCAAGCTGCTTTACTAAATAACCGATCGACCCAACGAGCTAGCTAGCGCCAAACCCCCTCTCTCCCCCCGCCACCCACGTAATAATATTGCTGTTGCTTTCCCACAGCGAATCGTGTTGTGTCCTCTTTTTACCGCTCTCCCCTTTGTACGCTGTTGTTTCCTTAACAACAGCGCCACATACACATAAGCATACTACTTAGAGATGGTCACATGACTTGGTCGTGTAAGCAAATATCACGAGAGAAATATCAAATGTCATGTGTAAGCTGTACACGATTTTTAATCAGCAACGAAAACAATTGTAGCATTTCAATCAATCAATAGACATACATACTATACTCTTAGGTACACTTTAATTTTGCTTTTCCTTGATATATTTAATAGTTTTCCCTCTAATATGTATAATAATCGGTTAACGAGCGACAAGCATTTGTGTCACGTTGCCATCTCTAGTACAGATACAGCTACGTCGTTTGCTCGCTCGCTCGCTCACTCGTTGGTTTGCCACGCTGTGTGTATAAGTGCATCGGCCATATATATGTGTACGTATACGTATGCAGGGTAGTGCGCGTGTATGTATACACGTATACACGTCGTACGATATACACATGAATACATACATACGTACGTACGTGAAGGCCCAAATACAAGAGAAAAAAAACAGGCAGCTACATATACTTTTATGTAACTGCGTTGGTCATGCGAATGCGAGCGACGAGTGTGTTAGAATTCTTTTACCATACATCTATACAAAAATTTTTCGTTTCCATTTCATTCGTAAACATTCATAATTTGGTATTTGTAAAAAGTATGCGTACGACGTATGCTATGTATGTACGTGTGTATCTACGTATGCATGTATGTATCTTGTTTTGCTGTTGTATGCAAACAAACAAAAATACGCACGTTGCTTTTGCTGCGCTGCGGTGGCAGCTGATTGTTGCAACTTCTACTCCCTGGTAATGGCAATTTAATTACTGGTCGCAATTATTAATTGTGTGTGTGGCTAGAGGAGGCGAAAGCTACAGTATGGCGTTGTTGCCAACAGCAATCATCGAATGGTAGTCGATAAGTAACCATAATTATCTTCATATACAGATATATATATTAATCTAATTTAATTCTAAAATACATCTATTGCATATTGGTTTTTAATCACGCATATATTTTTATTTTTCGTGTTGCCTTTTCTTTTTTTTTTGTTAATTTTGTTTGTTTTTGTGTTGGACAAGTTTGTTATACAATTGGCAGTCCCTTTTTTGCTTTGGCATCACACAGAGTGCAACCCTATTTCGCTGTGTTTCTGCCTGCCTGCCTGCCTGTCTCTCTCTGCCTCTTTGCGCACAATTGTGAATACACACATACAAAGAGACACACATGCACACGTCGACGAAGTTTCGTTGTGTTTGAATTCGCCGCGCCGCTCTGCTGGCGACCATTTTGTGTGTGAATGTGTGCGACAGTCGTCAATTCGCCGTTCGTTAAATCTTCAATACTAACACACGCCCAACGCACGCACACCTAAAAAAAGAAAGCGACGCTCTCGCTCGCTCTCTATCTCTGTCTCCCGCTCTGATGAACGCATACACACCCAGTTGACCATATATTGGTGTGCGTGCGATGCGTGCGTGTGTTTTGATTACACTTTGCTTACGTTTTGGCGCTCAACTCAAACTGTCAAAAGTCCAATAGCACACACATACACATACGCACACACACTCGCAGAAAAAAAAGCGCGCGCTTTGCTCTGTTTGCCTCCTCCGTGTTTGTGTGCTCGTCTTCTTCTTGCTCTTCTGCCGCTGCTGCTGCCGCTGTCGCTGTCGTCACCTCTGCCGCTGCCACCGCTGCTTGCTGCTTCCCTTTCATTTGGCATCTGTGTATCTGTATTCTTTATCAACTGTTGCCGTTGCCCCACCGCTGCTGCTGCGCAGGTGTAGCGTGTTAATAAGACAAAATATGAACACGACAAAACAAAACAAAACAGAAAAAACAAGAACGACAAAGCGCAACATTAAAAATACATAAAGACTATCAACCAATAATAGCAGTGGCAACTGTACTTTCTTGTACTAATCATTTAGCATAGAATTAGTTTAATAATTACCTAACCAACCCCAACACCCCCCTCTCCCCCCACAACAACTATTTGTATATTGGATTAATTAAAATTTACAAAAAAAAATGTGTTATGCAGCGGCGACCAGTGTTGAACAATACACGCTGATTAAAACATTGCACTTGCATTTCCTGTAATCTGTTCGGTTTTTGGGGACAAATCAATCAATGAATCAAACAATCAAACAAAACTAACAACAGACATTGAACAATCAATCAAGCAAACCAAACAATCCAAAACAATCTAGAAAATCAAGTAAAAAATCGATATCGAAATCAAAATCGAATTAACATCTCCATTAAACAAAAAAATAATACATCATCATCTCAATCGTTTGTTTGTGCCGAGTATTTGTGCCCGAGTCCAGCCTGAGTTAAATACTGAAAGAAACAAAAAAAAAAAACAAAAAACAATGTGTACACACCCATTTTAGATGCCCTATCTGTTATCCACGGATGGATCATTGGCCGTACAAAAGGATGTTAAGGGCGCACTCTCCAGCAATAAGGGCAATGTCGTTCGTCGCATGTTCGTCGTGAACGATTCCTCATTTGCGCCCGGAACACAAAGGTGCGTTTTCAAAACACAACAAACTTGAAAATAAAAAAAAAACTTAAAAATTAAACTGAAGCTCACAAAAAAAAAAGAAAAAAATACAAAAAGAAGTAAAAGCTTTAATAAGCCCACGTTTTTTTTCTCGTCTGCTTCGATGATCTCACTCTCTCTCACACTCTCACTCTCTTCTATCTCTATCTCTATATCTATCCATTCACAGAGTAATTACCACAGGCTCCGCATCGACGGTGGTCAAAAAACAGGACTCTGGTCAGCAAGTGTTGAGCATAAATTCGCTCGATAAGAATTGTAAGTGGTCTTGTCTGTTTTTGAGAAATCATCAAATAATTAGTGTTGCACGCGTTGTTGATGTGTTGGTTGTAATCGATTCTCGCTTATTGGCTATCGATTATCGATTATCATGCAGGGGTTTTTTTTGTTCTTTCGCTAATCGTTTGTTCTCTCTTCCTTTCTCTATCATTCTCCCTCTCTCTCGCTCCACTCGCTACTGTCTGCTCGCTCGCTCGCTCGCTGTAAATGATCCACTAAAATGTTAAATTCCACTCGCTCTCTCTTTCTCACTCTCTCTCTGTCTATCTCTCTTTCTTCTGTCTGTCTCTCTGTGTTGTCTGTTGTCGCTGTTTGTCGCTCGATTTGTGTTGCTGTCATGCATCAACCACAACTCTCCACTTCTTTCCACTATCCACCACCACCCACTCTCTTACTCCCCACACTTTAACTCACCACACTTCAACTCACCACCATCCCATCACCCATCACATCTTATATAAATGGCGGCGGCGGCGGGCGGCTATGGCGCAAATTAGATCTTTTGGTCGATCAGGCAACAGCGGCAGCAGCTGCAGCTGCAGCAGCAGCGGGCGGAGGAGGTGATCCGGCAGCGGCGGCGGCCCACCACCATCATCATCATCATACATTGACAAATGGTGGCAGCATTGTTGATGCCAAAACTGGACAAACCGTATTGACATCGGCGGCGGCGGCGGCAGCGGCGAGCGCTGCGGCAGCCAAATCGCATTTTAGCTCTATTGGTGCACTGCATCTCACCCAAGAGGAGTGCAATGAGATACTAATTAAGCGCGCCATTGCAGCCGGCCACGGCCATCATCATCAGACGCACCCAACAGCAATCACCAACGCTGGCGACGGAGCGCACCATCATCATTCGGCGCCAGGCGCGACACCAAGTAAGCATCTCAAATCTGTGTTGTGTTTCGATTATCCTCCTCCTGATCCTGCTCCTGATCCTCCTGCTCCTACTCCTCCTCTCTCCGACTCCTCCTTCTGATCCTACTTCTCCTCCTCATCCTCTTCAATTGCTCAACACTGCTCTTGGCACTGGTATTCTCTCTTCTGGTATTCGGTTCTCGTTGCTTTCCTGTTACGTTGCGTTACGTAACGTGACACGTTACGTTGCGTTTGCATTTCGTTTTTAATTTGCATACATTTTTGTTTCGATTTTTATAGCCTTTCGGTTTTTCGTTAATTTTTTCATTTGATCTTTGTTTTTCCATGTGTTTTAATATGTTATTTGACTTTGATTTGATTAGAGTTTTTGTGTTTCGTTTAGTTCGTAATTTTGATTTTGTTTCTTGTGTGTTTTTCTTCTCTTTTTATTTTGGATGATAACAATCGTATTGGAATTCCATTTGGTTATTGTTCCGTTGGCGGTGCAACAACACTCTTAGGTGACATACTTCCTGGTATTTCAGTTCAAGTACAGAAAGTAATACAAGGACTCGAAGAGAACGAGGACTCGCAGGGCGACGCACCCAACTTAAAGTTGGAGCCAGGCACATTAGAATTGTCCCCAAAGACCGAACTACAGGAATCAATGCATTTCAGCGAAGTAAGCCCAACATTTACCTTACACACATAAACACAAATACACAAAAAAAATTATATCTTATATATACACAATGATATGCTGCCCCCCCGAAATCGATTAGTAATCAACTTGTCTCCATTTCTCTCTTTCTCTCTCTCTTCACCTTGCGGACTATATTCTTTTTTAGACCGACGCCACCATCAAAAAGGAGCGCCCGTACAGTTGTGACGAGTGCGGCAAATCCTTTCTGCTCAAACATCATTTGACAACACACGCACGCGTGCACACAGGTGGTTGTTCTTGTTCCTAGCACTTACCCATTCATGCAACGAGCAGGTCTAATCGAATCTCCTCCTTCCTCCGTACTCCTCCTGTCCGCCATCTCTTTGTTTAGGTGAACGACCCCATATTTGCACACATTGCGGCAAGAGTTTTGCGCACAAACACTGTCTGAATACGCATCTGCTGTTGCATTCAACGGATCGGCCATATCAGTGTCAGGAGTGCAAGAAGAGTTTCACACTCAAGCATCATCTGTTGACGCATTCCCGGGTCCACAGCCGGGAGCGACCGTTCGTTTGCCAGGAGTGCGGACGATCCTTTCCTCTCAAACGGCATCTGGTCACGCACAGTAAATTTCACGCCGGCGAACGTCCCTACGTCTGCGAGGAATGCGGTGAGAGTTTCGCACAGGAGAACCATCTGATTATGCACTCGCGGTAAGTCCAATCACCAATTTCTGGCAAACTCTGATTACATATTCTCCAATTTCATTTGCAGCTTTCATGGTTCATTGAATCCATTTGTTTGTCCTGATTGCGGTGCCTCGTTTCCACGCAAATTTCAATTGGTTAATCACGGACGCATACACGGCAAGATACCACACTCCTGCACCGTTTGCGGCAAAGAGTTTCTACAGAAGCGCACACTAGTTTCCCACATGAGGTAAGTGCTTTGATCTCAGATCGCAGCGAGAGTCGTCCCTTAACTAATTTATCCCATTTACCTTACCATGGCTAGGCGCGTACATACCGGCGAGCAGGCGCATCCTTGCGTCAGCTGCGGCGAAGGTTTCCTCACCAAGGCGGAACTGCATCAGCATGTGCGTGCGGCGCACAATGGCGTCAATCCCAATACGAGCAGCGCCACCATTATAGCCAATCAACAGGTATAAGCAGATAGACACATGTTAAAGCAGCAAGTTAATTAAATTGATATTTAAGCAGATACAACAGCCGCATCATCATCCGGGACATCCGCAGACCATAACCGTTGTCAGCAATCCGGCTAACTCAACGCTGCTCACCGTCTCCACAACCGATGCGAATGGCGTGGCGCGTCCACAATTCGTTTGCCGGTGAGTGATCCTCTAGTTTACTCGATATAAAGAGGCTAATTTATTTGTTTGGCTTGCAGTGAATGCGGCAGCGCGTTTAATAGTCGGGAGGCGCTCGCCTTGCACTTGCGACTGCACACCGGCGACAAGAGTCTGATGACCGATTTGTGTGCGCTAACAGCGGCCCTGCCGGGACACTTTTTGAGTACGGCCAGCTTAAATCCGGGCACTGTGGTTACGGCCAATCCGAATATGGTTGGGCAGAGTCCGGTGCCGGTGCAAATCATATCATCGACCGGTCAGGTGATGTCGCAGACCACACTGGTGCAGGCCGCCAATTCGACGCATCCGCAAGCTGTGGTCACCGCCGTGCCCACAATGCCCCTCCACGGGCAACATCATCTGCAGCACATCCAGCAGCAGCAGCAGCAGCAACAACATGTCGTCACCGTTTCACCGGCCAACAAACCCAAATCGCATTTCTGCGCCAGCTGCGGCAAGGGATTCGCCGCGAAGCACGGCCTCATGCAACACAATCGCAGGCATCCGAACGGCGGCTGCACGGTGCGCACCCATGTCTGCGAGTGTGGAAAGGCGTTCTTCCAAAAGAATCATCTGATGCTGCATCAGCGCCAGCATTTGGAAACGAAGCCAGCCATATCGCAGCAACAGGTATGCTAAGTGTGCCCAGCCTAAGCCTAAGCTCCAATTTCCACACACCCACCCCAAACCCGATAGTAATAAAAATATATATATTTATATATATATATATATATATATATATTTAGATATTTCGATTGTTTTTCCATTTGCTTTCATTTCTTCGTGTTAAAGTAAAAGAAAAAAAGATAAGAAGAAATCTGGCTTAGTTTGTAATTGGATTAGGCTTAGTTTTATATATTATGTGGGAGCGCAGTTAGTTTAGTGCCTAAGCTATGCAATTTAATTTAGCTATTAACGAACCAAGCAATTGTTAACTGAACAACTATCAAGATCAACAATAAAAACATAATGCTTCATAAAGTCGGAAAGTCGGTCTGCTGAGGAGAACTTTGCCTATTTTTGTCGGGGTTAATCTCTTCTCTCTCTATGGAAATCTAAACTCTGTCCAACATTAACTTAGCTTAAAAACAAGTTAACATTAATTAAAGCAACTGCAACTACATATATCACTTATATATATATATATAAATTTGTATATATATTCGTTTCAACATCTTGTATTGCGTTATTTAATGTTTTTATTTTATTATTATCCTCTGTAAACCAATACAAATCACAAAAAAAAAAAGAAAGAAAAACAATCACGAAATGATAATTGCATTACCTTTTTTTAACTTCGAATACTTGCAGCTTGTTGTACCAACTACTTCTTACTAAAAGAAAACAATAAACAAATAGATCGATCAGATCAACTGAACAATAATAAATGCTAGAGAAAGCTACCCACACACACACTCGCCCCATTCACACACACATCATACACACATACACAATACACACATTCGGATTGCCATTTAAATAAAATAAAATAGTGTCTCGTCTCTGTGTGTGTGTGTGTGTGTGCGTGTGCGTGCGTGTGTGTGTGTGCCTGTGCGTTTGTGTGGGAGTAGCAGACTCAAAAAAAAGAAGAACAAAAAAGAAAATCAAATTGATAAACCAATAAAATCCATATAAAGCAAATAATAACAAATAGATCAAATACTACATTACAAAATTTGTTGTAAGACGCGTGTACGCAAAAAAGGCTTCACTGTGCGCGTTTTAGGTGTGTATACAAATAAAAAAATATTCCAAATTTTATGGCTAATTGTCATTAATATCAAATGCCTATTATTTTACTTACGTCTCATTGTCATGTGTATTTAGTTATATTTATATATGTTTTATACAATAATTATTTATGTTTTATTATTATTATTATTTTTTGTATTCTTGTGTATTGCGTGTATCCTGTGCCTGTGTCTTCTCTTCTCTTTTTTATTGTCCTCTTCACCCTTGTAACTTCTGTACATTCTTTTTTTTCTTACCAAATTCTCCAGTTTTCTGTTCTAATCTGTCTACTCCCATTTCCAATCTAAAAAACAAAAACAACACGTTACAATTTTGATAGATCCTTTTCAATTTTTGCTTGAGCGTAATATATTAGTTTAGTAATTATACATTTATTTTGATTAATTGCATTTAAATTGAGACAGAGAGAGAAAGAGAGTTAGAGAGAAGTCAGATTTTAGATTTCTTGTTTGAATATGCTAAAGTTTTGAATTGCACATTTTTACAGGAGGCCGACGTGCAACAGCAGCAGCAGCAGCAACAACAAGCAGCAGCTGCGGCTGCAGCAGCAGCCGCTGGACAACAATCCACACAGGTGGAGGTGCAAATATTGCCCGGTGGCCATGCCAAGGTCATCAAGTATGAGATCTGTCGAAATGTCCTGCAGGAGGAGCAATCCGCCCAACAGCAGCAGCAGCAACAACAACAACAGCAGCAGCAGCAGGCATCAATGCATGCGGAATAGTAAGGAAAAAAAGAGAGAGTGGAGCAGATGAAGCCAGGGAAAGATGATGATGATGATTACAATTTTTATTTTATAAACGCAGTAAATTTTGAGCATTTTTGTTGTAACTTTTTGTAAATATTCAGAGCCAATGTGCAATTGCAATTGCGGAAGGCGGAAGATTGTTGCTCCCCGCACACACACACACACACACAATCCGCCAGACACCTATACATATGTACCACCCCACCCACATACACACGCATTAATATGTAGCAGGGCAGCTTTCCACGCAACACACACCCCACACACCGACACACAACAGCTAAAAGTGAAAGAGAGATATCCTTGGGCAAATAATATGAAATAAGCGATTCCCTTAGTTTGTATTAATTTAGTTACCGTTTAGCTATTAATTAAATATACACCTAAATAGTTAACTAGCGTAACACACACACAAACACACACACACACACACACACACATACATACATATGTACATCATCAATATACAAAAATTAATTTGTAACTATAACTAATTCTCTCCTGTTAAAATTTTCGTGATGCGTCGGTCGCATCTAAAACAAGAACCTCGTCTTAAGTTGCAAAAGTTTTTACCTAATTAGTTTTTAATTGAAACATTTTAAACAAATACACACACACACACACACACACATAAGTATGTATACACACATTTATATATTGCCTAACTGTAAACTGTGTATACATTTTAACAAAAAAAAAACAAAAAAAAAAACAAAAAGAAAAAGAAAAACAAACAAATATATATATTAAAACTAATTATTATGCATAACAACAACTACGTTTAGTTCTAGGCACGCTAAATAATAATTATGGTAAATACGTAAAATAGACGAGAAAACAAAAGAATAAAAAAGAAACAGCACTCAGCGTCTCGATCATGTTGTTGTGGGCGTGATCGTGGGCGTTTGTCCAGCACACACACAGACACATACAGACACAAAGAGACATACACACAGAGACACTCGCTGTCGAACATTTCAAGCTTGTATATAAAATAAAAATCAGTTAAACAACATGCAACATGCAACTCTACAACTAGAACTTAAGTCAATAAAAAGAAACAGGTCTAAATAAGAAGAAAACATATAGAGATATTTAATTTGTAGCCGGTTCGATTAGGCGCCCACGCCGTCAGCGAGACTTTGAGTAGGTGCCTGGCACAATAACTAAAGCATACTATATCTAAACTTGGAAGACGACAGCAAAGTAAAGAAAGTTAAAAGCAAAGGAAATATATTAAAATATGAATAGCTGTAAGTAACGTTAGTTGTATAACAAAATGATAGACGACGACACAAAACACACCCACAAACACTGCAAAAAAATAAAGAGCAATTAGTTTATAGACACACACATACGCCCACACACCCACATACACGCAAAAAAAAAACCCACACGTTCGCAGTTGCAGTTCCATCAATCAATGCACGCTTTTTGTGGCAAAAACAAAAACAAAACAAAAAAAAAAAAGGAAAAAGAAACCAACAAACAACATTTATTATCAAAATTGTAAAAATATAATATAAACAAAAACCTTATACCTTAAACTTAGGAATGCGTTAAATGAATGCAAAAAGTAAATCGATAACATAATCCGATAAATAGATGAACCTAATATTAAGCATATATTTTAATATGTAAGCCTTAAAGAAAATACGACTATGAATAATAAAAAAGAATGTGTAACTGTATGTATTTTTATTGTATATATTAACTCGGATACTTTCCACTTTCACTCGAGATTACTCCATAATTACTCATATCTGAGATCTGGTAAATATTTCAGTGTTATCAGTTTGTTTGCTTTTATCATACATAAGTGCAAAAATACCCACAAGGGGACAAACGGACAGACATATATATATATATATGTATCAGTTGTTGCCAAATATGCTGTATTTTTGCACAGTTTCGAGTTTGGCGTATGTATTAATAATTTATTATTAGAATTGCTGATTAAACAAACAAAAAGTCATATTAATATTCTGAGTCAATTGCTTTGCGTAGTGAATCAGTCAATTGGATTTTCTTAAAGCCCATACAGGGTAGCTGCTAGTCACAATTGACATTCCATAATCAAGTAGTATTATTATTAATTAGAGTGTGTTTTTTTTTGCAAGCTAGCCAGGTAGTAAAAGCAAACTAGTTTGCCAAAGCAAGTTCTCTTTCTTTAATTAAATCAGTTCATAAAAATAATGTTCTCAAGAATTATACACAGCTTATGCGCGTAGAATTCCTCGGTAGATAAGATTCACGTATCTGTGTTTGGTATGTATGTGGAAGTTCACTTTCCGGCACGATAAAACAAAAATGTTTAAAATTTGTATTTAGTTATGCCCAGCAAAAGAACGTTGATCGGGTAGATAAGGTGCTTAAACTTTAGCAAGCAGTATAGGCTTGCTAATAAATATACAATTAGCTGCAATTACCAGTTATATATTATATTTGAATAGCACAGGGTATTTCTTTGTAGCTATTAGCTTCAGTTTTCAGTTTTGACTACATATTTGTATACACAAAAAATAATTAGCGTTGTTTTTACCTGAAGTCACGAAGTTACTAACCAAAAATAGCTCGACCTGGCCATATGGCCGATATGAACAGTTGAAACAGTTGAAACGATCACGTAGCAAATGTTTAGCATTCAAAGCGCTGAATATCCGCCAAAAGAGTTGTTACATCTCATTCATAATTAGCATCGGTTATAATTGCCTAGTAAATTACAAAAGTATTTAAATTTTCTGAACATTATTGTACAGATACGTGAGACACTGCAGCGATTACATCATCGAGGGAGAGAGAATCTGGCCTTATTGAGTAGTACTCGTAAATTATGCATGGAATTGTGCCCTAAAAGTGCATTTGCCTCACAAGTGTAAGGCCAACAATTTTTGGGCAGCTGCCCATATAAGGGTCTTCTGACATGGACTCCTTTGCCTTGATATCAAACATATTTTCAGCGGCTTTTTTATTCCTCTGGCATTAAATTAAAATTAATTGAGCTTGCGCTTGAGCAAGTGGCATATACAATTTTCGTGTTCGCCTTCATTGCTGAATTTCAATTTCAATTCCATGGAAAATCCGTGACATGGCAGCGAAAGATGTCATCATCTCACAACTAATTCACTGTTTTTATTTGTAGTTGTTGTTGTTGATCATTAATTGCACACATATTCTGAATATTCTAAATTGGCGAATGCACCTGATTCCAACTGGTTGCCATTTGTGTACATGCCACATAGTATTTAATCCACTGTTTGGTGAATTCGGGTCACTTCAGCTGTGCTTTGAATTTGTAATGTGTCTTTTTTTTTTTTTGTGTGCCCATAGTGCGATTTTTATTTTTCACTTTAATTTTGTGTGTTTGTTTCTTTTTTCACTTTGGCTTATTTTGCTAATATCTTTTGTTTTTTTTTTGTTTGCTTTTTGTTGTCTCGGCGCAGCAAACAAGTTTTGATTGTTCGTGCAAGCCTCGCATGAAAATGAGTCTTGGCCGGGTGACGTCATAAGTTGAGAGTCGTTTCGTGAATTAAGCAAGAATTGAATTGAATTTAGTTTTCTTGTCTAGATTTTTAGAGGTCGAATTGCTTAAACCTGGGCTCTGTCTGCTATATAGTACATATGTATATATATTTTATATAGTCTATAATAAACTGAGAGCTCTTTTTATGGGCACAACGAGTTGCAGCATAATTTCTGAGCAACACCCACCTAAGGCCGTTATAAATCAATTGAGCAATAAAATTCAGCATCAATTCTCTCTTTTTTTTGTTTGTTTGTCGATGCATACTAAATAAATCTTGGCAGGCTGTGGCTGCTGTTGCTGCTGTTATTGAGCTGAGTTATAAGCACGGACGGAAGCGCCCACGTAGCGCCAAGCTAGACATTCGGAAAGTATATGCAAAAAACTGACTGTTGGCTGACTAATTCTCAGTGTCATATATACGAGATACATAGATACATATATATTTACATGTATTAACATTTTAATTGTGCATCCATCCGGCAGACAGATGACGAGGACGACGACGAAGTCGTCTGTTCAAACTGGCCAATTTTGGTCAGTGCGCTCATTTTTGGCCCGTTCTAAAGATTTTATCAAACCCTCGTCCGCCGGTACCGTGTGAGTGAGTGGGAGAGAGAGAGAGAGAGAGAGAGAGAGACGGAGAGCAATTGGGAGCGGGAGCAGTTACAAAAAAAAAAAAAAATACAAACGCCGCTGGTGTTCATCAAGCAGCTGTTTGTCTCACTTTGCGGTTACTTTCGAAATGAGCAAATTGTTGTTGTTGTATTGTTTTTATTGGCATATTGATCTCGCTGCGTGGCAAAAACAGGCGGTGAGCGTGTCTCAGCAGCTAAAGTAACCTACGCAACAACTTTTTCTGTAACTTTTTATTACTCTCTAAGCACACAGACACACACACACACACAGACTGGCCCAATACACATAACTCAAATGGCAACCTACGCGAGACGGCGTCGCTGCCTCGGTAACGATCTGGCCTGGCTTTTTGCCTTTTGCGAAGGCGAAGTCGAAGCGCTGCATTGTACCATCTCGCTCGCACGCACGCACGCAGGCGTGCAATGCTTCCAACGCTTTGGAGCAAAGCCCACGAGCGTTGTTGCTGCTGCTGCTGCTACTGCTGCGCTGCTTTTGGTTTTTGGCTGTTGGCAGAGCGGCAACAGATACGGTCGAAAGCGATTCCAGACAGCGCCAACGTTGATCAGTACGTTTTGAGTTGTGCTTCGCGACGGTTGTGGATCTTTTAATACTGCTCTACGAATACGAATAATATGTACATATAAATGTACATATAAAAACGACTTTGCCCAATTGAGCATCTAACCGAATAAAGTCTCTTCTCTCTATCTATCTAAGCGTTTTTTGCTGTCTGTGTCTGTGTCTCTGTGTGTGTGTGTTTATTTGTTAAGCTTTTTTAACGCTCACGCTCCCCGCTCACATATTCAAGTGTCGCACTCTGTGTGGTTTTTGTGTAAGTGTGTGTGTGTGAGCGCCACCTTTTGTCATTTTCAACTTGAACTGTGGCTCGCGCATAATAAATATACAAACGTAAATTAAAAATAAGTATTTCGACATTCAGGAGACACCAAGAGAGCGAGAGAGCGAGAAAGATAGATAGTGAGAGAGAGATAATAATTCTAATATAGTTTTTAAATGTAGTGCCAAAACCAGCCGATAATTGTGATTAATTACAAACGAAACGCATACGAAACAAAAAAAAGAAACAAACAAATAAAAAGTAGAGTAGCATAAAAATATTACTCAATTCAACGCACATAGTCAGTGATTACCTCATCTGTGTGAAAATCAAGCCAACAGCAAAATGGTATCAAAAAGCAATAAAAAGAAACAAGTGTCGCACTCGTCGCAGTCGCAGTCGCCATCGCAGTCAACGCAGCCGCCAGCAGACAGATCAAGCACAACAACATCAACATCGGCCTCGGCGACCAAATTAACCAAAAAACTTGGCCCGAATGCGTTGGCAACGCTAACGACAAACACCAGCTCAACATCAATGGAGCATGAATCTGTCTCTTTTGGTGCGCCAACTGTGACTGCGACTGCGCCCAGCACTTCAGCTGGGGGTCAGTTGACGCAGGGGGAAAGTCTGGTGACAGCAGCCGGTGGAAAGAGCTACACTTCCAGCTCATACACAGCTAAATCTCAGTCAAAGTCCGAGCAGTCGGAAGCAGTCTTTAGCAGCAGCAGCAGCAGCAACAAGTTCTCCAAAGACTACTCAAATGAGAAGATCATATCATCGATCGATCTGCTCGAAAGTGAGAAAAAGGAACCGGTCTTCTCCGTGCCCATCGAGGTGGTTGAGATTGTAGCTCCTGGCGGCAGCAGCAGCGGCGGCCTCTTAATGTCCGCCAGTGGTGGCAGCATATCCAAAATGTATGCATCGACATCGAAAATGTCGAGCAGCAGCAGCCGCCAGGAGGCGAGCAACTCCAGTTACTTTGAGTCGACAACAACCAGTTCCAGTCAACAGCAGCAGCAGCAACGCAACGCTAACGAAACGCTCATTGCAAGCGAGAGAGCAGACGGTATGACATCATCTTCGTCGCTGTCGAGCAACAAATATATGCTTGATGTTGCCGAACAGGTTGTCAGCGGTAGCAGCAACCTCAACACCAGCACCATTAACACCAACATTAACAAACACAGCACAAACACCAACACCAATATCATCAGCAGCAGCGGCGAATCTCAGAGCGTGCCAAAGTCCGTTGTTGCTGCTGATTCGTCATCAACTAAAACGTTGACAACAACGATGACGTCGCCGGGCGAACCGGTCGCAACCACAACAAAGCCAACTACGACGTCATCAACGTTGCGGGACAGCAGCACAGCTGTTAGCTTTGACGTGGACAAAGTCGCAACGTCATCAGCAACAGCAACGACAACAACAGCGAAAACAGCCAGCAGCAAGCAGCAGGTCAACGAGAGCCGCAGCAGCAGCAGCACAAAACAGTCGACATCGTCCACATCGAAAAAGGAGGTGTACGATGTGAAGACGAAGACTTGGAGCGAGTTTAGCGATGGCAGCACACATGCCACAAACAAAAAGACGCCGACCATTGAGCGATATGTTAGCAGAGATTCGGATGGCACCACGAAAATAACATACAAAAAGAAGATATACGATAGACGCAACAATCGGTGGCGTGTGGTGGATGAGCGCATTGTGGATAGTAATTCTGATGTTGGCTATCCTGAAATAGTCGATGATGTCATTAATACAACAACCACAACGTACACGACCAAGGTGTATGACACGAAGCTCGGCAAATGGACGGTCGTCGACGAGAAATCGTACACAGATACGAAAGCTTTTGTGCCGAATGACATTGCTCGTGAAATCGAGAAAGATAATACCGATGTGGCAAATATAACGACCACCACAGAAGTAACAAAGGTGAGTTCGACCATTGAGCCTTTTCAAAGGTGCGTGTGTCTTGCTTCTCATATTGGGTGTGTTACACACTATTTTTCGGGGGTGTGTGTGAAGCTAATTAACTATAGAATTTTAATATTACCCTCAGATATTCGATGCGAGCATTAATGACTGGCGAGTTCTCGATGAGAAGGTCCATACGGATGTTATTGAGAAAATTGTGGAGGCACCCAAGAAGACAATATATGTGGACGAGTTTGTGGAAATTGAAAAGAATACATCCATTTCAGAGAACAATGAAAATATCACATTGAATCTGAATGAAACATCGAAACACAAAAATATCACAGAGAATATTTATGATGAAATCGATAATGTACGCACTGATAAGAAACGCTTAGACGATTCAAGAACCGTAAGTGATTATTACTAAATGATAATGTAATTGAAAAAGATTATTAATTCAATATGTATTCCAGCGCGGAGTCGACAGTAAAAACAAAAGAACAACACAACACAGTGAGAGATGTATTTGTGAAATATGTACTTGCGGGTAAGTCAGTTTGTATTTTCTCGTAAAAAATGTATCTAATGATTCTTGATTTCTTAGGCGTCATCATTGCTCCACTAGCGCAACGAAAACTACAGAAACTACAGTTGTTGAAATAGATGGCAAGTGCTCTGAAATTTTTCTAACTACTGAATTTACCTTATAGACTAATTCATTTTTTTTTTTATTTGCTTTTACAGATAACGTCGACGAAACTTACACAAGGATACGGACTAACACTTGGTCTAAGAACGATGATAACATTCCAAAAAAAAATGAAGACATATTTGTAGATTACATAGTCATAAAGAAACCCGAAGACAATCTTACAGTCGGAGGCGACTTTTTAGTTCCACAGAAAGAGCCATACAAACCAGGCGAAAAACGTGAAAAAATTATACACACAGACAATTTACGTATGGACGGTGAAATGACTTTTGTGGAAAAAGAAGAATATCAATACGTTGTCCGTCCTGGATACGTAAAGCCCACGGACAACCTGAAGCCAGAGGGTGAATTCTACAGCCCCCAAAAACCCAAATATCAGCCTGGTGACCGCCCAAGTCAAGTGCGACATCCAGACAATTTAAAACCAGAAGGAGAGTTTTACGGACCCGAAAAAACCGAATTCCGTCCTGCAGAGCGCCCATCTCAAGTAAGGCCTGAAGATAACTTAAGACCCGAAGGCGAATTCTATACTCCAGATAAGCCAGGCTTTAGGCCAGCAGAGCGTCCAGTTCAAAAGAAACCAGTAGACAACTTGAAGCCTGAAGGAGACTTTGTTGCACCTGAAAAGCAAGTTTTCCGGCCAGCAGAGAAAAATGAAAGGATTATCAGAAAGGATAACTTGCGAACCGAAGGTGAAATGACATTTATGGAGAAGGAAGAGTATCAATATGTGGTTCGCCCCGGGCAAGTTAAGCCCACGGATAACCTCAAACCTGAAGGTGAATTCTACAGCCCCGAAAAACAAAAGTATAGGCCAGGCGAACGTCCATCTCAAGTCAGACCAGAAGATAACCTGAGACCCGAGGGTGAATTCTACACTCCAGATAAACCAGGATATAAACCAGCAGAACGTCCAGTTCAAAAGGTACCAGTAGATAACCTACGTCCAGAAGGAGACTTCTATAGTCCCGAAAAGCCGAAATATCAACCTGGTGAACGTCCATCTCAAGTCAGACCAGAAGATAACCTGAGACCAGAGGGTGAATTCTACACTCCAGATAAACCAGGCTTTAGGCCAGCAGAGCGTCCAGTTCAAAAGAAACCAGTGGACAACTTGAAGCCTGAAGGAGACTTCTACAGTCCCGAAAAACCGAAATATCAACCTGGTGAACGTCCGTCTCAAGTCAGACCAGAAGATAATCTGAGATCCGAAGGTGAATTCTACACTCCAGATAAACCAGGATATAGACCCGCAGAACGTCCAGTTCAAAAGGTACCAAAAGATAACCTACGTCCAGAAGGAGACTTCTATAGTCCCGAAAAGCCGAAATATCAACCTGGTGAACGTCCATCTCAAGTCAGACCAGAAGATAACCTGAGACCAGAGGGTGAATTCTACACTCCAGATAAACCAGGCTTTAGGCCAGCAGAGCGTCCAGTTCAAAAGAAACCAGTGGACAACTTGAAGCCTGAAGGAGACTTTGTTGCACCTGAAAAGCAAGTTTTCCGTCCGGCAGAGAAAAATGAAAGGATCATCAGAAAGGATAACTTGCGAACCGAAGGTGAAATGACATTTGTGGAGAAGGAAGAGTATCAATATGTGGTTCGCCCCGAGCAGGTTAAGCCAACAGATAATCTCAAACCAGAAGGTGAATTCTATAGTCCTGAAAAACAAAAGTATAGACCAGGTGAACGTCCATCTCAAGTAAGACCAGAAGATAACCTGCGACCCGAGGGTGAATTCTACACTCCAGATAAACCAGGCTTTAGGCCAGCAGAGCGTCCAGTTCAAAAGAAACCAGAAGACAATTTGCGTCCAGAAGGAGACTTCTACAGTCCCGAAAAGCCGAAATATCAACCTGGTGAACGTCCATCTCAAGTCAGACCAGAAGATAACCTGAGACCTGAGGGTGAATTCTACACTCCAGATAAACCAGGCTTTAGGCCAGCAGAGCGTCCAGTTCAAAAGAAACCAGAAGACAATTTGCGCCCAGAAGGAGACTTCTACAGTCCCGAAAAGCCGAAGTATCAGCCTGGTGAACGTCCGTCTCAAGTTAGACCAGAAGATAATCTGAGACCCGAAGGCGAATTCTATACTCCAGATAAACCAGGATATCGTCCCGCAGAGCGTCCAGTTCAAAAGAAACCAGTAGACAACTTGAAGCCTGAAGGAGACTTTGTTGCACCTGAAAAGCAAGTTTTCCGTCCAGCAGAGAAAAATGAAAGGATCATCAGAAAGGATAACTTGCGAACCGAAGGTGAAATGACATTTGTGGAGAAGGAAGAGTATCAATATGTGGTTCGCCCCGAGCAGGTTAAGCCAACGGATAATCTCAAACCTGAAGGTGAATTTTACAGTCCCGAAAAGCCGAAATATCAGCCTGGAGAACGTCCGTCTCAAGTCAGACCAGAAGATAACCTGAGACCCGAAGGTGAATTCTACACTCCAGATAAACCAGGATATCGTCCCGCAGAGCGTCCAGTTCAAAAGAAACCTGAAGACAATTTGCGTCCAGAAGGAGACTTCTACAGTCCCGAAAAGCCGAAATATCAACCTGGTGAACGTCCGTCTCAAGTCAGACCAGAAGATAACCTGAGACCTGAGGGTGAATTCTACACTCCAGATAAACCAGGCTTTAGGCCAGCAGAGCGTCCAGTTCAAAAGAAACCAGAAGACAATTTGCGTCCAGAAGGAGACTTCTACAGTCCCGAAAAGCCGAAGTATCAACCTGGTGAACGTCCGTCTCAAGTTAGACCAGAAGATAACCTGAGACCAGAAGGCGAGTTCTACACTCCAGATAAACCAGGATATCGTCCCGCAGAGCGTCCAGTTCAAAAGAAACCAGTAGACAACTTGAAGCCTGAAGGAGAGTTTGTTGCACCTGAAAAGCAAGTTTTCCGTCCAGCAGAGAAAAATGAAAGGATCATCAGAAAGGATAACTTGCGAACCGAAGGTGAAATGACATTTGTGGAGAAGGAAGAGTATCAATATGTGGTTCGCCCCGAGCAGGTTAAGCCAACGGATAATCTCAAACCTGAAGGTGAATTTTACAGTCCCGAAAAGCCGAAGTATCAGCCTGGAGAACGTCCGTCTCAAGTCAGACCAGAAGATAACCTGAGACCCGAAGGTGAATTCTACACTCCAGATAAACCAGGATATCGTCCCGCAGAGCGTCCAGTTCAAAAGAAACCTGAAGACAATTTGCGTCCAGAAGGAGACTTCTACAGTCCCGAAAAGCCGAAATATCAACCTGGTGAACGTCCGTCTCAAGTCAGACCAGAAGATAACCTGAGACCTGAGGGTGAATTCTACACTCCAGATAAACCAGGCTTTAGGCCAGCAGAGCGTCCAGTTCAAAAGAAACCAGAAGACAATTTGCGTCCAGAAGGAGACTTCTACAGTCCCGAAAAGCCGAAGTATCAACCTGGTGAACGTCCGTCTCAAGTTAGACCAGAAGATAACCTGAGACCAGAAGGCGAGTTCTACACTCCAGATAAACCAGGATATCGTCCCGCAGAGCGTCCAGTTCAAAAGAAACCAGTAGACAACTTGAAGCCTGAAGGAGACTTTGTTGCACCTGAAAAGCAAGTTTTCCGTCCAGCAGAGAAAAATGAAAGGATCATCAGAAAGGATAACTTGCGAACAGAAGGAGAAATGACATTTGTGGAGAAGGAAGAGTATCAATATGTAGTTCGCCCCGAGCAGGTTAAGCCAACGGATAATCTCAAACCTGAAGGTGAATTTTACAGTCCCGAAAAGCCGAAGTATCAGCCTGGAGAACGTCCGTCTCAAGTCAGACCAGAAGATAACCTGAGACCCGAAGGTGAATTCTACACTCCAGATAAACCAGGATATCGTCCCGCAGAGCGTCCAGTTCAAAAGAAACCTGAAGACAATTTGCGTCCAGAAGGAGACTTCTACAGTCCCGAAAAGCCGAAATATCAACCTGGTGAACGTCCGTCTCAAGTCAGACCAGAAGATAACCTGAGACCTGAGGGTGAATTCTACACTCCAGATAAACCAGGCTTTAGGCCAGCAGAGCGTCCAGTTCAAAAGAAACCAGAAGACAATTTGCGTCCAGAAGGAGACTTCTACACTCCCGAAAAGCCGATGTATCAGCCTGGTGAACGTCCGTCTCAAGTTAGACCAGAAGATAACCTGAGACCAGAAGGCGAGTTCTACACTCCAGATAAACCAGGATATCGTCCCGCAGAGCGTCCAGTTCAAAAGAAACCAGTAGACAACTTGAAGCCTGAAGGAGACTTTGTTGCACCTGAGAAGCAAGTTTTCCGTCCGGCAGAGAAAAATGAAAGGATCATCAGAAAGGATAACTTGCGAACCGAAGGTGAAATGACATTTGTGGAGAAGGAAGAGTATCAATATGTGGTTCGCCCCGAGCAGGTTAAGCCAACAGATAATCTCAAACCTGAAGGTGAATTTTACAGTCCCGAAAAGCCGAAATATCAACCTGGTGAACGTCCGTCTCAAGTCAGACCAGAAGATAACCTGAGACCTGAGGGTGAATTCTACACTCCAGATAAACCAGGCTTTAGGCCAGCAGAGCGTCCAGTTCAAAAGAAACCAGAAGACAATTTGCGTCCAGAAGGAGACTTCTACAGTCCCGAAAAGCCGAAGTATCAACCTGGTGAACGTCCGTCTCAAGTTAGACCAGAAGATAACCTGAGACCAGAAGGCGAGTTCTACACTCCAGATAAACCAGGATATCGTCCCGCAGAGCGTCCAGTTCAAAAGAAACCAGTAGACAACTTGAAGCCTGAAGGAGACTTTGTTGCACCTGAAAAGCAAGTTTTCCGTCCAGCAGAGAAAAATGAAAGGATCATCAGAAAGGATAACTTGCGAACCGAAGGTGAAATGACATTTGTGGAGAAGGAAGAGTATCAATATGTGGTTCGCCCCGAGCAGGTTAAGCCAACAGATAATCTCAAACCTGAAGGTGAATTTTACAGTCCCGAAAAGCCGAAGTATCAGCCTGGAGAACGTCCGTCTCAAGTCAGACCAGAAGATAACCTGAGACCCGAAGGTGAATTCTACACTCCAGATAAACCAGGATATCGCCCCGCAGAGCGTCCAGTTCAAAAGAAACCAGAAGACAATTTGCGTCCAGAAGGAGACTTCTACAGTCCCGAAAAGCCGAAGTATCAACCTGGTGAACGTCCGTCTCAAGTTAGACCAGAAGATAACCTGAGACCAGAAGGCGAGTTCTACACTCCAGATAAACCAGGATATCGTCCCGCAGAGCGTCCAGTTCAAAAGAAACCAGTAGACAACTTGAAGCCTGAAGGAGACTTTGTTGCACCTGAAAAGCAAGTTTTCCGTCCGGCAGAGAAAAATGAAAGGATCATCAGAAAGGATAACTTGCGAAGCGAAGGTGAAATGACATTTGTGGAGAAGGAAGAGTATCAATATGTGGTTCGCCCCGAGCAGGTTAAGCCAACAGATAATCTCAAACCTGAAGGTGAATTTTACAGTCCCGAAAAGCCGAAGTATCAGCCTGGAGAACGTCCGTCTCAAGTCAGACCAGAAGATAACCTGAGACCAGAGGGTGAATTCTACACTCCAGATAAACCAGGCTTCAGGCCAGCAGAGCGTCCAGTTCAAAAGAAACCAGAAGACAATTTGCGTCCAGAAGGAGACTTCTACAGCCCCGAAAAGCCGAAGTATCAACCTGGTGAACGTCCATCTCAAGTTAGACCAGAAGATAACCTGCGACCAGAAGGCGAGTTCTACACTCCAGATAAACCAGGATATCGTCCCGCAGAGCGTCCAGTTCAAAAGAAACCAGTAGACAACTTGAAGCCTGAAGGAGAGTTTGTTGCACCTGAAAAGCAAGTTTTCCGTCCGGCAGAGAAAAATGAAAGGATCATCAGAAAGGATAACTTGCGAACCGAAGGTGAAATGACATTTGTGGAGAAGGAAGAGTATCAATATGTGGTTCGCCCCGAGCAGGTTAAGCCAACGGATAATCTCAAACCTGAAGGTGAATTTTACAGTCCCGAAAAGCCGAAGTATCAGCCTGGAGAACGTCCGTCTCAAGTCAGACCAGAAGATAACCTGAGACCCGAAGGTGAATTCTACACTCCAGATAAACCAGGCTTTAGGCCAGCAGAGCGTCCAGTTCAAAAGAAACCAGAAGACAATTTGCGTCCAGAAGGAGACTTCTACAGTCCCGAAAAGCCGAAATATCAACCTGGTGAACGTCCATCTCAAGTCAGACCAGAAGATAATCTAAGGCCCGAAGGTGAATTCTACACTCCAGATAAACCAGGCTTTAGGCCAGCAGAGCGTCCAGTTCAAAAGAAACCTGAAGACAATTTGCGTCCAGAAGGAGACTTCTACAGTCCTGAAAAGCCGAAGTATCAACCTGGTGAACGTCCATCTCAAGTCAGACCAGAAGATAACCTGAGACCAGAGGGTGAATTCTACACTCCAGATAAACCAGGCTTTAGGCCAGCAGAGCGTCCAGTTCAAAAGAAACCAGAAGACAATTTGCGTCCAGAAGGAGACTTCTACAGTCCCGAAAAGCCGAAGTATCAACCTGGTGAACGTCCGTCTCAAGTTAGACCAGAAGATAACCTGAGACCAGAGGGCGAATTCTACACTCCAGATAAACCAGGCTTTAGGCCAGCAGAGCGTCCAGTTCAAAAGAAACCAGAAGACAATCTGCGTCCAGAGGGAGACTTCTACAGTCCCGAAAAGCCGAAGTATCAACCTGGTGAACGTCCATCTCAAGTCAGACCAGAAGATAACCTGAGACCAGAAGGCGAATTCTACACTCCAGATAAACCAGGATATCGTCCCGCAGAGCGTCCAGTTCAAAAGAAACCAGTAGACAACTTGAAGCCTGAAGGAGACTTTGTTGCACCTGAAAAGCAAGTTTTCCGTCCAGCAGAGAAAAATGAAAGGATCATCAGAAAGGATAACTTGCGAACCGAAGGTGAAATGACATTTGTGGAGAAGGAAGAGTATCAATATGTGGTTCGCCCCGAGCAGGTTAAGCCAACAGATAATCTCAAACCTGAAGGTGAATTTTACAGTCCCGAAAAACAAAAGTATAGACCAGGTGAACGTCCATCTCAAGTCAGACCAGAAGACAACTTGAGACCCGAGGGTGAATTCTATACTCCAGATAAACCAGGCTTTAGGCCAGCAGAGCGTCCAGTTCAGAAGAAGCCAGTAGACAATTTAAAGCCTGAAGGAGACTTTGTTGCACCTGAAAAGCAAGTATTCCGTCCAGCAGAGAAAAATGAAAGGATCATCAGAAAGGATAACTTGCGAACCGAAGGTGAAATGACATTTGTGGAGAAGAAAGAGTATCAATATGTGGTTCGCCCCGAGCAGGTTAAGCCAACAGATAATCTCAAGCCTGAAGGTGAATTCTATAGTCCTGAAAAACAAAAGTATAGACCAGGTGAACGTCCATCTCAAGTCAGACCAGAAGACAACTTGAGACCCGAGGGTGAATTCTATACTCCAGATAAACCAGGCTTTAGGCCAGCAGAGCGTCCAGTTCAGAAGAAGCCAGTGGACAATCTCAAACCGGAAGGGGAGTTTGTTTCCCCCGAAAAGAAAGTTTTCCGGCCTGCAGAGAAAAATGAAAGAATCATCAGAAAGGATAACTTGCGAACTGAGGGTGAAATGACGTTTGTGGAGAAGAAAGAGTATCAATACGTCATTCGCCCTGAACAGGTTAGACCAATAGATAATCTTAAGCCCGAAGGCGAATTTTATAGTCCAGAGAAGCCGAAGTTCCGCCCAGGTGAGCGGCCATCTCAAGTCAGGCCAGAGGATAACTTGAAACCTGAGGGTGAGTTTTACACTCCTGAGAAACCTGGCTTTAAGCCTGTTGAACGACCCAAACAGAAGAGACCTCAGGATAATCTGAAGCCTCTGGAAGGTGTTATGTATACTCCAGAAAAGCAGAAATTCCAGCCAGCAGATCGGCCTGAACAAAAGAGACATGTTGACAATTTAAAACCTGAAGGTCAAATGTACATTCCAGAAAAGGAATCATTTAAGCCAGCGGAAAAGGTTAAGACTGTCATAAGAAAAGACAACCTTAAGACCGAGGGTACAATGACATTTACGAAAAAGGAGGAATATCATCATGTCAAGCGACCAGAACAGGTGAAGCCAAGCGATAACTTGAAGACCGAAGGACCATTCTATGCACCCGAAAAACCCAAATTTAAACCAGCGGAACGTCCGACCCAAAAGAAACCCAAGGATAACTTAAAGCCAGAAGGTGAATTCTATAAGAGAACTGATAGAACCGATAGAACCGAAACAGACAGCACTACGATAATAGAGAGCGCTAGAAGAGAGCCAGTGAAGCGACCGGTGGATAATTTAAAACTTGAAGGTTCCATGACGGTGACAAGAAAGGATGATTACAAGACAACAACGAATAAGACTGCCGTCGATAGAGTTCAGCGTACACAAAAATACAAGCATAATAGCTCCACCATCAATTTGGGAACTGATACTTCAATTCTGAAAACAACAAACCAGATGAACTTTGTATCGGGCAAGGACGCAATTAAGCAAGTGGATTCTGATAGCCAAAATCCAGTCGATGGCTTAATAATTGTTTCAACGAAAAAGGTGACAACAGTTGTCGGTGGTCGGACTAAAAAGGAGCCGGAAACGGAATATGTGAAACGACCAGCTAAGATAAATGTTATTGAAAATGTATCCAAAAATACGACGACTACAAACATCGAAAACACTAAAAACATACATAAGGAATCATCATCTATGCAAAGAAATCTCAATGTGGTGGAAAGGACTGCTGTAAACACTGAACAGATAAGAGGTTCAACAGATGACAGCAGAGCTCTGGAGACCTCCACCACAACCAGAAGGAATCAAAATGGCACCGTAACTAGCAATGTGACGGGATCGGGTGGCTCAACATCCCACATTGTCTCAAGCAGTACAGTTACCAGTAAGGTCAACGGTGATACAACACTTCATGGTCGTTCAACGACCGATAATGTGACTAATGGCAGTTCAACATCTCATGTGGTAGGTGGACGTACCGTGGCCGACAATGTGTCCGCCGGCAGTACAACGACTCGTGTGGTCGGTGGTAGTTCAATACAAACCAATTTAAGTAATGTGACAGGCAGCTCCACTTCCCAAATGAGCTCATCCAAGCATTTCCATCACAGGAAGAGCGAGTTTTCATCGGAAGCGGATGTGTCCAACACCATATTCCATCGCAAGAATGTTTCAAATGACTCGAGTGCTGTCAACAGTAGCCTGACATCAACTGGCAAGATGCAACGCAAGAGTATCCTCAATCTACACGAGCAGCCATCGAGCACCAGTGCTCATTCGAATGATCGCCAGAGTTACAGCAGCATTCATCGCCAGAATCGGGAATCGGACTTGAGTGCAGGTTATTCCACGGAGCGTCGCAGTTGCAGCATCCACAAGGAAAATAAGGAACATCAAGTGAAAACCTCTTCATCTACTTCATCCATGTCGCGCATTATTTCGGGTGGCACTGACACCGCCAATAATGCCAATAGATCGAATCTAGATAGGTCTACGGTTACACGCACCTATGTGTCCGGTGGCATCGATTTCCCATCCCATTCACAATCCCAATCTCAGAGCGAGCGCCACATGACGCGTCACCGTGGTGGCAGTGGTAGCCAACATTTGTCGAGTGGCATCGATTTCTCCTCCTCTTCCCGCAATGTCCATGGCCAGAACGAACGTGTTATGACTGCTCGTCGCGGCAATCAATCGTCGATCAGCCTGGGCAACGATAAGTTTACCGGTTCCAGTCTCTATAAGAGCGAATATATAACTGCCCCAACAACAACGTGTGCTGTGCATAAAATTAAACAAGGTGCATTCCAACATACCAGAAGTACACACGATCATAAGTTTTATAAATCCTCCAACTAACATATAAAATCGTATTTTTGTACGTTTCTTTTTTTTGTCGTGTCTTGTCTTCATATCATATCACATAGTGCCTAAGATTCCATGACAATATTTTTTTATACAATATCAACTTACCTAAACGAAAAACCAACAATATTAATAAGATTAACCAATAAATGCATATCATTTTTTAAAAACAAAAGAAACCCTAACTGATTTTTTCTTAGAAAATAGTTTTAAATACGAGTGATTATTCAACGTGAGATGATGGTTTTTTTTATTAAGAATTTTTAAAAGATGCTAGTGTGGGTTTTAAAGGCTATTATCGTATGTATAAGTACAGCAACTGTATAATTAATATCGTTTAAAAAAACGCATTCAACTATATGTATATATACTATACGCTGGTATATAAATAATCAATGAGTTCTATCTATACGTTAATAGATTTACATACATTTCAATTTGTATAATGGTTTATTGTTTTCATTTTAGAAGTTTTTCCCTCTATATATATTTATACATTTATATATATTTGTGTATATATATATATATAATATGCGCTCATACAGTAAATATCAATAATCTCTTTAATTACTCGTTACTTAAATTAGCTTAGGAGTTTCATATTTCATGCTTGGAAGACATTTGTTCGCTTGTTTTGGAAGACTTGCGTTTCATTTCTTATAGACTAGGTTTATTGTTTCGTTTTCATTCATATATATCATCATAGACTGCATCTTTGGCATTAAATACAATATTAACTATATAGTTTGGAAGACTTGTGGATGTATTGCCAAAAATGCAGACCATAAAACCCAACAAATATATATACCTAGGTATACCTGCGTGTTACCCAGTTTGATTAGTGCTTTCGTAAACAAATCTATAAATAGTTTTGTAACAATCGTAATGATACTTTTTAAAATGGAAGACCGATCTCGAATGCATTGATTAAGGCATTGCCAGAATCATAGATGCCAATAACGCCGAAGAGCACACCTAGCCCTATAATGAGGTAGTCTTTAGCTATTTCCTTCTGATCGAGCAGATGACCCTTGATTTTTATGTGAAAATAACAGGGCCAAATAAAACTCAACATAGTACCCGTAAAGCTGCCAATAAAGCCCATCAGTATCGAAAAGTGGGGAATGAATATGGCCATTAGTACTGTGGATACTATAATGCCCACTCGGAAGCCCAATCCCCAGACTTTTAGCTCACCATCCAGATTCCAGATTGTCGGAAATTTGGTCTTTGGCGGGCCACGAAAGAAATTACGTTCGAGCAGCTCGCAGGCAGCGTAGTATGGCAATGGATAGCTGAGAATGGCCTTGATGACCAGAAAGAAGTTGACCATGCCCTTAAAGCCCTGCGAATGCAAATTATTGGTTATCACCTGCTGCGTGTCGTTCTGGAAGGTTAGAAAACAGATGTAACCGAATCCGGCCTTGAATGCAGCAGCGGCTATATGGGACCAGTCCAACATCCAGTTAAACTTGGAGCGATCAATCATGTTGCCCTCGAGGGTGGGCAGAAATATCTGCGATGTGTACGAGAAGACAATGACGCCCAGCGAAATTGGAAAGTTCTCCATGTCAATGCTCCAGCGTACCTTCGACCAGCCCCAATCCCCAATTTGTAGCAGGCAATAGCCCAAAATCACCGCATTTATCACAATGTGTGACATGGTGCACCAGAATGATAGCGTCGATACCATTTTCAGTGACTTGAGGAAACCCATGGGCAGTAAAAAGATGCCAATGAACAGCATCCAGGAGCGTGAATCAAACGATCCTTGCGGATATGTGCCAGCCAACAGATCCCCACAGACGACCACATACAGGATGCACGTCATCAGCAGCTCAATCAGCTGGGCAATGCTGACGGCCCGGGCACCCAGCTTGGCGCCGAAACACACTTTGGCAATGGCCACATAACTATCGCGTACACGCACCATCTGACCAGTGGCCGGGTCCGGTTCGTAGAGGCACTGCACCAGCACTTTGCCTGTGTAGCAGCAAATGTGCGCAATGCCCACCATGGCAATAATGGCCCAGTATCCGCCGTGCAGAACGGCAAATGGCAGCGATACGATGAACATGCCTTGAATCGCATTTGTCACATTCCATGCCGCTTGGAACTCATCGATCTTGGAGCCGCCGCCACCCTCACCCTCGCACACAAACGAGCTGGCATCCGAGGCAATGCTGCCTTGCCTACATGGAAATGAAAGAAGATACAACAAATGAGCAACTGCATCATTGGGTGGAATTTGTACATCTGTGTGCTACGTACCTGAATCCGTCGGTTTGCTGATATCTGCCATCGTATTCATTGCCCACAAAGGATGTGCTCTGGTATTCGTTTTTGTAGTCACCCTCAGCAGCATCCTCATTGGACCAACTGGTCGCATTTCGAAAGGGATTCGAGTTCATCTCTGTGGGCGGTTCGGTGCCATCGCCAGTGCCAGTGCCAGCGCCAGCATCGCCTCCTGGTGGAAACATGCCGTGACCTTGACCGTGAGCAAAGTTCTGCTGGGGATTGCCACTTGTGCCGGTTGGTTGTTGATAATCCTTGCGCTCTGGAATTTGTTGTCTGGCCGTTTGCATGGCCACATTGAGTATATTCCTGATTGGTGGCAATGGCGTTGCTTTCAATTTCGTTATGAATGACATGTTGTAGCTTTTATTGTTGTTGTTCTTGGCGATTACACACAGAGCAAGTGAGCGAGAGAGCGAGCTCTGTTAGGTGGGTGGGTGGCTAATGCGAATGGCGGTGGTGGTGGTGGTGTTGGTGTTGGGTGGATGACGGCGGCCCCTTTTGTCTATCAAGTTGTAGTGCGAATTTGTACGGATGCTGAAGCTTATCGATTTTACTGAATGTTGAAATGTTGTCGAATTACGGCTGTTGATTTCCAATTATTCACATTTACAAACTTAAATTAGACAACATTACTAACTATTTAACTAAAAAACTTAATTTTCGTGTGATATTTGTATGTGTGTGAATTTTCTTTTAACAAATTTTTGTATGCAGCGCATAAATGGCGCTCTATGCAAATGCTTTTATCAAAACTTTACACATTTCTGCTCACTTAGCTTAACTGGAACTGGAACTCTAGCTTCAATAGCAGCATCTCTTTTTCGTACAGCCCGACCAAACGTGGAATTATTTGGAAAATTATATTGAATAATTGAAATTTTTATGTAACGTTTAAGGGAAATCCTTCAGCCCTTCAGCACAGCAGCAAGAAAAGAAAATTATTTTCTTCTTCTTTTTTCACTTTCAATCTCTCATCCCGTGGAACAGTGCGCAGTCGCCAGCTGGCAGATGCTGTGCATGTGTGTATTGGTTGGCCATGGGTGTCAGGTGTCATATGGTTACAACTGTCAAACTTATCTTCCACACACCAGGCAAAAATCATCGGTATTCATGAAGCGTGAATCTTATTGGATTTTCTAATCGAGTTATAATCTTGAGTTCTTCTTGAAGCTCTTCGCATTTGGAGATGGTTGGGAATTTTTAACATTTCCATAAATACAAAAGAATTTAATCGATTTCCAAAAGCATTACATTTGTGGTTGTTGTTGTGTCAAAATTCATGTTATAATTTTATTTCAATAAATCCATTTGGAAACGATTCCAAATTTTGCACTTTCGAATCTGAACCGATTTGCTAAATCAATACCATTTTTATTAGGGCTTTCCATGTTGATTAATAACTAGTATTTGTAATATAAGTAATACAATTAAATATCATCGCAAATTTCATTTTATTTCAATGCAAGCTAGCTTAAGTTGAACATATTTCATATTTGATATACATAATAATAAAAACTCTATATATAGTACAATTTGTAAAGAGATGGAAGAGAAGGATGAGACAGAGGCTGAGGAGGAGGAGTAGGAGGGTAGGGTCATTACTTATGCGTACCTAAACCAAGCGCTACTAATGTCTACATTTTCAAATATAACAAATTTTAAGAGAATATGCGAGACAATCCCAGCAAGGATTTCTTAATCGATGCCATTGCTGTCAATTGTTGTCAATTGCTGTAACAGGTTTTGCGTACTCCCGCCAAAATATTGCTAATCTCATCATCCTTGCGCTGTTGCTGCTGCTGATGCTGCTGCTCGAAGAGCATTTCGCCAACACCAACGCCCACCCCCACGCCCACCATACCCGGTCCGGCATTGCCCGCTGTGGCAAAGTGATGATGATGATGATGATGATGTGGATGGGAATGGGCATGGGCGTGGGTGTGGGGATGATGATGCTGCTGCATGGCTGCCTCTGCAGTTGGTGGTGGTGGTAGTGGTGGTGGTGCTGCTGTTGCTGTCTGCTGTGGCAGCAACTGTGCACTCGCTCCATTGGCCTCATAGTAGTTGCCATAGTGGAGGTAGCTGCTCTGCATGGGCTGTGCATAGGCCCCGCCTGGCGCTGATGTTTGCTGGAACGGTACGGCTAGCTGCAGGGGAAAGGCAGCCGCCAATCCGGTAGAGTAGGGCAACTGGGTGTAGTAACTGGTGGCGCCAGTAGGTGGTGCTGTTGGTGGCGGTGGTGGTGCCGCCGTTATCAACATGGCATTATTATAGGCCTCCGCCTCGTAATCATCGTAATTCTGATTGGTGTCTGGATATTTAGTACACTTCTGAGTGCCATTATTATCCGATGTCTCCTTCAGCTGATCATAGTCCAACTGCTCGTTGCTCTGATAGCGCAGAAAATCCTCATACTGCATGCCATACGCATTGGATAGATAATCATTGCTGCAGTTGCTGTCTGCCATGGCTACCGTATAGCTGGAGCCTGGAGCTGCACTCGACGTGACTGTCGCAGTGGACATGCTGGAGCTGCTGTTGCAATGTTGCTGCTGTTGCTGCTGTTGTTGCTGTTGTTGCTGCTGTTGTTGTTGCTGCTGTTGTTGCTGCTGTTGATGCTGCAGTGAGCTGCTGCTGCGCATTGAGATGGTGGCATCGTCATCGTTGGCACTCGACACGGGCGGATAGAACGTGCCCTTGACGGAGTGCCCATGATCCAGGAGACCACGATTGTTGCACGTCACATACATGCCACGTGCGGCAACAACTGCCACAGAGCTGGCCAGCGGATATGTTGCATATAGACTTGTTTGCTGCTGCTGCTGCTGTTGTTGCTGTGCTTTTGACTTCTCGTCCGACTTGGCCAGCTTCTCGCTGCGCTGCTTGCTGGCACGGCTTTGCGTCGCCGTCGCTGGCTTCGTTAGCTTCTTGAGCAGCAGGGAGCTGTCGAAGCTGGGATTTGTTGTGACCGGTGAGGATTCATTGCAATTGGCAGCTAAGCTCTCAATCTGATCCGTGCTATCCGCATTGCTGTAACAGTCCACGGAGCTGGGCGAGAAGCTCGGCTTCAACGGCTGCTCGTATAGCCCGCCTACATTTTGGGGCGTCGAGTTGCGGCTGTCGTCGGTGGGCGTGTTATAGCTGCCACTGGTGGCTGTTGCAGACAGTGGCGGCGTTGACAGCTTAGGCGTTGTCTTAGACGCTGCCATCGCTGCAACGGTTGTTGTCATCTCACCCGACGGCTCCTTGCCCGGCTGTGATGAAATGGTGCGCAGTTTGGATTGCTTTCGCCGACGGGGTCTGTATTTGTAGTTCGGATGCTCTGTCATGTGTATGACACGCAAGCGTTCCGCCTCCTCAACATACGGACGCCGATCCTGCGGCGTTAAGGAGCGCCACTTTTTGCCTGTTAACAGGAGCATTAGTTGGAACTATCTAAAATAATAAGTAGGAATAGTAACTTACCCAACATTTTGCTGAGATCGGCATTATGCAGGTCAGGATTCTCGTCGGCCAGCTTCTTGCGCTCGATTTTGGCCCACACCATGAACGCATTCATTGGCCGGCGAATGCGCGACTCTTTGGCACTTTTTACTGACTGATTACCTGGTCCCGGTCTGTACTTCAAATCGCTGGGCATGGCCTTGTGCCGGTCCAGATAGCCACAATTCGGTGCACATATGTCACCCTTGTAGTCATAGCTCCACATTGACGCCGGCTCAATGGGTGAATGCGATGCCGCGCCCACTCCCACTCCACATTCATCCTGGCCACCAACAATCATACTTGCATGCGGATGTGATAAGAACTTGTTCAGCATTGATGTGCCGCCTCCCCCTCCACCCAGGAGTGGTATATTGCTGCTGATCAATGAGGCACCGCCTCCGCCACCGCCCACACTATACGCACTGGACACCATCGGTGAGTGGCTGTGACTGTGCACAGAGAGCGCCGCTTCGTTCATGGAGTGCTCATTCTCGTAGCCGGCGCTCTGTATGGCTGGTGAGTGTAGGCTGGGCGAGGAGTGCTCGCTGCCCTGCCTCACATGGTAGATGCTATCGCTGGGACTCTCGTGCAGCAGTCGCCCATCCGATGCCAAGTAGCCAACATGCTCCGGATAATCGCTACCAACGGTTGAGTGGCTATATTCCGGTGTACGGGACACAAGTGGATACTTCTTAGCACTAAAATGATAAGTGCAATAAAATGGAAATTAGAAAGTTGTAGAATTAATATCGGAGAAAATATTAATATAAAGGATAATCTAATATGTAAGATAGAGTATCAAGTATTTCTTTAAATCTAACGTATATTAAAAATAAAAACGAATTAAATCTGTGCTTTGTACGAATTGTTCACAAAAGAAATGTGTCAATGCTCCAATGAATTAATGTGTCCTTTCAATCAAAGGACAAACATATATATATGAACTGTCCTTGTAATATGCTCTTGCTTATACCCTTTATGAGACATCTCTAATTCTATAAGAGAGGTATACTTATATCCATCAGAGTTCAGGCATAGTCAGTTTCTTGACTAACTATAAATAGAATTTTGAAATATTTTGGTTTCATTTATAACAACTATTTAAACCATAAAGAAAGACGGTCTATATAATAATGGGAATTGAATTTTAAAGTTAATAATATTTCTTTTGAGAGGATTCAAAGAGAATATATAAATTTAAATGTTATTTTCATAAGCCATAAAAATGTGATGAATTGAAAACCAAGCGATATGGCAAATATATTTTTGGCAATCATGAATGTTATTTATGATACTAATTTTGGCAAATACATCAGCTTTGTGTCGATGTATATTTTTATTAATCTAATATGCATTCAACAAACTTAAGTCTCAAGATTCTAAATACTATAATGCATACATTAAATAATAACATTTGCCAATTTCGACAGAGTAGAAAATGTGGTTTTAAGTTATTTCGTCGAAGATATCATGACAATAAAAAAAACCCATATAAGACAGAATAAGTTCTCAAAACGTTTTTGTAGCTTGAGAAGTGAATTCTTCGATATTTAACAGAATATTTACAAACTCATTGGATGTTAAGGTGTTGCCTGTTGAAGCTGTGCAAATCCTAATTAGAGATAAAATCGCTGAAGCATGTTTCTCATTGTTTTTATGAGCTACTGTTAAAAATTACGTACAAGAAATGTCGGCAATGCTGGCCTTATAATGATATTTAAAATCGCCGCTAAATACGTTGACAATTTTCACGTTTGCTGGCACGCAGAATAAGAAAAGAAAAAAGCGAAAACGAAAACAAAGGTAAAAACTTTGCGTTCATGGCAGACACCAACGAGCACAGAGAGAATGGCCAACACGAAGAGAGAAGGGGGAAACGAAGGGCTGGAAACTGGACCAGGTCCACAAGCTCGAAGGCTGCCCGGCAACGTTTGCGCTCCTTAATGTCAGTGGACATAAATGTAAATTGGGCGCGTGCAGCTATTGTATTATCAAAGGAGGCCGCCAGGTTGCAGGGTAAGCAAAGAAGCTGTAGTTGAAGCTAAAGCTGAAGCTGGAGCTGGAGCTGGAGCAGGAGCTGGGCCCCCAGACCTTTATGCATAACTTTTAAAAGTTGCGACATATCGACACATTTCAAAGTAATTCGGCTTCCAGGAATTCAAGCAGCAGCAGCAGCCGCAGCAGCCAAACGAGACAAGTTTAAATATTACCAATGCTTCAGCCCTGAAACTCGCTCCCTAAGGGAGAACCCCCGACGCCCGGACGCCTGGACGCCTGGATGCCCGACTTTCAACATCCGACTCCTGTCTCGGTTCGCTTCAGTCTCAGTGTGTGTGTGTGCGTGTCTTTTGGCCCCTGGCTCGATTTGTTACCGTTTGAATTTATTGCTGCCCACTACACTTTTGGTCTATTGTCTTTGCTGGCTGACTGTCTGGCTCTTTTGCCTACCAACTTGGCGAAACTGAGCTAACATGAGCTCGGCCTAATTGTTAGCTGCAACCATAGGCGATGCCAGCCAGGGGCTACCTTGGCGCAACTAGGCGCTCTAGTTTCATGCTTTCTTTGGCCAAACGAGCATTCGAGCCGACACAACTCGACAAAGTTAAGGCCCAAAAACCAAACAGAGACCTAGCCCCCAGGCTGCAGCTATAGATACACGGCATCAACTGGATAATTTATTGAGGGTTCCTGGTGACATCGTTACGTTTTTGATATTCGGTTGCGACTGCTGCTGCTGCTGCTGCTGCTAAATACTTTACCGAGGCACACAAAATTATGCCGTCCGGATCTGTACGCCTGTCCAACTGGTCTCTGGGTTCTGACTTGGGTCTTGCTTTGGTTCGCTTTGCTTTTTATCCTAAGCGCGCGCTCACGATCCACGACGATGCGGCTTTAGCTTTGGCTTTGGCTTTGGCTTTGGGCTTAGCCACCGGTCCGAGCAGCGTCTCTTAGCCATGGCCCTGATTTTAAAATAGGACACATACAGTGGCCGGTAAGTTGGCATTTTTATGCGCGCAAAATGTCAACATCTTTGCAAAATGCCACATATTCCACATTGCGGTCCTCTGTCCACCACTGTCTGTTTGTCTGCTTTCCACTCGTTGTGCCTCCTTTATGTGCCCTGTCTCTCTATCTCCCTGTCCACTGTCCACTGTCTGCCGTCCACTGTCCGACGTCCACCGTCCACCGTCCACTGTCTGCTGTCTGCTGTCCAAGTACTGAACGTCCGCGCTGACTTTGCGGACTGTGGACTGTGGCAACGTTTTGTTTACGACAACCGCAACGGGGCGACTCTGCTGGTGGCTTCAACTGCGCCTTCAACATGCTGCTGCTGCTGCTGCTGCTGCTAACTTGGCTAACTCACAGCTTGGCAACTTGCGGCTGCCGCAAAGTAGGCAACTTTGGCTCTGGGCCTTAACAAGCCCGAAAAAACTTCATTCAGAAGCCGCATTGATCTGGGGGAGAGAGTGTCAGCCCTTTAGCATATTGTGATTCATGTGTCGCTGCTCGAAGACAGCCTTTTAAGTCTTATTCCTCCCCGCCACAACTCATTCCCCTATTCCCATCCCCATTCCCATCTGAATCCGATTTGCTTGCAACAAAAAAACAAAAAAGGCCGCATCGTTTTGTTGCGGTTTTATCCACCGTGTTTTAAATATTCGGTGTTAATTATGAGTCGGATGATCAGATAATACAATGTTTAAAATCTGCATAGTTATTATGTTAACTTGTCCAACAAGCGCATCGAGCGAAAGTAAGTAAAGTTCATTCCTATATAGATGTGAACTTGTCGTACTTAATTCACACGTTCCAAATATCTCCAAAGCATTTGCTTTCAAGTCTGAAGAAAATTCTTAGACTACGGAACCAAATACACATAAATTTGGTCAGATATCTGGCACGTGTGAACTTAACTTTGACTTTGTTATAGGAAATCACAAGAATGAACTGCCATATTACATCTCTTATTACATTTAACCTCTTCGCTGCGATTTTGGATAGTCTTATAATTTAATACCAAATGATATATATTATATCCTAATATAATATATAATATCATTAGACTTATTACTACCTAAGTTTTTCCCTAGATTTTATATAATTCAAATATTATGTTAAGCTTCTGGTCATGTTATAAACGTGAGTTCTTTAAAAACTTCCCCAAGAAACCTATCCAAATCTCATCTCTCTCTCTCTCCTAAGTATTATTTAAAGCCTTTTAGCTTTGCAATAAGATTAAACAAAAATATTTGTATGTAATATCTTTATACTGATTAAATTAGCCGGACATATTTTGATGCATTCTTAGATTATTTAGACTGCAGTTAGATTAAAATTTATTTTATTTAAACTTATGCATTTTATCTATCTATGTCAAATACGGCACAGTTTTTGCCATGTAAATTTCAAATCTGTAACAAAATAAACTATTTAAACAGCTTTATTCTTTTTACCAACATTCAAAAGACTTATACTTTTAAACTTGGCTAGTCTGGAATCGGAGCGATTGCTGTCAAATCACTAAAATACCTTTTCGATTTTTGGGGACCAATTCTAATATTTTAATATTAACAACATTCTTCAGATTATTACTAACTTTAAGAAACAGCATATCATACTCATAGTTTTTACATTTTTTAATTATATGTGATTAGATTAGATATGGATACATGTCAATAAGCATTATTTATAATTTTTCTGCTAATAGAAATTATATTATTTAGCAGTTTTCTACTAATATAAGATATATTCCCTCAGTGCCACTAACTTTATTCATTTATTAGCTTGCTTTACGCATTTTCGGGTGACATTAATTAAAACACATCGCATTATTGCCGGCCATATTGAGCTGAATATGGTTGTTGTAAGCTTGTGGTAATAAAAGCCATTTTGGTTTTTCTGCGATGCCCACAGAGTGGGTGTGGCCTGCATAAGATGCAGCATCTGCTTTGCTCCATTTGCAGTCTATTGGCTGATGGTGCCAGGCGCCCCAAAACCCGAATACATTTGTTTCCAACTCATTTCACGTTGCCTCTACAACAACAACAACAACAACATAAAACCAGTCTGGCCCCAGGGACGGAACGGGCCAGGCCAAGACCTCAGTGTTGGCTGCTGTGTGTTGTTGCCTCTGCTGTTGGTTGGCTGTGTACTGTTGTTGTTGTTGTTGTTGTGGTGCGAAAGCGACTGAGGCCCAGGTGTGATGTACTGGAATAACTTAACGACGCAGTCGATACGCATACATATGCATAAGCATGTGCGTGTCTCAGTATCCGTATCTGTATCCGTATCTGTATCTGTGTGTTTGTATTTGTATTTGTATTTTTATGTAGATGCTGGTTGTTGTTGACCAATAAGCATAAACAGCTTCAGCATCCGGCCCGGGTAACCGCCATCTTAGCGCGTTCGCTTTAATGAACCAACAACAAGAAAAGGTAAACGCAGCTACCTGTGGCAATTTCTTGACTGTCGAATGAGAGGCCACCATAAAGAAAAAGAGAGCAAGGGGCGAGAGAGAGCGAGAGAGAGAGAGGGAGACGCAGAGCGAGAGCGAGCGACGACCGAGATAAATGCCCTTAGCTCTGATCTGCTTATATTTGCGTTGCCATTATATATATATATATATATATATATATACATGGATAAGATTCCTACACATAACTCCGTATATAATTAAACTAATGAAGCCAAGCATTTGGCGCTGCAGTTCTCTCCGGTGTGTCTCTTTAGGGCCCAACCGATCATATTCCAATGCACGAGAGCGCTCAGCATAACAGCGAAAAAAATAATAAATAAATAAATAAAAACCGAGGCCGAAACGCTGCTGCGAATGAGTTCGGCTAATGAGGCTTACAACCGTCCTCAAAGAAACAACGCAAGACCCAGTTCTCACACACAAAAGCCATTTTAAGAGCATGAAAAAGACAGACCCAAGAAAAATGTACTGAAATGTAATGGATTTTATCACGCACATACAAAACAACTCCCTCGCTTAGTTTGGCAGGCAGGGTAAGTGCTAGTGCAGATAAATATACAATACAATCTATAACTATGTATAGAAACATAAAGCTGAATTAATTATGGTTTAACCCATTAGTATCAAAGATTTATTCAAATAGTTTGCTTTAAGGCGCCTCAAAAATTTAAGCAGTTTTATTTAACAAAACGTTCTCAGCTTTCCCTTCCAATTAGTTGATAATAATCCAATGTAATTGTATTTAATTGCTAATTCCTAAAGCGCTTGATAGCGTCTTATGCTGAATATATAATTATAATCCTAAAATCTAAATTTTTGTATTATATAAATGGTCTTAAATATACTTCAACTATGGATGTTGGTTACTGCATATAATGAAATCCCCTCATTTCGATGTTTGTACTTAATTCAGAATCCAACAAGTTTGATAAAAACTTTCATTATATCATTATTAAGAAGAATTTGTACACGACAAATTCATAGCAAGTATTATTTCTTTAATTAAATCGGTTTAATTATCTTAAAACATATCAAAACGTTGTTAACACGGAGTAAAATATTATTACAAGTTAATTGGCGTATAAATAATTATAATAAAATGGGTATGTTTAACTTATTAGCTTAGACATTAATTATCTTGCCAACTTCTGATTTATATTCCTGTCAGCAGGAAGCATTTAATAAAAGGTACTTTTTTTATTAATCTTTTATATGAATAGGAAAAATATATCTTAAAGCGCTAAACTTGTTAGACTTGTACAAAATGCAAATCAATTGAGATGGATACTCCAGTTGGCCGGTTTAAATCTTGGTTAAATTGATGTGTCTACGTATTTGGTGGATTGATTTATAGAGCAACATAAAAACAAAACCCGAAACCGTGTCGTCATCGCATTTGTCATCTTTCACAGGATGACGACTAGCTGAACACAAAAAAGATCATCAAATTCCCAATTTTGTGACAGAATGTCAAAAAATATTTCGATCTTTTTTGTGTGGTACAAAAATACGAAGAAGTCTTAAAGGGTTTTTAATATATTCCATACATTTATACAAGAAATATGAATTCAAATCGTAACCGGATGCTACTTAAGGTTAGTTGGTTAAATGTTTGTCTATGTAAATATCTAGCAGAGCTATCAGGGAGCTTAGATCAAAACTAAATCATTTTAATGAGCGAAACCGCATGGTGACCTCTCCGCAACGTATATACAATGTTTATTTTATATATTTTATGTTGCCCTCTGGGGTTATTTTTTCTTTTCTCATACTTTTCGACTTTCTTGCTGACCACGCGGCTCGGACGCGTTGTGCTCTTGGTTTACTTTCCACTTGACCAATTCCGAGTCCGAGTCTGAAGCTTGAGTTTTTGAGAGCCAACCAAGACGCTCGTTCTATTCTAACTATCTATTTACATATTCACACAGAACGCACACAGTGAAACGAAAAAGCGGACACACGCATACAAGTGCAAGTGCTTCAAGTAGATGTATCTTGCCATTGGGGAGCTGGAAGTGGGGGATCTCCTTAAGCATAAACAAAATCTAAGCTAACTTTCGTGTATATATATGTATACATATATATATATATGTATATATATATATACCTAAACATCCCCTTCGCGTTGCTTTAGCTGTCGTGTTGTGATTTTTTCGTATCTCCATCTCTAGCTTTGTATGTGTGACTAAGTCTTGAAATGGCCCCCCACCCCGTCATAGACATAGTCTGTGCTTTAACTTTTATACATATATACATTTATATATATATATATATATATATATGTATATATGGGAGAGCCAGCGACATATACGAGACATCTAGAGAATTTCTTCACCACTACCAGTGCATTTTTCCATTTTTCATTATGGTTATTATCTTGGAAGATATGTATCTTCGCTACGGTTGGATATAATTAAACAGCGAAAAAAAAGTGTGTTGTTGTTGTTGTTGTGTTTTTTTTTTGCATGGGAAAAATGTAAATATTACTTGTAATTTGTTAGCAGATGATGTGGATGTTCGTGATCATATGAGGGTTCCATTTTATACGGCTATACACCAGCTATACAGCAACGGCTACGTTTCGTGGTAACGGTGACTGCGATGACGATGACGACGACGACGACGACGATGGTTGCAGGTTGTTGTTGTTGTTGTTGTTGTTGCTGTTGTTCTCGCTGTTGTTGTTGTTGGTGGTGGAGGTGGTGGTGGTGGCGGTGGTGGTTTGTGCTTTGCTTTAGCTTTAGCAGGGCCAGCAGCATTTTGCTTAATGTTGCATTATTCCGTTAGCTTTTTTCCCTAAGCGACTGCTGGCCGTGGTACCATTTGGCCCAGAGTACCAACTACCAACAATAAATTTGCTCATTCGTTGCTTTTGTTGTTGTTGTTGTTGCTGTTGTCTTTTAACTGGCATGTGTGAATTTGTGTCTATTTGTTGTGCGGGTGTATGTTGTATTTTAATTTGTGCTAGTTTAAGCCCTAACCCACATTAAGCACTTGGATTTTGCAATGATTTTACTTTTTGCTTAAATTATACATTTTTCACATATCAATTTAACACAATTAGGCACTTTTTTTTTTTAAATTAGAAACAGGCTCTTGCTCTTTCACTTACACATCACACACGCATTATTATTATTTATTTCTTTTGCTTGAGGATTTTAATTTTATTTACAGTAATTGTTGTTGTTGTTGTTGTTTTTTTTTACCGTTGGCAGTTGGTTCTACGATCCCACGTTAGCCAATATCAAGAGGTTGGCGAAACGCGCTTACGATCACGAAAAGTCTTGCGACGACTAATGAACGTATCTGGTGCTTAAAATCAAGGGCTTCAACATTTCACAAAAACAAAACCGAGAGCGGCTTGCCGACGCCGTTGTTGTTTTTGTTGTTGTTGTTGTTGTTATTGTTGCTGCTGCTGCCTTTGGCTCACAAGTTTACAATACACTTGGGAAAATGTACAACACAACGCATTGGCATATAAAACGGACCTACTATATACTACTATTATAGCAACGGCAACAGCTATAGATACAGATTCACACACACACACACACACACACAGATACACGCGCTGCACTAGTATGTAGATATTTATGATTATAAGCGCAACGCGCAACAGCCGCAGCTGCTGCCGGAGATGAGAGATTTGGCTAGGCCAAAAAAAAAGCGGTCAGGAGAGACACATGAACCACGCCGATGACAAACCGCAAGCTAACTAACTGACAACTGCCAAACTGCCAAACTGGCAACTAACAACTGGCGAACAACTGGCGAACAACTGGCGAACTTCACTGTTCAGTGTTTAGTGCGCTGCTGCTGCTGCTGCTGCTGTTGCTGTTCTCACTCTCTCCCAGCCAGTGGTGCTCTGTGAACTGAACTGAGATCTCCGGACAGCGACTCACACAGTTTGTCGAGTATCTCGAGTCGCAGTCGAATGCATAAGGCCAAAAAGCGCACGAGCAAAACCTTTTGCGCAGTCTTAGCCCAACTTGAAGCTGAGCACCAGCTACGACCCCAGAGAGAGATACAGGGAGCGATATATATATATATATCTAGAGAGAGAGAGAGAGAGAGAGAGAGCGATAGAGATAGAGAGCGCACTGTCAGCTGCCCAGCAAAGCGGAACGAACGCAGGTCTCATTCTGGGGCAAGTGTGCTCAACTCCAAGCACCGATCTCAGCCACAGAGCAACAGAGCAACAGAGCAACAGGCAACGTGCGGCAAGTTCTTACAAATCGAAATGAAACAGACTTATTTAATATTCTTTCTCGCCGAGTATTTTACAATAAAAAAGTCTCGAGCTGAGAGCAGAGCTAGCTCCCGCTCCCGCTCCGTGTCCCTCATCCTCCTTGTCTACGGCAGCTGTCGCATACACTCACAATATGACTAAAACCTGTTCTCGGTCTTTCAATGTGTTGTGGGAGAGACGACTTTGCATTTGGTTTGTTTCAATTGGTGGAGGCCCCCAAACGGCTGTGTATTGGTGTGAGTGCCAGCCCCAAATACATGACTTGCATACACACACGCACACTCACACATATGCACACACATAGATATGTATATGAGTAAGCACACAGCGCAGCGTATGCAAATATTGTTACATGCGGAACCTTTGTAGCTACTACGGTTAATAAGTATATGATCATATCTGATGATCTATCTATTTTTTTTTTGTAAATATATATTTAGGGAATTTATTAAATATATAATTAGAAAATTAACGAATTAATTAATATAGTTAATAGTATAGTATAATTTAGTTTAATAACAAATCCAATAAATAAATATTGAATAAATTCAATTTATAATATTATAATAACCAGGATCCACATTTGCCATTGTATCACGAAAACAAAAACTATATTACTGGGAAAATTTAAATATATCAGTTACATTATCAAATATTTGTGATAATCAGCAAATATTTCTAATAAAAATCGTTATACAAATTAAATAACCTATATTAATATAAATACCTAAAAATTGCTTAGTTCCTAATAATGTTAAATTTATTATATTGATGTATCTTAAATCAGATGTACAAGAGAATAAGATGTAATATAAGTATAATATATTTTCAAAACTATCTTTAAAAAGCAAACTTGTTACATAAAGAAATCTCTAAAAATGTTAATATCAATTTTATACATACAAATTAATAATGATAAGGTGAGAACTTTGGCAACGGATGTGTTAGTAATTGAATAATGTGCTATTTAAAAACTGGGCAAGATAATCGAATATACAGAATCCATTGAAAGTCATTCAGTAAATATGGCTATAAAAATTCAAGTATTTTATACCTACTCATGTAGATGTGACCAATTAAATGACCAATTGTCCTTTACAACGAACTAATAACACGCAAAATGACACAAATCACATTAAGTTAACTCAGTTACCCGTTCTTGCCTTACGTATATTATGTCAGTAGTTATTAAATCTTATCATCTTATCACTATTTCGCAGTCAAAAATGAAACCAACCTTCGAAAACCAAAAATATTAATATTCAAATAGAGCCATATTTAATTTTTATTTCATTTATCCACCCACTTTTGCATGCAGCCCAAAACGCCGACTGATTGGTATCCGCAATGCGATAAGCTTCTAAATTGCATATTGCAGCAACTAAGAGCAAAAGCCAAGCCCAGCAACGGATCAACTGCCAATGCACAGGTACTTACCGAAAACCAACCCAAAACCAGGTAAAAGTGCATTTGGCCACGCGTAAAGCATTTATTTTACATATATATATATATATAAACATACGCACACTCACACAAAACATCGAAGCACAGAGTTCATAATTAAGCGCCAGAATGCCAGAAACTTTGCTTCTCAGTCGGCGACGTGGGTTAGATGCAAAAATATTTGTTTATCATATCGCGATAATTGCCGCCGGCGCTCGCTGGGTCCGTCGATTTATGCCAGGGCTCTGGCGAGCCCAGGCCAGGCCAGGACAGAACAGACTGGGCAACAGCCCGGCCAAAACAAAAAGTCAAAGAAGACAACAAAATAAAAAAACAACAAAAAGAAAGAAACAAAACACAGCCACACAAGCGTGTGCCGACCGCCTTTGAGCTGGAGTTGGAGTTGGAGTTGAAGTTGCAGTCAAAGTCGTCGGGGACTGAGGATGAGGATCAAAGCGTGCCTCGGCGATGGTGGGTTACAAGTTTTAGCTTAATGGTCCGGGCAACGGCAACCTATGGCCCGCTGCGACTCATCTGCTGCTGCTGCTCCAAAAATGTGGGCGTGTGACACTTGAGGTTGCTATCGCCTGCGAATCTCTGCTTAAATGCAACGCAAGAGGGAAACAAAATACAAATTATTGATAAGCAGATCGGCCGGCTGTTGCACTGGAAGAAACTGTGATGGCCACACAGCCAGACAGTTGATTGCTGGCCACGTGATTTCGCTCAGTGTACAAGCTTCAGTGATCGCAAAAGTATCGCTGTAGGTGCAGTTTGCTCTTATCAGAGATGAAGCTTGGCACACGTTGGTCCAGACTCAGCCTCTCTGTCTCTGATGCAGTCTTTGAATGAAGCTGCTACAGTACACACATTGATGTTGATTGCTGTCTGCTGTTGGTTTTGCCTGAACGTTTTGGGTTATGTAAGCCGAAGCCGGTGTGATGAGGTCGTTGTGTGTTGTGTGTGCAATACCCGCCTGTTAAAACAACCGCTGCGGTAGGTTTGAGTGGCAGGCACTTGAATAACTTGAAATATGTCGATATAAAACAAAGGAGTGTATTTAACCACGGGCAACATAATATTCATACCTACAATACATGCCCACAAATGCTATCATAATTAAATTGAACGTATTTGAACTATGTAACAGTAATTAGAAACGCGTCCAGGCTCTTTGAATTGTAAGCACATTTCGCGCCAAAATAGTGCTGTAAAATATGTGCCTTCGTTATTTCCTATCGTTTTGCAGCACTAAAATGTAGTTATCGATGCCCCGATAGTTTCAATTACTAAATGTAGTCATCGATATGAATATACATTTTTTCATTCCATCACTACGTCGGTATGGTGAACGCTCAGTTGCGCGCTGATTTTTCTAACAAAATAAAATAGTTTTCGTGTGGTGTGAAATATTTAAAACATTAAAAAAGGATTTTTCAATTGTTACAAGTCACAGTCAACAACATGGACTTCGGCGGCACTCAGTCGCTAAGCAGCATTTTACAGCCGGAGGAGCTGCAGCTAGTGCCAGACAAGATACAAGAAAAACTTTCTTCTTACATTGAGAAATTTTCGGACGAATATTGCAAGGAACGGGCAGCCGCAAATCGCCTAAGTAAGTGCAAAATATGTAATCCCATTCTTAAACAAAAATTTATACGAAGAAAAAGCCGGCACATGCAAAATGAAAAAAAAAACAGTACAAAGCAAAATGGTAAAATCTACGACATTTGAGGTGTACACACTGGTCGTGTGTACACACTTGCACATAAATACTGCAATTTTTCGCTTGCAAAAATTGTTTCCCCATTAAAGAATTAAAAATAACGTGAACTGAACAGTAGTATTAAGGAAATAAAAGCATTCCAAGCATGGATCTCAGTGGTCCACAATCCCTGGCACACATATTTGCGCCAGATGAGCTGCAGCAGCTGCCAACCGGCTTGCAGCACAAATTGAAATCTTACATTGACGGCTTCTTCGACGAATATTGCAAAGAGCGAGCGGCCGCTCATAGGCTCAGTGAGTAAAGTTGCAGACAGCAGTGAGGCAACTTCGACTCCACACATATATATATATATTTAATTTTTTTTATCAACTATATTTTTACACCTTTCTCTTTCTTAATTATTTATTCTCTTTTCCGCTTTGCGCTCTTCTAAGGTGAAACGGAACAAAAGAATGAAGAGTTGCAAAACCAAATTCTCGACAATCAGGTAAAATTCACCAACTTTGAGCAAAATGTGACAGAGCTGCGCACCCAGTTGGATCAAGTGTCCGCTGAACGTGATCAACTGCTGGAGTCTGTTAAGACTTATGATCAAAATGCGGCGACGCTGCGCAAGGAGAAGGTGTCCTTTGTGGATGAGCGTGACTCGCTGCTCAAGGTGATCGAACGGCAGAATGGTGAGCTGGAACGGCTCAAGCAAGATCTGCAAACGTATCAGCAGCAGCTGAGAGCCGCCATCACAGCCAAGTGTGAGGCGATTGCTCGCTTGGATGAGGTGCAAAGCAAAGAGCTGTCGCTGGACATGAAGGAGCGACGGCTGGAGAGCGAGCGTGCCATGCTCCAAAATGAGATACAATTGTTGAGCAGCGATCTGAATCGCAACAATGCCGAACTGCAGAATCTGCGTCGCGATCACAACATGAACACCATGCATTTGGAGGTGCGTCTCAAGGAGAAGTGCGACGAGCTGCAGATAATCCAAGGCCAGAATGCCCAATATTTGAAATGCATTGAGGATCTGAACAAGAAGATTGAGGACCTGAATAAATCAATGTTCCAGCACAATACGGCAACCGAAAAGTTCGTGGACACCCTCAAAAAAGAACTGGACACCAAGCAGAAACTTGTTGATATCTATAAGAATGCCGATTCCCAGAATATCGCCGAACGCAATGAGCTGCTTAAGGGCATCTCGGATCTGAAGCGTATGCTGACCGAGACCACCGACCAATATGGTGAACTGGAGGCCGAATTCCAGCAGTACAAGGAAGCACATACCGATGAGTTGACGGCGCTCAATAAAACAATTGACTCGCTCAAGCAAGAGATTGCACACGCCGGCGATTTGCTGAAGGAGGCCCGGGAGCAGAGTCTTGAGAGCGCCATATGCAAAATGGCACCAACTGCCGCTGTGGCTAATCGTCTGATGCGCTCGGATATGTCGCTGACCGAGCTGTACTCGCTGTATGCAAAGAATTCAGAAGAGCTCGAAGGAAAGAATCGGGAGAATGCCCAGCTCAAACTGCAGATTAAGTCCATTGTCGAGGAGATCAATGAGCGTGCGCCTGTCTTCAAGAAGCAGGACGATGACTACATCAAACTGAACGAAGCACACACTCAGCTGCTGCGCCAGCGCGATGAGATCGTCGAGCAGAAGCTGAGCATCGAACAGGAATTGGAGCAGACACAATTTGATGTTACGCGCCACGTCAAGGAAAACAAGAAACTGAAGCAATCGCAAGTGGATTTGAGTCGCCAGGTTTGCCTGCTGCTCGATGAGCTCAATTGCCTGCGTGCTGGCGTCAATCGACCGCGCAACCAGTCCCAGTCCGGCATCATACACAATTCGAGTGAGGCCATCAGTCGGGATCTTGTCACATTCGATTCGATTGCCGAATTGCAGTCGCAGAATGTGAAATTGTTGTCGATGATACGGGAATTGACCACCGAACTGGAAGCGTATGAGCTGCGAAACGATCAACTGCAGCTGAAGGCCTACGAGGAGAAATTGGAGAAGGCCACGAAACGTTTCGCTGAAATAGACGAGGAACTCAACCAAAAGAACAACACAATTGCTACACTGATGGCCAAGTGTGAGCACTACAAGAAGCTCTACTTCGATGCCCAAAAGAAACTGGGTAGCCAGATCATAGACATAGATGATTCCATCATACTCATTGACGAATCCAAGTTGGAGCAATCGAAGGCTGTTCATAATGCCCAGAAACTGGAAGCGGAAGCAAAGCTGGAGCGACGCATACGCAGCCTGGAGCAGCAGCTGGAGAATGAGTCGAAGAAATATGCAGCGCTGAAAGAGAACTATGAATACTACACCAGCGAGAAGCGCAAGAATGATGCACTCGTCCAGGAGCAGTTCGATTCGATGCGCAAGGAGGTCCGTGAACTCACCTCCGGCAATTGCAAACTGATCAATGCCAACGAGTTCCAGAAGGAACAAATTGAGCTGCTGCAAAAGGGCATCGCTGCGTATAAACAACAGATTGCCGCACTCGAGGATCGCACCAAAAACTATGAGAAGACGATCATCAAGCACGAGCAGACCATTCACATGCTCAAGGATGAGGTGATGACGGCTCACAACAAACAGGTGACATCCGAAACGGAGACGCACAACCTGCGCCACGAGAATCGTGTGCTGAAGGACACCACGGCACGGCTGCAGGCCGAAAAGGAGGGCTACAATCGCGAGCATCAGAATCAGGCATTGTTGCTCAACAATCTGGAGTTCATCAAGGCCAATTTGGAGCGCTCGGAGACGGAGGGACGTCTGCGTCTCGAGCAGCGACTCGATGACACTGTTCGCGAGTTGTCTGCCCAGCGTCGTCATTTCTACGAGGAGGAGGAGAAATTCCGCGGAACATTGAACGAATTCAAGCGTCAAACGGAAACGGCCAACAAGTTGAAGGAGGAAGAGCGCCAGCATGCCGAAAAGTGGCACAACGAATTGAATGCCGTTCGCGAGGAGCTCGCCGCCAAGGTCAGCCAGGTGAATGATCTCAGCAAGAAGCTGCAGGAGAGCCTCACCCCATCCAAGGACGAGAATCCAATCACTGCGGCCAACAAAAAAGCGCGCGAATTCGAGTTGCGCTACGGGCAGGCTAGAATCGAAATCGAATCCCTCACGAAGGAGCTGGCGAAGACGCGTGAGCACGGTGATCAGTTCTACAAGATGTCCCAATCGGCAGAGAGCGAAATCAAACGATTGCATGATATGCACGCCGATATCGTGGCCAAGGCCGAGGCGGAGATCAAGAAACTCAAGAGCTCCGAGGCTGAGCTGCAGACGCGTGTCACCGATCTGGAAGCTGAGCTGATGCTCAGCAATGTGACCGAACAGAGCAAGTCCACCAATCAATCGGATCAGCTGAAGATCGCCCAGGAAGAGCTCAAGAATGTGCTGGAGAAACTGACCGAATCTGGTCGTGCCATTCGCACGCTGCGCGCCGAGAACTCGACGCTTGCCGAGTCCTTAAATGCCGTCGAAGTCAAGTATGCCAATGAAATGGTATTGCACTCTTCCGATATCCAAGAATTGTCAAAATTCAAGACAGACTTCTTGAAGGTAAGTCATCCACATACATATAGATATATATATAGTTCCCCCAAAGTCTCAGTTTTATTTAGTTATTTAATGTCAACTAAAGTCAGTCGACATAATAAATATGAAAACTAAAAATAGATTAAATTAAGAAAATAAGAAATATTTATAAGATTTCGGGAGATATTTAAATGCAAAGTGGTCCAACATTTGTTGCACGGATTAGAAAAAAAAACAATCAGACCAAAAAACAGAAATATTTAGTTTGAATTAGTTAAGCCCAATCACAAATGCATGCGAAAATGTTATACACCAGACAAGACGTTTAAAATTGAGAAAGAGAGTACTTTGAATTGATTACATGACAAAGACTATTGTAGTCATTGCCGAGGAATAATTAGTAGTACAGCGATTAAGAGAAAGTGGGAAGAAGTAACGAAATTGTCTAAAGGAAACAGCATTGCTCGATAATTAGTTAGGGGGACACGGTTAATAAGGAGGAGTCAATCGGTGTATGGAGGTCATAGCGACGAAGAAAGTAAGAATTGCTTTTGCACAGATTCCAATAAAGTTTGGAGATTGATTGATATTGAGGGGAATCCCTACACAGGATTCGTATTCCACAATTTGACGTACAAGAGACGTCAAAAGTATCTTCGTCGTATAAGCGTCATTACATTTCTTTCTACCAGTTTTTGACTTACTGACACTCTTTAATTTTCTCTACCTTGCTTGGAGATATTCTTTTTCAATTCCGTTCCGAAAACTAATTGAATGTTGTCTGGCAGGTGCAAGACGAACTGAATCAACTGAAGAATGGTCGTGAATCGCTACAAAATGCCCACGATGAGCTGCTGAAGGCAAACGCCGAGGCACAGATCACGCTGCAAAAGGAGATGGAAGAGTCTGAGAAGCGTGTGTCTGATCTGAATGCGCTCAATGCCAGTCTGCACGATCAGATTGAGGCGCTGACAACAAAATTGGCTGCGCTCGCCCAGACTGCGTCGTCGACCAATATGTCGCTTAACGAATCGCTGATGGAGGCGGCCACATCCACAATGGAGCTGAGCAGCTCAATGACGGCCATGGATGAGATCAAGAGCAGCGAGCAGTTGCTGAAGATTATCAAATTCCTGCGCAAGGAGAAGGATTTGTATGCGGCCAAGCTGGACATACTGAAGGCGGAGAATGCTCGTCTAGTGTCGGAGCACACGCTGCTGCAGAAGAAGGTGGATGAGCTGAACGGTTATCTGAAGCAGGAGCGCTCCAAGAGCGAAACCGATGTCGTCTCGGCGTCCAAGCACGAGGCAGTGCTACGCAAGATCGAGACCCTCAATGCCATCACCGACAGCAATCGCATTTTGCGCGAGGAGCGCAATGCGCTGACAAAACGCGTTGCAGAGTTGACGGAGCGCATCAGCAGCGTAGAGAAGGAGCTGTTCCCGCTTCAGTGCGGCAACAAGGAGCTGACCTCAAAGATCGAGGAGCTTAATGTTGAGAACACCTCGCTGCGCACCGAGGCCATCAAGTGGCGTCAGCGTGCCAATGCTCTCGTCGAGAAGAGCAACAGAAATCCCGAGGAGTTCAAGCGCCTGCAAGCGGAGCGCGAGAGTCTCGCCAAGCTGCTAACAACCGAGAAGGAGGTGAATAAGAAGCAGTTGGACGAACTAACGTCACTCAAGTCGCGCCTCGAGAACGAGATTCCGGCGTTGAATAGGAATCTCCAGATGCTGGATGAGGCGCGTAAGAAGCAAATGGATGAGTCCATGTCGCTGAAGCAGACGAGCACACGGCAGGCGCAGGACATTATGGAGCTGAAGAATCGGCTACTGCAAAAGGAGGAGGAACTGCTGAAGGCGCAGGAGGAGCTCGAGACAAAGGATAAGGTCATCCAGGACAAGGACAGCAAGGAGATAATGCTGCGCAAACTGGCCAAGCGCTACAAAGACTACTACACTGGACTCCAGGCACAATCCGGTGGCACGGACACCGTCGCCGAATTGGAGAAGGTACGCTCCGAACTGGACGAGCTGAACAACACGATGCGCAGCACCAAGGAGCAGCACGAGAAGCTGCAAAAGGAGCACGACGAGCTCAAGGCACGCTCCAATGTGGAACAGGCAAGCGGCGAGTCCAAGCAAAAGATCGAACAGCTGCTCCAGGAGCTAACCGTTACCAAAACGGAGCTGACCAACCAGGAGTCGGCACTCGCTGGGACCAAGACTAGCTACGATGAGACTGTGCAGCGTCTGGAGAAGGAGCTGCAGGATCACATTGCCAGTAACAAGGACATCAATGCTCGGCTCCAGCGTGAAAACGAATCCCTCCACATGCGCATCAATCAGCTGCAGCGTCAACTGGGCAACCAACAGTCAACCAAGCCATCCACCAGCTCCGTGGGCATGGCCGAGAAGGGCAGCATCTCGGAATCGTCGCCACGCACAGCCAATGTGAAGCCCATGTCAGGTTCGGCCACTGTGCAGCAGTCGGCAACGGTGACGCCATGGCGCGGCGGCGAAACACCTCTAGCCAGCATACGACCCATATCTGTGCAGAATAGTCGCACGGCGGCCATACTGCCGACTAGTCAGCAGCCGGGTGCGACCACCTCGTCAACTTCAACGTCCACATCCACTTCATCGGCAGCCGCCGCCTCAGCTGCCGGCAGCAGCAGCACCAGCAGCAGCAGTAGCAGCAGCACCACCAGCTCTTCAGCTGTGGGCAATACGGCCCTGGTGCCGCCACAGCAGCAGGTGCATACCACTGGCAGTGCCACCTTGGAATCGATGGCCTCCTCATCGCCGACATCCTCGCATACCGATTATATGCCGTCGACTAGCTCCGCTTCGGTCGCCGTTGCTGCCATACCGCCGATGGGGGCCAGTGCAACGGCGGCGGCGGAGAGCTCCCAGGAGGCGGAGAGTGTCCAGCATCCGCAGCAGAATGATGCACAGCTCTTTGTGGGCGGTGCACAGCAGCAGGTGGTGGCTCTCGTTTCACCACGTGTCGAAGGCTCATCGTCGTCATCGTCGAGCAGCACAACAACCACATCGACGCCGACGGTGCCCAGCGTTCAGGATGCCAGCACTCAACAGCAGCCGAGTACATCGGGCAGCAGCAGCAGCTCCTCGACGGTGGTCAGCAGTCACAGTCGCCACACGCCGTCCAGCAGCAATGTGACCACCACCCAAGCGGGTTGCTCCAAACGTCCGCGCGATGTCGAAGGCGACTCCTCCACCAATGCCGAGGAAGGTGTACCCGAAAAAATAGTCAAGCTGGCGAAACGGATGCGTGTACCGATGCATGGTGGTGAATTGTCTGCCGGGCACATTGGTGACTCTGGCATGGATGTGGATCAGATGCCCACGTCGTCGCAGCGTGACCAGGAAGATGAGATTCAGGTCGTTGACTCTGACGATGATGAGGAGGAGGAAGATGCCCTGGGTCCAATCGATGGTGGCGATGCCGAGCAGGAGGAGGGCTACGAGGACTCCTACGAGCAGGACAACGAAATGGAGGATAACGATGGTGCTGACGATGCACCCGATGAGCACAACGAAGTGGACGTTGAGCAAGTGCCGGTGCCTGCTCAAGCCGAGAGCCAACTACTCACCAATTCACCCGCCACCACCGTGTCCACGCAGCAGGAGAACAATCAGAGCCAGGCCATAACCAGCGGCAGCGGCGAGTCGAACACACTCCAAATGCCTCAGGCCGAGGCCAACTGGAAGCAGCAGGCGCCCTCAACATCAACGGCTGCAGCACAGCGAGGCCGCACTGAGAGGTGAGTAAAGTGAACGAGAAGTGGTCTTTGACAAGATTGTACATATTTCCCAAATTCCCCCCACAGCTCTGTTGAAATTGTGAGCTCGCCCCAAGTGTCCAACTTTAGTGAGCAACAACAACCCACTTGCGTCGAGGCAGAAGTCGATGGCACAGCTGTAGCGGAGGCTGCTGCGGCGGCAGATGATGTTGCCGGCACCAGCGCCAGCACCAGCGTTGATTATACTACAGCTGCCGCGGGCAGCTCACCTCAGAAACCAAATGAGGCAGCTGAGCAGAGCAGCAGCACCAGCAGCGGCATCAGCATCAGCCACACTGCGGAGGCCAAAGACAACCCGGACGAAGGGGAGCCGACAGGCGCAGAGAATGTGAGCGAGGCAGATGAGGCATTTGCTGAAGAGACAACAGCTGGACAGGCCGAAGAATCCTCCCAGCAGCTTAGCAATGAAAGTAAGTGTATAGAAAGATGACGACATGAAGAAGAATGAGGGAAATCTATTACTATTATAAAATCTGCTTATTTTCGATTAGATCCCAATGTGGGCACCAGCCAATCTTTGGAGACAGAGAATCAGGAAAATCCGGCTGAAGGACCCTCGGAGGATAACGAAGGTGCCGATGGTGTATCTTCAGAAGGCGAAAAACAGGCCGTTGAAGTGGAGGTAACCCGACAAACATAGTTGATTTTTTTTTACAATATTTAATAAATGCTTATCCCTCTAAATCTGTGCACAGGAGGAGGGTCGCGAAGCGGAAGCCACATCGCCATCGGAGAACACACGGTTCCGCAATTTGAGGAGTGCTGTACCCGCTCGTCGCGGCGGTCGTTCCATAATGCGCGGCAACAATAGTAACAGCAACAACGCCAACAGGCCGGCACGCATTGTGTGGCAGCGTGACAACGCCCCAGGCAATATGCGTGGTCATCCCGGCATGCAGGATCACAATAACATGCCCAGCGGCTCGCCGAATAGCAATCGCATATTCGCGAATCGTTCGCGCGGCCGTCGCCCGATGCGGCGTCCAGGACCAAACAATTTCAATCCCGGCGGTGGCGGTTATCCGTGAACGAGTCGTGGAGGACCATATAATCCATACTGTTAGTTTATAAGGCCTCTAGGCATTTAAACATAATATTATATATTATAAAACTGATAATAAGATTAACATTAAATGCCCAATATTACAACAAAATCATTCAAAAGTTAGTTTTGTTTTTTTATTTGGTTTTGTAAAACCCTAATTCTGGAAAATTGTAGATGTGTCCTCATCTAAGATCTTGGGCGTTCCTTCTTTTCCTTGTACAGCGCCAACAGGGAGACGTTAGCCACTTTGACGACCTTGAAACGGACACCGGGAATATCACCGACGGCGTGACCCTTGCGACCGAAACCGGCAACCAACACCTCGTCGTTCTCCTCAATGTAGTTCAAGCTACCGTCACGGGGCACAAATGCAGTGATTTTCTTGCCGTTCTTGATCAGCTGCACTCTTACGCACTTGCGGATGGCAGAGTTAGGCTGTTTAGCTTCAACACCACTGCGGACAGAGAGAGTAATGCAAAAGTTAAATTTGATATGCCTCAAATTAGATATATTTGTGTAATTGTATTTGGGTAAATTAAAATTTGGTTGTCCTTGCTGCTGGCGATAACTCACAGTATAATCCTGTGATTTGATTTTCAAAAATAAACAAAACACAAAAATATACTGCGAGACATCGACAGTGGTGGGCTTAACAGATCTATCTATATATGTATATCAAATTGAAAACACTTCTAAATAATGTATAGCTGATAGATGTCCACTTACACCTTCTCAAGGACAATGCCCTTGGCGTGAGAAGCACCGCCGAAAGGATTGGCCTTCCATCTGGTGCCCAAATGGGCCTTCTTGTAGTCCTTGTCGGCCCAACGCTGGTCGCGACGGTGATTCACATGCTTTCTGGCAGTGCGCAGACCTCTAGGCTTGCCTGTAAATTACAATAAACATTTCGATTTAGTTAACTTTTTGTTGCTGGCCATAGAAAACAATCAACACAATTGTAAACAAATGGCGAATTCAGCGGCGTCATTTTAAGGTTAGTTTGAAGCAGACACAATGAATTCGAATGCACTCGAAAATTTGCACAAATAACACTTGCATTTATTGAGTTATATAGCAACTTTAAGGTAAAACAAGACTTTGACTTGTTATATAGCAAGATTCTTTTGGTATTTGTCGATTTTTAACAGTTAAAAACTTGCAGACTTAATTTGCAAGTTTTGGTATTGAACGTATTGAACACATTTTAACGCCGGCCAGTTTCAATTCACTTACATTAACTGCAACAAAATTGCCGTAATTCATTTTGCACTCGTTTTGAACGACTCAATATGCGTATTTCACACAAAAACACTCTTTTTAACAACTCACCCATGATTTTCCAACTATCTCAGGCAATGGCGGAAATAAAAGAAAGAGGAAGAGCCGATTTCTTGTTCTTCGCATTGCTTGCAGGGCTGATTGTGACATCGATATATAGCGATATGCCAACGCTTATACGATAGTTTGTGGAACTGCCAGCTCACCACAGCAACTCTGTTCTAAAGTGTTACCCATTAAGTAATTTATTAATTTAACTGTCATTCGAATAGTAATTACCCTACAAAAATTTAAAATATTAGTTATGATCACCATACACTTTAGAATACTTAATTAAGTCATACAGCACTTTTGTGTTTTTTTTTCTGATGTAATTCAAAATGCAGCATTTTCGTTTAGGTATAAGCAGGATCGTTTTCTCGGTAGGGCAATCAAGAATTCATAAATAAACAAAATACTTCAGGAATTTGCATTCATTAAACAGTCGCACAGTACAGATTCGAAGAAATATCAATACACCATTTTAATTTTCAAGTGCTTCTGTATCACTACGTGACTTGCGAAGTGCTTTCAATATATTTTTGTAGAGTTCTATCATGACTTCAATACGCAAAAAACTAGTTGTAGTGGGCGATGGGGCATGTGGCAAGACATGTCTATTAACCGTTTATTGTCAAGACAATTTCCCATTGGATTATGTTGCGACAGTATTTGAAACATATGTAGCGGATGTAGAAGTAGAAGGATCAAAGGTTCGTATTAAGGTGCACCACTTTATTTTTGCGTATGTTGTATGAGCAATGTTGCAAGTCTGCAACAACAATTGCGCGCACTTATTTATATAGATGCTGCATGTGTATACAGTGTATTTTATTTAGTACACGTCTTATTTTAGCTCGTGCCTGCCCCATTGCTGGCCCAATTTTTCTCTCAAGAAAAATCGCTCATACTTGATTCATAATATATACAGCGAAATCGATTATTCACTCTCTTCCAGGTGGAATTGGCGCTGTGGGATACGGCTGGCCAGGAAGATTATGATCGATTGCGATTGCTAAGCTATCCGGATACTGATGTTATTGTCATGTGCTTCTCGATAGATCAGCCCTACTCTTTGGACAATATTCAAGATAAATGGATACCAGAGGTAAAACATTTCTGCCCAAATGTTCCCATTATTTTGGTTGGCAACAAAAGCGACTTGCGCAACGATCCGCAAACTATCGAGGCAAGCTTATTACAAACTCCGAACCTTATCAAGTTAACAAAAATGCTGTTTGTTGCCCACAGGAACTGTCTCTGCTAAAGCTGCAACCCATCAAATCAGAGGATGGTAGGACCATGGCCGAGATTATCAATGCCTATGCATATCTTGAATGCTCCGCCAAAATGCAGGAGGGTGTTCGCGAAGTTTTTGAAACAGCCACGCGAGTTTCCTTGCAGGTCAACAACAGCGCGAAGAGAACGAGTTGTTTTGATTTCCCATGTAAATTGCTATAACACAATATTTATCATACCATTAGTGTAACGCTTACTTTTTGATTATAAAACCTTTCGATTTTGTTATATTTCAAGAATAAGTACGTTCACTTCCGCGTGTAATTATTTAATATTATCTACTTCAATTTCAATTTGCTGTACAAATTTCGTTCGATTTATTATAAACAGACTGGAAAAGAATGTGAATTATGATAAATATATTTTTTAGTTAATTGATTACAAGTACTTTTAGTTTTATTTTGTAATCTAATGTAAGAGGTGTTGTTTCTGTCATGAATTCTATACGTAAGAAACTGGTCCTAGTGGGCGATGGGGCATGTGGCAAGACCTGTCTATTATCCGTTTTGTGTACAGATAATTTCCCACTCAGTCATGTACCGACAGTATCTGAAATATATTTTGGGGATGTGGAAGTCGAACGAGCAAAGGTTTGTGTAAAATTATACCACTTTTTATTTATTTAAAATATAGCCACATAGATGATTCACTCTCTACCAGGTAGAAGGAGGATTATGATCGATTGAGAGTGCTAAGCTTACAAACACTAATGTTATAGTTATGTGCTTCTCGTTCAATTGGCCAGATTCATTGGAGAATGTTAAAGTTATTTGGTTACCAGAGGTGAAACATTTCTGCCCAAATGTTCCCATTATTTTGGTTGGCAACAAACGCGACTTGCGCAACGATCCGAAAACTATCGAGGCAGGCTTATTACAACTCTGAACCGTATCAAGTTAATTAAAATGCTGTTTGTCATTCGCAGAACCTGTCTCTGCAAAGGCAGCAACCCGTCAAAAAAAAAGAGCGAATGGAAATGGCCGAAAGCTCCACCAAATCAAAGGAGGGAATTCGCGAAGATTTCGAAGCAGCCACCAGAGCATCGTTGCAGGTCGATGAAACTAGGAAGCGAATGAAAAGATCAATTTTTACTTTTGATTCAAATACCTTAAAATTGAACTAAATTTCAAGATTATATATCAATTAAATACCTACTACGAAAGTTTTATTTCATTTATTATAAGCAGATTTAAAATGAATTATGATAAACATATTTTATGCATCATTTCACTTTTCAAGTGCCTCTGAAACAGTACGTGTCTAGCGAAATGCATGGCGCATGTGGCAAGAGCTTCCTGTCTTGTGTAGAGACAATATTTCAGTCCGTCATGTGCCAACAATATATGAAAATTATATTGCGGATGTAGAAGTTGAATCATCAGAGGTTTGTGTTAAAATACATCTCTTTATTTTGTGTACCCTGTATGAGCAATGTTGCAAGCTTACACCAACAATTGCACGCACCTATTTATAAAGATGTTGCATGTTAATACAGTGTATGTTATTTAGTACACATCTTATTATATCACGTGCCTGCGCAAAAGTAGGCCCACATTTTCTTCTCAAGTTTACAAAATCGTTTATGTTTGATTAATGAATCATGACTCAGAGTTGCCCTCATTCACAGGTCTTTTAATAATATAATAAAAAGAGAAATGGATTTCTTGCTAGCTTTCAGGTGGAATTGCATGGAATTGTTGGATACAGCCGGGCAGGAGGATTATGATCGATTGAGAGTGCTAAGCTAACCGCACACTAATTCTATAGTTGTGCTACCCGATCGATTGGCAAGATTCCTTGGAGAATATTAAAGATAAATGGATACCGGAGGTGAAGTATTCCAAACAATAATCCTTGCTGATCAAGAATAGAATGAAGTGAATGAACCGATGTGAATTGCTTCCGCAGAATATTCAAAATATTATATATGATGATATGATTACTTTTTGATTCTAATTGCTTTCGATTTTGCTTCACTTTGATACTTGATATTCAAATTCAGTTCAACCTAATGTAGACTGTACAATGGACAATGGAAAAAGGACACTCAGTACTCAGTATTGTACATATGAGAAATAAATTTAATTTTCGTAATTTGACTTTTATATTATCTTTTCTTTTCCAATAATATAAAACGCTGAAAATAAATTAATATTCTTATCTTAAAATTGCACAGAAAATTGCTCTCCATTTAAAACATTAGGCAAAACTGGTTTATTATCAATCAAAAGCAGCCGAAAAGTATTCAACAAGTTGATAGGCAGTTGCTTGGAATGCTATTATATATATATATATATATATATATATATTTCTTGATAAGTGCTGAAGCCCTATGCATAATCAAAGCATCGAATTTTCGAGAATTCCTTATAGTTCGGTGATTCACACTAGAAACATTCGCAAGTGCTCACTAAATCATTTGCAAGTTCAAAGCACGCTTAATGAATTCCAATTTTCATGATTTTGCTATTTTATTTGGATGTCTTTTCTGTCCAATCATGTTAAGTCTTGAGTCTTGGGGATAGTTTGCTTATTGAACTATTTCATAATTTTTGGCTATTATTTCAAATTTGTAATGTAATGGTTGCCGTGCTTTTTTATAGTCGGCTACCCCGTAAAAAAGTGTGAAAAACGATAAGATATTCCCCGAAAAATGTGAATGAATCTCATTCAATATTCGTTTATCTATTGTTAGTGGAAAAAGCCACAGCACAGCACAGCACACACGCTGAATATACCAAAATTACCAATACAAATATATACACAAACAGGCAAACACGCCTCATGTCAAAAAAAAAAGCATATTAGAAAAAAACGTATTTTTTAGAGTACGACAAGAGTACATAAAAATAAGAAACGAAATGAGCAATCGCCAAAGTTTCAGAGTGTAGCAACGAATTTGAAAGATTTCGGCTAAGAAACACGATCAACTCAGTTGAGCTGATGTTGCCATCGGCATCGAAATCAACGCATTGCGTATACGTTTGTTCTTCTTCTGAGTTTATTTCTCTATTTTTTTGCTTGTTTGTTTTTGTCAAGCCATTTTGTTAAGCGTGCAAAGCGGATGCAAGGCGAAGGCGCAGGCGACGGCTAAGGAGCGGGCACATGTCAAAATAGAGCGAGAGCCCGAGAGAGCGAGAGACAGAGAGAGAGAGAGAGAGCACGCTCTCTTCTTATGCTACGCACATGCACACTGCTGCAGGTACACTCACACATGCGCAATGCTTTTAGATATGGGCAGCGCGCCATGTTTCTGTAGTTTTGCCGGTAGTTGTTGTAACGTTTTTTTCTTATGCTGTCTCACGATGGCACTGTTGTTGTTGTGGGTCATTTTCATTCACGACTCCGCATGAGCGATAACGACAGGGGGTGGGGGGTGCGTTTAGCTGCCTGATAATGTGCGTTTACAAGAATGCGAGAACAAGAAAGAACAACAACGAAAGCAAACACAAACTCACACAGATGCCAACAGCAAATACAAACACATCATGTGTGCGTTTGCGTGTGAATATGTATGTGTGTGTGTGTTTTTTTTTTGTCTTTTTCTGAGTTCTAGTATGGAGGGGCCTTCGTATTGCGCGGCAGCCTGCTGCGTACTGTTTTTGTGCTGCTTGCTTGGTGTTGCTGCTCTTGCTGCTGTTGCTGTTGCTGCTCTTGCTGCTGTTGCTGTTGCTGCTTTCTGCTTTGTGGTTTATACTGCCAACACATTTCCATTTCACTTTAGTAATCTTCAGTCAGTCGCTCGGATCGGTCGGTAAGCGCGCGATCAATACGTTTCAAAAAATCGATTAGGAATACAAAAATAAATAAAAAGCGAAGCACCGCTGAGAACAGAACAGAGCAGAACCGAAGAAAACAACCGCTTGAAACAGAATAATAAAATTATAGAATAATTTACACACATATATTAAGTAACACAACGACTTTATTGAAACGCGCGCCTTTTGCAGGCGGAGGCAGGTCGCACATTTTATATGCTATTATAATATTTGTATGTCTGCGTGCACTTTTACAATACCACACACATTTATATATATATATATATATATATATATATAGACACCCATACACTGAGGGGAATCGGTACGAACAGCTGCTAAACCGCTACAGATAATCAGATACAGATACAGACACAGATATATAAACTAGAAGTATTTATGAGCGCGTTCGCTCTTCGTCTCTGCATTCGGTTCAGTTTCTAAATTGAGGCGCTTTTTTTTACAGTTAACTTTCGCTTTTTTCTGTGTCTATCTGTGCGTTTCATGTTTGCTTTCGCTTTCTCGCTTCAGAAATTCTTTGCACTGCCCACGACTGGCCGCCAAAAATAGCCCAAAAAAAAAAAAAAACAATTGAAAAAAAAACTAACAACAAAAAAACACCGCCCAAGAAGACAGCGTGTCCCGTTTTTCAATTTAAAAAACGAAAATTCTCAACATTCAAATAGTCAACGGAATTGAACGCAGCAAACAAATTGAAAGCCGCAACAGACGCCGAACACATCAACATAAAAAGGTAAGCAAGCACAAGAGGGCCAACACACACACACACTCACACACACACTGCCAAGCACACACATACACCCAGAGCATACACATACAGATGAATGGCTAAAAAGACCGGGCTATATGCTTGTGTCACATGACCGCGCCCCTACCCGTCTCTCCCCTAGTGCTGACCCGGCCGAAAAACGAGTTTTTTGGCTAACAGACATGAATAAAAAAAATATTTAAAAAAAAAACACGTCGCGACGTCTGCCACTAACTCCAATTGAGACGACTCCCGAGAAGTTAGTCACAATATTTTTAATGTTCTAACTTTAGCGCGCCGGTCTTCATATTTTTTTCATGTGGCCGACAACTCGTTTTTTTGTTGCTTTTGTCTCATGCAGATGCAGAAGTCTCATCTTCAGGTTAATTCCAGGAATCAGGAACCAGAAACACGTTAACGTTTCACACATTAACGGCTTTCGAGTGCCTTTTATGGGCCCATTTCGCTGACTTTGCTTCGATGCTATTTTTTTCCCCTCGTTTTCTGTTTTTCGTTTTTCTCCCCTGAACTTGAGCAACAGCGGAAGAAAATCAGATTAAAAATAGATCGATAATAAGCCTGAACTTATTTATATACACATATAACACATATATACAAGAACCTATACATATTCATATACACATACATATACATATGCATATGCAGATACATTTACCCGCTAGTTATGCAAATATCGAACCCAGTTGTTCCAGCAATTTACTTTTATCTTAATTGCACCCACAATTAGCATTCAAAATTTAGCCCGAAAAGGAAACTATAAAAATTCGTGTACAAACTTTTGGTTTTTTTTTTTTTTAAGTAAACCGATGAAAAAATGGAACAAACCTCTTCTATCTTTCCTATCTCTAAATGACTGTGCACTGAGTTATCTATTGAAAACCTATCAAGGTGCCAAAAATGTTGTCTTTTGGTAAAGGTTTTTTCAGCGTGTCTTTGATTTCTGGTCGGCAGTTTTGGGAAACTTTATGATACATTTTATAATTCATTTTTTTCCATAAGTAACATGCCTTTCATTAACCGGTTGCCGCCTAAAAGTCAACTCAACGTTGAACCGTTATTGATATCTTGTTTATGTCGCTTGAGCAACTCGTATATGAAATGGGCATTATCGACTTGATTATACACTTTACTGAGCCATTATAGAATTATTTAATATGTTCGCAGTTATGAGAAAGACTTTAAATAATTGCAAAATCAACTAGAGAAATTTATGTTGTTGGGTATATCAGTTAAACAGTTAAGGTTAAAATCATTTACATTTGAAAGGCAAAAGCATCTATCTATCTTCGCAAGCTTACCCCAAGAAGGATATGACGTGAGCGTGTCGCCAAGAAGCATTAGAACTGCAGCTGAAAGCTGAAACTGATTCAGATTCTGATTCAGATGCTAATGGCCCAAATTGGCAAACGCCTAATTACATTTTAAGTAGACTGTGGCATGCTGGCAAATATTTTGATTAATTAACAGCAAAAGCAAAACTAGGCTAAGCTGCAATCGGTATTAAGTATAGATTGTTTACATATACATATATATATATATATATATACTTATGGGAGTTATGTTTGTGTTTGTGTTTGTGTTTGTGTTTGTCTGTGCAGTAAACATGTTTTGTGCATTTACAATTCAGCGCAGTCAGTCAGACAGTCAGACAGTCAGTCAGTCAGTCAGTCATTGCCAAATAAGTGAGGCTTTCAGCTGAGCTTTTCCAAATTCTTGCGGTTACATTTTGAGGTTTTCATGCCGTTTTTTTACTTATTGGATAAGCCTCAGTGCGCTTGCGTGTGTAACCTTTTTTTTATATTTATTTTTGAATTGAGCACAATAAATCTTTCCACAGCGCTTGTAAGAAAACAAATAAAATGAAATGAAATAAGAACAGAGGCAGAGCTAATCACTTAGTAAATATTTACATGCTGCTTGAGAGCTTCTCCTCAGCTTCCACTTGATAACGCTGATAAGGCGGGTAGGACTATTTTCGAATATGATTGCAGCATGATTTCTGTTTTACTTCGTTTAGTATTTGTGTGCGCTTTTCTTATCAGATTCGTTTTAAGTTCGAGAATGCTCTAGCGCCAATGTCAAAGCGACGGTCGGTCGGGTCATGAATCCAACCACTATCTGTATTTGCATCTGTGGCTCCAGTGAATGTATCTGTAGCTAATATGTATGTAGTGCATTATACCTCGAACTAACGCCTGTACAAAGCCCAATTAAAATTCAATTTACACTCACTTGCTGGAAAAATCAGTTGAATGCCTCTATTTAATTGCATCACAGTCAATAATCGCGGGACTTAGTTCTATTTTCCATAATTTAAACATGTTAATTGATTTAGAATCGCATGCTCCACTTCCGACCAAAGAGCGCTCGGGTTATTTGTGGGTTCGGTTTCGGGTTCGGGTTCGGGTTCTCTGGTTCTCTTAGTTCTTCTCTCCACACTGATAGAATATAGAGTGGCAGACGACCATTGATCGCTCTACTAATTGTTCATTGACACTGGCAGTGCCTCCACTGAGTTGAGTGAGTTGACAGGCCTTTGTTCATGCCGATAACGTCGACAGCATCCGCCACAACAATAAAAACAAAACTGATAAAGTTCCTCGGTATCACACATCATACAAATGCACACATTAAATATATGCGTAATCAGAAAGATCTTTCTTCTGAACTCCAAAGTTTCATTACTCTTGCTGACAATTGGACTTTAGTCTTAATATCGGTTAATGTCACCAAGATTGTGGTCGTAACTTTGTCAAAACTGTTTTTAAATTCACAAACTCCGAATATCGCTGGAAACATGACTTCTTATCAGAATTGATGTGGTTTTTTTATTCGTTAGCAGAAATAAAATGTAATTTTCCATTGAATTACAAATACTGATGGTAAAACCAGCACATGCTTCGAATACTTATCAAAATTCAGTTAACTTTAAATATTCAAGCCCAATGCCACATGGCATTTATAATTATCCTGAAATGATGCCATACTTCCTTCTTCTCCTCACCCTCACCAGCCTCTCATCCTCATCCTCCTCCTCCTCTCGCATTTCTGTGGCGCATGCGCGACGCACATGAGCCACGAGCTTTGGCTGTGATTCAAACTGAGTAACTGAATCACTCTGGGTGAAAGGCCGTTCAATGAACTTGGATTGCAAACAAGACCACAAACAACCAAAACACACAATACACAACAAACAACAAACAACACACAACACAGAAGACAGTTGTTTGAAGTGTTTCACAAAATTTGGGCCAACTGTAGCTGAGGCGAGTGGCGCTGTTTCGTGTGGGGGCCAAAATCAATTGGGGCTAGCATTGTGTTTTGTGTTTTGCCTTATTTGGGTGGCAGACAACAGGTTGTTATCGTTGTTGTTGGTAATACCCACAAAAGCGTCGGCTAATTAATATTTTCAGCATAAAATCATTTAATGAGTGCTGTACATGTGGCTACAAATTGCTCTGCAGCAATGTGTGTGCGTGTGTGTGTGTGTGTGTGTGTGTTTTGTGTAGCTACAAAGAAGCAAAGAAGCAGAAGGCAGATGGACAGATGGACAGATGAGACACAGAAGTATACATATGTTTTATAAATGAGATACGTAAGCAAACACATACAGAGACAGATACAGATACAGATACAGATATGGCTATAGATACTTGTGTATAAATGTGTACGCATAGTTATGCTAAAAAGAAAAACCAGCAACAGGAAAAGCAACCAGCAACCAACAACTTGAGAACGCTGCACGTCTTTCTCTCTCTGTTAATTTCTTATTCTCTATCTATCTATCTCTCTCTCTCTCTCTCTTTGAGTCTATGGCCATATGTGTTTACTTATTATATTTGTTAATTCAATCGACGGGCATCAATTTAAGAGCCGTCAACAGGCGCAATTGTCGCTGACAACTGTTCGACTGACGCCACAAAAGGTGTGCGTGTGTGTGTAGTGGTCGGAAGGGGTGGCCGGGAAGGGGGAAGGGGGTGAAAGAGCCGTCAGTTGATGGATAAGCGCTACTATTTGCGCGCAGTGGGATTAACTTACAACCAGGCGAAGGATAACAACTCGACTTGACACAAACGTGCTGTCGCCTATCCCAAACCAAAGTAAATAAGAATAAAAAAAATCAAGCATGTCTCAGCTGAAAATTGCACGACTAGCAGATGCTCTGTAAATTGTTGATTGAATTTCGATTGAAAAATGCAATCGTAATTTTGAATTCTCTACGAAACCGTTTTGCGATTGTTTAATTGAGATTGTAAATAACATTAAGAAACAATAATTTTATAGAAAACTAACTGGCAGCAATTAGAATTAGTCAGTATTTGAGTCAGCTCTAAATTATGCTTGACATTTGCAGTAATCATAAATAATATGAATAACGATTTACAAAGATACATTAATTCTCGCTGAGATACACAGATACTATTTTATCCCAGACTGGTGTCTATTTTACCCCACTTTGCCTGTTAAAAGGGCAGATGACGAGTCAGGAACTGTCTGAAAAAGAAAAACACGTGAAACTGGGCGCGTCCTCCGGTTCACAAGTGGTTTGTACTTTTGTGCAAAACAAAATGGTTCGATTTCGTTCAACAAGTTGACAACGGTCTATTTATAGTATGCATGGGATAGGATAGGATGGGATAGCATGGCAAGCCAGTTAAGAGTCCGATCCCAGAAGCCGAAGCAGAAACAGCAACAGAAACAGAAACAGAAACACTTAAACGGCTTCTTCTTGGGCTGACAACTCAGAGCCATTTCCTATTCGGCCAGCCATTTGGCACAAACGTGTGTGTACATAAAAAGCAATCATGAAATACGATACGATACCCGCCAATAATAATAATAATAATAATAATATTGCATAATAAACAAGAGCGTAAAAGGTTTCAGCAACGACGGCGTCTAATCTGCGACTAATATAAATATATAAATATGGAATACTTATTTATGACGGACCATAAACCGTCGACCAAAATTCAATTAATCAAGGAAGCAAACAATCGGCAACAATCGTCACATGACAAGTGGCTAGTTAGTTACTTCGTTGCTAAGAAGGTACAATTTATGTATTATCTGGTACTATGGCTACTATGGGCCCTGATAGCGCGGCAAATCCGTTAAGGCCATCTTATCTGGCACTCACACGCAGCGGCTAAAACAAATCTGTGAAAAGTATTTGACTTAAGCCGCTGTCCTCTCAGTGTATTTGTTTAATATTTGCTGCTTTTTCGGCAGACACTAAACTATTTACAATCCTCTAATCAACAGCTAATCGTCAGGTCTTTAAAATGTTATTTTTTATGACCGGGGTTGCCATGCAGGAAACACAAATAATAAAACCGCAAAAAAAATTTAAATGTACTTGTTGAAAACAAATAAAATTTTGCTTGTGCAGGGTTGTCAAGTGCCTACAATGTGCCAAATAATCTGCTTTTATCAAGTGCTTATTAATTATAATAAATCTCCGATATCATAAATCTTGCCTGTCGCGTGTTAATTGTAACTGGATTTTTTCTTTATCAATATAAATATTGTTAGAGATACGACCAGAAACATGTATATAGATGGATTATTTGGATTAGTTTGTGTCATGATTACGCCTAGTTGCGGCAGACATTCACCAGAATTTATTGGTCAAAGTTTGTGGGAAATTGAAGCGGAAAAAATGAAAAGCCTTTAAAGATAACTACAAATTTGATTCACTAATGTTTTATAAAGGCCATAAAGGAAACTTCAGAGGAATTGTAGGGTATATAGGTAGTCGAGTACGTACTCGCGAGCTTAAATCTCTAGAAAAGCCTCAACTTGTAACATAGCTTTATCTTTTATATATGGGCTATATTAGCCACATCATATCTCACTTAAAGTCTAACAATTAAGAGCTTTGAAAAGGCAATTCATATCTTAATTATATATAGTATCTTAAGTTTTTCACATAGCGTACACATTTTGTAAACTAAATAAAGTAAATAAATAATTGTTTAGCACTCAAAAATGTTGCAGTTCCTTTCAGTTTATGGCATAAGAACTTCAGTACACGGTCAGGTCCAGATCAGATTAGATTAGGCCAAAAATAAAGAATCAAGGCCATGCGGCTATTAGTCGACAAACGTTGGTGCAAAGAATATAAAAAACACAAACAAAATTGAAGAAATATAAATTGCCAAAATATTTGTATGCAAATACACAAAGTATTATTGTGTATATTGTATGTGGCAGGAAAATTGACGGACAACTTAAGAAGCATAATAGCTGAAATTTCTAGTCATTATTATTATTTATTTTTGTTTTTTTCTTAAAAAAAACCAACAAAAAAAAAAAACAATTATACATTTTTCCGATTGTTTGGCGAGTGTTTTTTAAGCAGCTTTTGACGTAGTTGTTGTTTTGTTCTCTGCTTGACATTGGCACTGCCGCTGTCATTGAGCATGGGGGAGTGCGGTGACGTTTGACACCCATCCCCACACATCGCCCCCCTCCCCACCCACCCACCTCAGCAACACCCACCCACCGATTGACGTCGTCTCGATAAGCAAAAGTTCGGCACAATAATACAGATACAAAAACAGATAAAATGTTCAAATGCGTAGGAGAAATATACACGTGACTAATATATATAAATGTAATCAGAGTATTGAAAATGGAAAGTGTTTTTTTTTTTTCGTGGGAGGGGGGCGTATACGCAATCTGTGTGAAGGCTACGCGCAAAAATATATTTTGGTTTTTACTGCACAACAACAACAACAAACTGAAGTGCTGATAAACATTTGCATAATCGCGATTATGAAATACGAAATACGAAATATTATTAATAATCGATTCTATTTGATTTGCAGCAGCAAAATGCCAACGCAGCATACGAGATCACAGGATGAGCTGGCTGTAGCTAATGCGCTCGTCTCCAAGCATCCGGATAACAAGCCCGAAATCGACAAGGACGATGAGGAGTTGGAGGAGGAGGATATTGAAACGGCAGCGGTTGTGGTGCCACCGGACAGTGGTTGGGCCTGGGTGGTAATGGTCGCCTCATTCCTCTGCTGCACGGTCATAGATGGCATCGTCTTCTGCTCGGGCCTCATACAGGATGAACTCGTCAAAGAGTTTAAGGTGACCAAATTCTACGTGACATTCGTTACGTCGCTGCTCAGCGGTTGCTATTTGATGGCCGGACCCTTTGTTAGTGCATTGGCCAATCGTTTTGGATTCCGTGCGGTTACCATTGCGGGCGCCATCTTTGCGGCAGGCTGCTTTGGCCTCTCGTACTTTGCCACCAGTGTGGAGTTCCTATTTGTGATCTACGGCGTGCTGGGTGGCATTGGCTTCTGCATGGTCTACATACCCGCTGTGGTTATCATTGGCTTCTACTTTGAAAAGTGGCGTGCCCTGGCAACGGGAGTCGCACTCTGTGGCTCCGGTGTGGGCACCTTTGTCTTTGCCCCGGTTACCAATATGCTGCTGGAGAATACCGGTTGGCGCATGACCCTAGCGATCCAGGGACTCATGATTCTTTCGTGCGCATTCTTTGGACTCGCCTTCCGTCCCATCCAACCGATCACGCTGGGCGTCACCGACGACGGCAGCGATGAGAAGGTCAAGCTCAATGGCCATGGTAATACGGTGGCGCCAACGCCTCAACTGCATCAGGCTGCATTCACGAAGCCGCTGCCCGAGGGACGCTTTGCCTACTCCATGCCCAATTCGGCACACAATACCTATATGGGTGCCTCGCAGCGTAATCATTATCCGACGGCAGCGGAAATCTTCAAGGGTATGAATCTGGAGCGTCGGCCCTCGGGTCAGGCCAGCAAGGGCACCGAGTTGAAGCAGCTGCGCAAATCGCAGCCAACGACACCGAATGGCGATCCACAGCAGCTGACATTCAATCTGCACAAGGAGCTGACCACCGTCGGCGAGAACGAGGAGGAGGCCGAGAACGATAATCTGTTGGAGACGGAGGTGAAGCCAATTAGCATTCAGGCACGTCGTCACACAGTCTCGGGACGTCGCCCACAGGATCTGGCCAAGCGGGCAGCTGCCGCCGCCCAAGATGGCAGTCATCATCCGTCGCACTCCTCGACACGTCCCATGTACAGAGATGATGCATTCTTTACGGGCTCCCTGACACGCATACCGCAGTATCAGTCGCAGACCTCGCTGGCTTATCACATGTCCGTCACGCGGTTGCCCACCAAGCAGGACATGCTGGAGGATAGGCAGAAGGGCTGTCGCATTTGTCCCGAGGCAGTGCGCCGCACACTGTCGACCATGTTGGACACCAGTCTGCTCAAGTCACCGGCTTTTATGTGTTTGGCCGTCAGCGGTTTCCTTACCATGATGGGCTTCTTTGTGCCCTTCTCTTTCCTGACGAACCGCGCCATGGCCGCTGGCATGTCTAAGGAATCGTCACTGTCCCTCATCTCCGGCATTGGCATGATCAACACGTTTGCTAGGATCGTTTGCGGCTCCCTAAGCTCCTTCCCCAGCGTCAAGCCACTGTGGCTCAACAATGTCGCCCTCACCGCCGGCGGCTTGGCCACCATATTCAGCGGTGTCGTCATCAACTCAACCACCCAGTGGACATTTGTCGTTCTCTTTGGCATTTGCATTGCCTGCTTCTCGGCGCTGCGCTCGTTGATTGCCGTCGAGCTGATCGGATTGGAGAAGCTGACGAATGCATTCGGCTTCCTGATGCTCTTCCAAGGCCTGGCCGCTACCATTGGTACTCCTATTGCTGGTGAGTACTTCTAGTCTTATTATTCAAATATAGTAAATATTAATAAATAAAATAATATAATAAATTTGTTGTCAATGGGAAATATCGTATTACCTTGATAACCTTATCACTTAGATATTAACTCTTCTATAACACTATGCTATCTGTTGCGACTTAAACAATATAATATGTTTGTTTTGAAAAAACATAAAGCTTTTAATTTGTAAACATTTTAGAAGATTGAACACCTATTAAATTAGTATTTTCTTTGTATATCTTTTAGGCGCCCTGTACTCAATGACCGACAGCTATAATGTGGCCTTTTATTTTGCTGGCGGACTTATTCTGCTGTCGGCCTTCCTGTGCTATCCACTCACCTACGTATCAAACTGGGAGAGCCGACGCAATGCAAAGAACGGGGAGCTGTCAACGGCCTAAGTGGAAAGCAAGCGAAGCGACTAAAAGATAGATAGATAGAGTGAGTGAAAGCAGAATCAACCAATTCGACAAACTGGAAATTTCGACAAAGTGTCGCAAATGTCTTCTGATAACGACACTGTGTCCCATTAAGTGGTTAATTCAAAACTAATTGCCAATCGCTCGATGTTCTTGAAGACGGAAGACGGAAGACGGAACTGTAACCAGTAACTGACAACTGAACAGCAAACAGCAAACAGATAAAGAAGATGAAGAAGAAGTGGAAAATGAAGAAGCAGAGCAAGGAGCAGTTTTAGATTAAGCCAAACTGCTGTCAGTGCTTGCTGCGGAGCAGCGTTGAAGCGTTGTAGTACTTGAGATGTCTCCTTGATTTGATCTAGATTAAGTAGCCTAGATTAATGCCTAGATTAGGCCTTAGCCTAAGTGTAATGTTTGTGCCTTTATCTTTATCGAGTGCCTCGCCTCAAACTAAACACACACCCACACAGCTCATGTCTTGATTGATTAAATTGTAACTAAATTTGTATATACTAAATATACATAAATATATATTTATATTTACCATCGATCAATGGTCAATCTTAAGTGCTTAAGTGGGTGTGCAAACACACTAAAAGAAACAAAATTATGATGATTATAAAAATTATAATCATATTTATAGCAGCTGACCGCATGGCTGGGCCACAATTCGACTGCCAATTTAAAAGAAGAAGAGGACGTTGCATTTGTTTAATTGATAAGTTTGACTAACTAAACTGATAGCTTCTGCTCCAGACTTGTTGCATAGTTTGTACATATGTAAGTTCTAGCTCTAAGTAAACACACAAACCAAACACACACACACACACACACACATACACACACTGTCACACACTGTCACACTGTTGTTGATGTTGCTGTTGCAGCGAGCCAAGAGCCAAGAGGTTATTGCACCGTAGAATCCGAACCCAACTCCAATCCGTTGTCATCGACTCGTTTTGTTGATTGTTGATTATAAAGAACAAACAAAACGTGGGCCATCTGAAAATGTGTTGTGACCCGCTTATACACACACTCACACAAACACACACTACATACATATATATATATATATATATATATATATATATATATATATATATATATATATATACATAGATGCAAACATACTCAAGCAAAGTAAAGCGCGCTTTGTGCTTATGTTTATCAACTACAATATGTTAAAATATTATTATACAAATTATAACAATGAGAGAAAACCGAAACAATACAACAGACTATACGAGATATCTCTACATATGTATCTATCTAGTTTATTTAACAGTTATACATTTCACTATGTAAACATTTGAGTAATTTACAAACACTACAAAGTTGAGCGTTTTTCTTTTATTTTGTCGGTTGGGGAACTATTTTTTAAATATTTTGTTTTCTTTGCCAGCTGCTGTTTAGGATAGCATATGCACCCACCACGGACACCTATTGAGTTCGTGTATTAGCTAAACGAGCCAAGAAAGCCATGAGGGGCATACTGGCGATGGGAAAATGTACCAAGTCGATAATATCCTTGAAGATTTTCGATAATCCGGAAATCATTTAAAATCACTTGTTCTTTGGAAACTTCAAGGACGATTTGGGAGCCCTACGGTCAGTTGTCCTGGGCAAAACACAATGTTTGCCACAAGATTCGTCAGAATCAGTAATGATATGGGCGAGCTAAAAGCGATAATCTGATTTAAGGAAAGCCTTTCTTTCTTTGGTTCTTGAAACGGATAAGTATCACCAAATTTTTCCATTTTGAATTTTTTTTCTGAAAACTCGCTTGTGTAATTTGTGGAAAACATTTTGTAGTTCTCGAAATCTTTCGATTATTACAAAAATATCAGAGCAAGAACAAAAAACGAATGTCCATTTTACAAAAATGTATCTAACTAGGCGAAATTCTTACAGAATTTCCAAGGACACGATGCGTAAGAATCGCAACGATCAGCTCCATAGGACTGCAGTCAAGCATTATGAGGTGATCTAAGAACCCAAAAAACCTGTCAATAAATTGAAACGCTATATAAAATACAAACTAACAATCGTTTTATTATTACTCTTAGTTGCACAAGATAAGCGTAATAACTAAATCGTAAGGAAAATCGTGATTATAAACGAATCGTTTTGTTTTTCAGCTTAAATTACAACATTAAATAGATAACGCAGTTGTGTCTTTGGTCATGGCACACCAACTATAACCTATTTTTCCTGATTCAATGAATTAATGAACTCCTCTAGTTTCTCCTGAATCTGCCGGACTTTAACTGAAAGAATTAGATGATTAGTTTTGTGGTTCGAAAGAGTCCTGGTGATCAACTTACTTAACTCCTCGGCCAGCTGAACACGTTTGCCTGTGAGCAGATAACCTTTCCGTTCCTCATCATCACTGAACTCGTCCAGCACTGCCTTGATCTCCTTATCCAGGCGTCGCGCCTCTCGATTGATGACCTGCTGCCGCAGTGCATTGCCCGTCACCTTGATCACCTGCTGTATGCGCCAGAAGAGGACTACATCGTTGCAGGATACCTAACAGAGAGCAAAAGCACAGACTTTTAGTCATGAAAAGGATAGATTGTTCTTTGCACACACACCTCGCACTCTGTGCCCTGTTGCGTATAGAGATAATACGCTTTGCGGCAGTCTTTCGCTCGATGCAGCGCCTGCTGCAAGAAGTATCTAAAAGCGACAAAACGTTCAACATTAGTTGAGTGTATATATATCAATTATAAGCTACACACTTTCTGTAGACGGGGAACCACGTTTGACGTATATAATCGGTGTCCACATCCACATTATCACGCTGCAGATTTTTGCGTACAGTCGTCAGCTCATCGTAGCTAAGGGTGGGCAGATGTTTCTGCAATTTAATGTTGGCTTGCATTAAATTATATTTATGATTTTGTATTATTAGCTTACACACCGCATCATTTTTAAGTATTTTGTCCAGTTCACCTTTGACACTGCGTCGCTTTTGCTGATCCTGGGTTATTGACTTCCAGTACACGAATCGCGTCCACGGCCCGGGTCCAAACATTTGGGACAACGTCTCATCGGTTTGCTCAAGTTTAGTATTAACAGAGTTCTCCAGGAATTTAACTGCCTGATCCCATTCCGTTTTGTCGTGCACAAAGCGATCTTCCAATGTGTTTAGCTGTATCACTCGCAGCATATCAATGGCTTTGTCCTCCCAGCTATGCCGGCGAATGGCCTCATCGACAACAGCGCTCTTCAGCTGATCAAAGACACCGTCATGATCGTGTGCTTTCTTCGCCCGTTCCATCAGTGATATGAACTCTTGCTGCAGTGCCTCCCAGCCAGCCTCAACCGACTTGGCGGGCAATGCTTGCTCTGCCCATTGTCGCAGCTTGATATCCACCATGGTATTGAAGGAATCTAAAAGAAAATTAAAACTTAGTCTCTCTTTCAGTCGCCAGCTTAATAGATTATAGAATAGATGCAAAAGTGATTAACAAAACGACAATAAACATGAAGTAAAAAGTCGGCCAACGCATCTGGAGTTGTATTTGGAAGTTATGATAATTAAGAATTGCTATTTTCGTGCTCATTGATCAAATTAACGCAGTTAAAATTAAGATTTCCGGTTAAACGTGTTCCTTGACACGATAATCGCTTAATTTATCTACAAATATATTTTTCACATCTTCAAGTCACACTTTCCGACAAGTACGCGCCTTATTCGCACATGACTGCAACAAATAATAAAAAATAACATTCTGAATCACGTTTTTGTTTTGGGAACTTGTCTGATTAAACGATGCTAATTAAAATTGAAATTCGGAATATATATATATATATAAATATCAAATTTTAGGTCATGATTCAATGCAAACAGGGTTCAACTCAGCACGAGATAAATCCGGTTTCGGAACCTAAAATGGGCTTGTGATTCCCATTGATATGTGATTCGGACATTGATATGTGTCGATGCGTTAAAGGCTGACGGAACCAATATAATTTCCCGGTAAAATGTTATATTCTGGCTTCTTAACACACAAACACGCCACAATTATGGTGATGCACTGGATGTGATCCTGGGCGTGGCTTACAACTTAATACTTATTACTACAGAATATTACTTTGAGAACCTGACTGTGCAGCGGGTAGGTAAACATTTTCGAATACATAATTCGATAGTTTCTCCCATAGCTTGTGTGTGAGAGCATCATCCCATTTCTTGGCTGAGATCTGTGATAGTGTCACCACTTCGTCCAGTATTTCGCCTTTCGCCTTGTCAAACAGCTCGTCGCGACCAGATTCTCGCAGTCTACAATAATCATGCGCTATAAGTATTCAATTGAAGAATATGCATATCAGCAACGGCGACTCACCTGGGAAAGTTATTTTTCCATTCGGTTTCCAAATTAAATCGGGTTGCCTTAAATGCATCGGCCTGCTGTTCGATAGTTTCACGCACCATCTTCCAGAAACGATCCGAAACAGCTAGACTCAAGTTTCGGCTCGTCACTTGATGTGGCATAATAACTCCCCGTCGACTGCAAAGATACTGTCCATTAAATGTTGCACAAACATAGTAGTTGTGTTACCACTTACTGAAACAGTTTGGAATTCTTAAAGAAGTCCTCTTCATACTGTCTAATGGCATCAATGCTGTCATCTTTCCTGCCGCGACCGGTGACAACGGCATAGTACCCCAAGGCCTTCATTGGAAACAGCTTGCCCGACAATATTTTCCTTATACGTTCAGGATCTGCCAGTTCTTCGGCCAAATCAACCTTGGTGAGTACAAATATTGTGCGGCGACCCAAGGGATCGCATTGCATGACCAGATCGGTGACATTACTGCGCTCCGCATCAACAGAGCCATCCTGGATGCATAGAATAATCGCATTCGGATTGCTCATGTAATGCTTGGTCATCTGGTGAATGGAGTCCTTGGTGTCTGATGCCATATCAACTGTCATGGTCTGCAAATATTGAATACATTATAGAAAAGTTTAAGGGCATAAAAAAATGTAATACAATCTGATTACCGAAATAATGCCTGGCAAATCCACCAGGACCATACGCTGCAGTCCAGGACCCTTGACCGTCATGGCTATCACTTCATTGCTCACCGTCTTGCCGCCACGGACGGAAGAGCGCATTCGGAACTCCACCTCGCGCCGCAGATCAGCCAGATCCGATTCTTTAGTTAGATCGTATTCACGATCATTGTCACGAAATTGTGCCACATGATATGGTCCCTCGGCCAGAGTTACTTTGACTGGGGCGCGTGTCATCATTTCGCCGCTACCGCGTGGAAAGATACGCGCCTTGGCGATGGACTCGAGCACAGACGTTTTGCCACTGCTCTGATCGCCGACAACAACAACACGCGGCAAATGATCGGCCATAGTATAGCCGGTATCATAGCCAGATAATTCGTCCAGCACTTCAGAGTACATGTCAATTAGCGATTTCTTAATTCTCTTTGCCGTCGGCTTCTTGTTTGTTTTGAGTATGAGATATTGTTGACGCAGCTCACGATTCTCCTTCTCCATTTTCTCGAGCTCCTTTTGGTATTTGATCTGCACGTTCATAATTTCAGTTTGCAGCGTTTCCACTTGGCTCTGCAGTTTGTCTGCCAAAAAAATAAACAAATCCAAAGTAAATAAACATTTTAATTTACCACTTACTTTATTGCCGACTCACCATATTTTTTACGACTTTCGTCCGCTGGTATGCCCAGCGCGGCAACAGTTGTCTTCGACTTGATATCGTCCTTGGCTGCAATGGAATATGAATTCGAGTTTTGAATAAGTGAATAAGACGAATTAATAATAGGCGAGCATAAATTCTCTCACTTTAAATGCATTATGTTCAGCAAATTGAATATTTGAATTGTATTGTGTGTAACCTACTTTCGACAATTTGATTTCCTTGATAATCGGCCGCTTCAATTGCATCGTCCAGACGACTATCGAACCACGAGCGCCATTCCGACAACTTATCTTCGCTCAGCTGCTTAAGCCTCGGATCTACAAGCAAACCCCAATATCATCAATATTCATTCTCAAGCCAAGACTATGCATTAAAACGCAGCGAAGTGAAATATGGGCATTTCCATTTCTCGTCTATTACTTTTTACATGTTTTTCGTTGAATATAGCATTTTAGTATCACTAATTTGAGCTTAAGACTGAGCACTGTCAAGAATATTGAAATAACACAAGTTTCAATAAATACGGCTACTATTACTATTACTATTTACTTGAGATTTAACCAATCTCTATTAATTTTTGATAGTGGTTGTTAAAAGGTAAATCAAAATAGGTTTATGATTAAAGAACATTTGCATTCGTTAGGCAATGATCCAATAAATTAGATAATTCAATTATTTAGTAATTTTGTGCAAATAAACAAATAAGTTCTGCTGCCGATGCGTTGATGTTAGAGTAAAGCCTTTTGTGGAAATGCCCATTTGTTAAGCATACTGAATGTGAAAATCAAACGACTCGTGACAAATAAACAATGAATGCAAAGAAAAATTGGAAAACTCCTTCAACCCGCATTCAGTAAAATATAACTAACTGTTATGGCAATTTAAAGTGAGAGAGAAAGAAAAAAGTATATACAAATTAAGAACTCACCGATTTCAATGGCATTCTTCACCGTGCTGCCGACTTCAATGAGATTCTTCGAGAACTGAGTCCATCTCTCACCCTGAGGCAGAGCATCCTCGAGCCATTTCAAATCGGGCAGCCCATCCTTCCAATCTTCATATTTCTGCACGTGCACAAATGCATTTTGCCAATTATATAACAATTAACTTATTAGATGTAACTTATTTTCAGTCACCTTGCTCAGGGAAACGCCACCGCCAACAGCGCCGCCCAGCACAATGTAACGCAGCTTGAGGGCGCCCCTTAGAATTCGCACCACAAACATTCCATAGCCACGCGAGTGGGGCGGTATTGTCCAGCCCCTCGCCTGGTTGCCACCCAGCAGAAACTCTTCGTGGCTGCGATTGCTGTGCTGCTCCCAGCGTGCACCACTGGCAGATCCGGTGCGACGCGACTGACTGGTGATGTTGCATAGCGTGGAGTGATTGCAGCAGACAACCTTCGTTGAGTATACAACGGCTTTTCTAGCGGTTCGCCTGAAAGTGCAAATTCGCCAAAATGCAATGGGGCGATGATGACGAAATCGATGTATGAAAATTTGCGACCGGTTCGCATTGGCCACGTTCTGTGCTTACCGGTTTGTATTCTGATAGATGCGCAACATTATTGCTTATTGAGGCAAAAGTTTTCACACAGTTTTCAATGCCTGTTTTATTTCTTATATTATTTTCAATTTTTTCTCAACAAAAATTTCATAATAGAGATGAGCGCTATTCACGTACTTGTTACTTAACACTAGTATCGAGGAGTAACAAGTTACAGCGGTTGCACATCTCTAGTTTGTATCGACGATATCGGTTTGGGGCACAATCGATTGCAAAATCTAACGATAAGAGCAGATAGGCAGGCGCCAACTTCAAATCCAAAAATTGTGTGCTCAGTCCTTCAATACTTTGGGGTTTATATTTTATTGACTTTATTTGAGTTGGTTTGTACATTGTACCCACACACTTATCGCCATAACATACATTTATTTCGGGAATGCACGAAATCTATTTGTGCGTGTGGTGTTTCGAGATTAGACAATGGTTTCTCATCAGTAAATGAGGTTAGCATAATGTCAAAATATGTGCCTTTTTTATTGCTAGTTAAAGATTGCATAATAAATTAAATTACGCTACAACTAATATTAAATTGTCGCATATGTATTTTTTTTTAATAACTTTTCTCTTAATTTTTTTGTAATACATACACGTACACGCATATTTTCTACATATTTTCTACGTTTTTTAAGATTTAGAATGCACTTTGCAGCTATTAATATAACGGTAACTATGTCTTAAGAAAAGTTTACTACCGGAAAATATTTTCCGAGCCTTCGAATTTTCTTCATAGTGACAAAGCATTTAGAGCCGGTAACATGTATTGCTTTGGTAAGGCTTTTATCTTCCAAAATCAAATCGATTTTCTCGATTGAGTTCAGATTATAAATATCTTTTGGTGTTTCGTTGGATTTCTTTTTGTTGTTGTTGCTACTACTGCTGTTTTTGTTATAGTTCCTACTATAATTGGTGTCATTAAAATATTGCTTTTGCTTAAGCGTTGCTTTGGCTGCATTCAATGTGTTCATGATTTGGTCCGTATTATCGATGTCCGGTATAAAATCGGACTCTTCGTCATATTCTTCTTTAGTTTCGGCAACGGAGAATGTATTTAAATTGAATAATGAATTTCTTTGCTGGATATGTTGTTGTTGTTGCTGTTGTTGATGACTTGATTCACCTGTTGCAGCATCTCCACCGGCTGCTTCATTTATATGACGATGACGCAGCTCGTATTCCTGAGCCTCTGTGATGCGATCCAATGACTGGCTTTCGCGCATGCGCCTTCGACGTGTTGTTGTACTTTCAAATACTACTGTTTGCTGTTTTTCCGCTTGGGAATGTTTATCAACATGGTCCTTACTATGATGCTTCCTATTCTTTTGAGTGTGAGATTTGCGTGTTTCCTCCGATTTATTTGGCTATGGATGACAATTTAGATTATAATTGGAGCTTTTAAAGTAATTGTTCTTTAACGCTTTACCTCTTTATATTGTCCCTGCTCCTCTTTTTTGCCACTTACACCAGAATTGCTATTCGAAATGAAATTCGCAGCGCTGCTATTGGAGCCCGGCGGTGGATACAATTGATCCTGTGAGTCGCTGGAATCATCGTGCGAGTCTCTCCGATGCGTGCGAAATCTTATGGGTGTATCGCCAGTGAACTTGTTAATCTTCTTCTTGTTACGGGTCTTTGTGTCATCGTCAGATGCCTCAGAACTGCTGCACGATGGCGTACGTATCTTATTAAGCTTTGTACGTCGATGCGTCAGCACCGGATTCTTGCTGCTGCTGGGCAACGGCTTCAGCTTCCCAATTTCGAGCTCCTTTAGACCGCTTATTGTGTCCTCATCCACCTTGACACATTTTTCCATTTGCTTTAGCTTCTGGGCGAGCGTATCGACGGACACGACTATCTTTGTGCGTGTATTTGTTGGCACATCGGCTGCTGGCGCTAACGAACAGTGGCGCTCCTGCAATGAGCGGTTGAGGCGTCCATCGGAAATGGACTCGCGCCGCATTGAAGCCACTTGCAGCTCATTCCCAATGCCGCCGCCCTCATTCGCCGACTCCTCCTCGTCCTCCTCTCGTACTATGCTGCACTTGCGGGTACGCTTATCCTAAGAGTGTTTAATAATGCGTCATCAGAATGTCAAATATGTGCCCAAAAGCTGTCAACTTACCGGCTTTGAATTATCATTGCCAAATTGTGCTGCCGGGGTGACATTTATGCTAACAGGCACAACTACTTTGGGATTTTCCGTTGGACTCGGCTTATCTGCTGTGGGCCTGCGATCAACATCACTCAGTCTAATAGATAACACAATTTGAATAACAATATATATATTTATATAATTAATATATACGTATAAAATAAATACACGTTTTTTTACTTACTTTAGACCCGCCTCTTGCAGCTTTTGCTTGTGTGCCTCTTCTCGTCGTCGGCGCAAACGTAATTCAGCCAGAAGAAAATATGTGGCTGTTATATGATTGTACTTATTTTTATCTAGAGCCCTGTACGAAATTTGGATTTTGTTAAAAAATAGAATGGTAATTACAGTTGTCGCTCGCAAATTAAAATTTTTTTTCAAGCATTTCAAATGTCTGAATAAATAGTGCAAGTCATATATTTGCTATGCAATCAATATGCAAATGTAAACAATAATAGAATATATGGCAAACGCGTGTTAAGTATTAAGCCCTCTTAATGATGATGCTTATTAATAAATGTAAAAATTTGTGAGCGATTATATATTTCGATTTGGTTGATTACTAACTGCAGTATCTCTTCCTTGGACGCAATGTTTCCGTTTATCATCTTCTGTATAATAAAAGCGTGATCCTCTTCACTCAGCTGCTCACGGCTTACCAGCGGCAGCGAGTGCTCAACGGATTCGGGCTCGTCGATTTGCTTAAGCCAAGCGGATGATGCAATTTCCTCAACGGTTGCCCGCTTTTTTGGATCACGCACTAGCATTGTGGCAATTAAATTGCGGCATTCCTGGGTCACGTGCGACGGCACCGTGTACTTGCAATCCATAATCATGGTTAGCGTCTCCGAATCGTTGGCCTTCTCAAAAGGTGCCTGGCCACACACCAGCATATACAGTATGACGCCCAAAGACCAAATATCTAATAGATAATGTCAATAATAAAATAAAGCTTATCATGCGATACAAGCACACAAAAACACACACACGCAGATATAGACTTACCCACTGCGGGCGCATCGTATGAGTCGCCCAGCAATATTTCGGGTGCTGAATATGCGAGACTGCCACAAAATGTCTCCAGTTTTTGGCCAGGCAAGAACTTGTTGCTAAACCCAAAATCTGTCAGCTTGACGAGACCCAACTTTTCGAAAAATACAACATTCTCTGGCTTCAAGTCCCTGTCCGTTGAGCGAGTCACAAGAAATTTGTTACGTAAAAAATCACTTGGCATTTTTGGCATTTCAATGGCGAATTTATGAGTGTTCGTACCTGTGCACGACGTGCAGCTGATGACAGTACGTGATTGCGCGGAGTATTTGTCGGAAATACTTGCGGGCCAGCTCCTCGCTCAGCCCGGTCTCGTGCTTCATTATATAATCATAGAGATCGCCGCCATCGCCCAGCTCCAGCACCAGATACAACTTGGTCTGCGTGTCAATCACTTCATAAAGCCGCACTACGTTCGGATGCTGCACCAGTTTCATGCAGCTACAGCCATAGGACAAATTTATGTATACACTCGATATAATTTACAATTTTCAAGCTTACCGAACTTCCTGAAATAAATGCGCTTTGGAGACCTCGTCTAGCTTCAACTTATCAACGACTTTCACTGCCACTTTGGCACCAGTGAACACATGTCGCGCCAGCTTCACGACAGCAAAGTGACCCGAACCGAGTGTCTCCTCCAGATCGTAGAGTCCGGCAATTTTGCCATCGCACAGTCCCCCGCCAACTGGTTGCGTTTCCAAGGTCATGATCCTGTCCTTATCGCTGTCACTTGATTGTTCCGCCGCTCTCGTTGAGTGTGTGCAATTCTCCGTGTTGAACTGAAACCACTAGAAATGCATTTCGTACATACATATATAAACATACAATGTGTAAGTGGTTCGATTTAGTACAGTACTTGAAAACCGCAGAGTTCACACATCTTGAAATCTGATTATTACACACATATAGTTCCCATTCAATGTTCGTAATTGAATAGATAGTTTCATAATGTAGCGTAATATCGTCATTCTCTGTTTATTCTTTTCTTATTTCTTTTTGGTTTCCAATCAGTTCCTTTTGACTTTTCACAATTGGGTCCTGTGTCTAAGCAGGAGCACCAAAATTCACTTAAGGAACAGGGCTGTTACACAAGGGGACGCAATGGGGCAGGGCTGTTGTTACCGTTTTTCAGCAGCCGACGCACGCAAAAACTATAATATTGGCTTCATTTCACTGTTTGTAATTGTGCACTTTGCGTTGAAGTTGCCGTTTCAATGTGTCCTTTAACACACTTTGCTGTTTATCACACAAGAAAAGTACTTATTTTAAACCTTTTGTGTATACTAGAGCTGTATCGAATCGTTCGGAATAAGTTCGATCGAACGACTCACTTAACTGAACGAACCAGCTCAGTCCCCGGTGTTCGTTCATTTACTCTTTGCTTGTATATACTTTTCTGCAGCCCTGCACAAGAACCAACTTTCGCTAAACTTCTAACTGTTTTCCACCGACGTACTTCGTAGTTAATTTTATAAAATGCCACCAAATGTTTAATATATTAAATAAATAATAATAATAAATAGAAACTATTGTTAGCAAAGGCTGTTTTCATTTACCAGTATGCGACTTGGCGCCATTTAGCAACTGTTGCTAACAGCTATCAAACTGTTAAGTTTTCGGATAACAGAAACATATGTTTCTGTGTTTTTTTTTTCGGACACAAACTAAATAAAAGTTTGTAAATTAGCATTTATTAATACATTTTTGAAAGGTTGCACCACAAAGATCTTGCGAAATGGAAGAAAAAGAGAATCCGTTCGACATGGATACCTCCAGCTTCGATTCCGACAGGTATCTGGAGAGGCTGCTGAAGGACTGTTCGCTCAAGCAGATTATGGACACCGAAGCGGCCGTTGTGAAGGACACACAAACGTTGCACTCGGATATGCAAACGTTGGTGTATGAGAACTACAACAAATTCATCTCGGCGACGGATACCATACGCAAGATGAAGGACGACTTCAAGCAGATGGAAACTGATGTGAATCTGCTCATGACCAAGATGCAGTCGATCACAACATTTAGCGAACAGATCACAGGCACCCTTCAAGGCACACGCTCCCAGCTGTGTCGTCTCTCCGAGAAGCACTCGCTGCTGAAGCGGCTGCAGTTTCTGTCCACACTACCAGCGAAGCTCAAGTCGCTGATTGAGGAGCAGAACTATGCGCAGGCCGTGCAGGATTATCTGCATGCCCAGAAGGTGTTCGCTCAGTATGGCAGACAGCCCTCGTTCGACGGCATTCAGCGCGATTGTGATGCAATTATGGCCGATCTAAAGGAACGTCTGCGTCAGGACTTCCAGAGAGCCGGCAATACAGCGCAATCTCTCACAGAAATTGGTGAGCTGCTGCTACAGCTAGACGAGAAGACCTCCGATTTGGCCAGCGAGATGCTGAGATGTGCTGGCAAGCGGCTGCACGAACAAATTGTCATGCTGCAGGATCAAACGGAGCGCGATATGCTCGAGTTTGTTGACATTGGCATCGATGGCTTCCTCAACGATCTGGCCCTGGTGGTCACCTCCTATTTCGACATGTTTGTCGCCAAACACTACGAGCACGAACGGTGAGCTGCTCCCATTTTAAATCTTGGCTCTGATTGTATACCATAACAAATACTTGATTGCAGCGATGACTTCCAGGAGAATGCTCTGAACGAGCTGAACATTTTCCTCAATGAAAACATTGACAAGTATCTGACGCTGGTACAGGATCGTGTCGAGTCTGACATTGGCTACGGAGATACGCAGGTGATGCTGCGCGCCTTGGACCGCCTGCATCGCAGGCTGCAGGCGATGCGCAACATCTGTCGCGGTCTTCAGGTGCAGCGCAACACGCTGGAAATCATCATTGCCGCTGCCCATCAGCTCTGCGATGCGCACGGAAAAAGTCTCCGGGATCATTTCGCAGATAGCCTTAGTGCGGTGCGCTTGTCGCTGGTGTCCGCCAAGAGCGATGTGGCTGCCGGCGTGAATCTCAGCGATCTCATTAGCAATCTCTATGTGGCCATGGTGGAGAAAATCAAGGGTGTGCTGCAGGACTTGATGATCTTTCTGCGCACCGACTGGTCCTTCAACATCAAGGCCGAACACAAAGGCGCCCTTTGCGTGGAGGGCATACGGGAGAACCTCCTAATTGGCTTCCTGCGTCACATTTCCAAGGTGATGTGCAGTTTTGCGGATGCCTCGAGCTCCAGCCCGCCCAACCTGCTGCTGGTGCTGTCCAAAACGTGCCTCGAACTGGAGCAGCAGGGCGTCCATATACTGGTAGATGTTCAGTCAAGTTTTTTCTGATATAATAAATATATTACGTATTATTTTCATCTGGTCCGCAGATAGCGCTCGTCGATGATCTCTACGAGATTGATTCGGAGAACAGTGCAACACTCACCCACGAAACGGAGATCTGTGCGGAGATGCGAGAGACGGCGCAGTCCCTGCTCGACGCCTATGTGCGTTTGCAGGGCACAAACATCTCGCAGATGCTGCGCAAGAGCGTCGAAACGCGCGACTGGCTCAACTGCCTGGAGCCGCGTTCAGTGCGTGCCGTGATGAAACGTGTCGTCGAGGAACTGGGCAGCATTGAGACGGTTGTCGCTAGCCTCTATGAGAGCACAGGCAATGCAGGTTTTCGCACCACGGCCAGCAGCGATTCCAGCCGCAAAACATACTTTAGCAATTTCAATGCGTCGAAGCCGCAATATCGATCCAACTGGTCAAACTACACGCCCTCGCAGCTGGAGTCCAGCTATGTGTCCAACATTCATCGGCTGTTCTCGGAGCGCGTCGACATCTTTACATCGGTCGAGTTTAGCAAGGCGTCCATTGTGATGGGCATCATTAAGATTGGACTTAAGGTAGGGATATGATTCATAGTTTTAGTTTATTGCTAATCATCTTCACTAATCCCCGTACAGACGCTGCTGGAATGCGTCCGTCTGCGCACCTTCAGCAAGTTTGGACTACAACAGATCCAGGTGGATGCGCACTATCTGCAAATGAATCTGTGGCGCTTTGTTAGCGATGAAAAGTGAGTGCCAGTCCAGTCCATAAGCCACTAACACTGACTTTTAACAATTGAAATTGCAGCCTGGTTAACTTTCTGCTGGATGAGATACTCGGGTCAGCGGTACATCGCTGCCTGGAGTCGGTGCTGATGGAACCGAATGCCGTCGAGATCATCTGTGAGCGGGGTTAGTACTTGAAAATTTCGACAAAATGTGTGTGTAACATTCCTGACTTTTATCTGATCTGTGTCTATTTAATTTTGTTACTTGATGCTAGCCTAAGGATTTCACTTAATACATAAAAATACACTATTCAAACACATAATTATTAAACAGATTGTCTATTCGACCGGCTGTGGACTGAGTTCGAGCATAAACTCAATGTCCTCGCCCTTGAAATCATCATCGCTGTGCTCCGCCTCCTCCGCCGCTGCCGTCGCCGACGTCGTCGTCGTTGTGGTCACCAGTATATTGTGCGTTTCCAGTTCGCTATCCGTTTCGCCCGACATGATTGTGATTAGACTAGTTTGGGATTTGCTCGATTGCTCGATCGCATCGGCGCCCATGCGCTTCTGTATACGTGCCTTGCGCGCCTCCTCGAACTCCTTGGGATGGCACTTTTTACGATGCGAATGCTTGTTGGCATTTGAATTGAAGGTCTTCGGACAGTGCGGACACTTGTAGAGCACCTCGCCTGTATGCGTGGCCATGTGCTCCTTCAGATTGATGGCCTTCTTAAATTTCTTGTTGCACACACTGCAGCCATGCGCCCGATCCGTATTGTGCACATAGCTCTGATGGCTGAGCATGGCGCTGCGATTGGGCGACACCTTGCCGCAGATGTTGCACTTGCACTCCTCCGATGAGGCGTTGTGGCGACGCACATGCTTCTTCAAACTGGTCTTGTTCTTGTGCCACGAACCGCATATCTCGCACTGCACCTTTGGCTCCGTAATCCCGGCGTGCGTCAGCTGATGGCGTTCAAATGCAGCTGGTCCTCGGATAACTTGAGCGCAAATGTCGCACATGGTTCCATAATTGCCATGCACCATTTTCACATGCGTACACAGTCTCGAAACGTTGGGAAAACTATGGAGCAAAATCGAAGACTTATATTATGAAAGAAATTTAATAAGTGAGAAGAGTTGGTCATGGAAATAATCACAGATTTATGTCTGGTTTACAATTAATCTTGGACAACAATAACTGCAAATATAAGAGTAGTTCCCTTCAAGTCAGACATACAGACGCAACTATACATCAAGTCGATTCTTGAGGCTGATCTAGATATAAATCTATCCAAATATAAACAGTTGCATCACATTCGCTCACCGTCTGTCGCATATGTTGCAGGGCACATTGCGCTCCTTGTGTATGATGCGATGCTGATCCAATAGATACTGCTTGATATAGCGCTTGGGACAGTGCTCGCACATGAACTTCTTCTGCTCGTCCGGCTGGTGCTTGAGCAGCTCGTGATTGCGCAGGCACTGCTTGTCTGCAAAGGTTCGGTCGCACAGATCGCATCTGGATACAATGGAAAAAACCATATTAGTTTCAGCTGGATATATATTATGCTTTGATTTGGAATTTGTTGTCCGCACTTTACCATTACACTCACTTAAATTTCTCGGGATTTGAGTGGCGATCGATGTGATCGGTGAGAAAGGAGCGCTTGTAGAACTTCCTGTTACAGCAGACCGCATACCCCTTGCGATGATGCATCTGCATCATGTGCTCGCACAGCTTCCGGAAAGTCTCCTGTCCCGCATGGCAAACGCTGCAGGTGAGGCGCATATGTTGGGCGATCTTCTCATCAATCTCCAGCATGGATTTCTTGTAGTCCACATAACGTTTGTGCTTGGGCAACTCCTCCGCATCGCTGGCAACGACTTTCTCCGTTTTTGATCGGCCTCGTCGCTTGGCTGGTGTTTTCTTTTCAGCTGGAGGCGATTCATTTACCTGGTGCGCTTTGCTCTTAGCACGCGTGGAGCGCGTTTCACGACGCTCCTGAACAGCTTCAGGAGTTGGCTGTAGCACAGCAGCTGTTTGCTCTGGTTCCGGTTCAGTGGGCACTTCTTCTGCAGCAGGATCACTATTTGCTTGTGCCTGCTGGGCAAGCACATCGGTGAGGAACTGCTCATTGCTAAACGATGCAGCTGTATCGCTCTCGTTGCCGCTGACATACAAATCGTCGACGGCCGTGTCCTGATCCTGATCCTGATCCAAGTCATCATCCTCAGCATGATAAAGGAAGTCTTTAGTGTCCTCCTGCATGTCTATCGCCTCCTTCTTGCCCTCACCGACCAACAGACTCTGGCTACTTGCATGGAGCTTCTCCTGCTGGGGTTCGCCGCCTTTGAGGGAGAAACGTTCGGTGAGGAGACGATGCGCCTTTTCCACGCTCGCATAGAATTCGTTAAAGTCACTGACCCGCGTCCAGCAGCCCCCACAGACGGCCGTCGATATGGGATCATCGCTTTTCGGCTAAAATACGCTCATTGTTTACAGTTGCAAATGGAAAACATATGTATATAAAGATACATATACGAATCGTACCTGAAACCAAAAGTATTTCGCCAGCACTGTGGCTATGTTCAGTGATAGGCCGACGCCCTCAAATATTTGAATGGTGTCGCTGACGCTGTTCAAGCACAGACGGCAAATCATTTTTGTGCTCAAGTTTCCATTATAAATGCTTCAGCAATAATCACAAAATTTATTCAATTAAAAATTAGCTGCATCAAAACAATCTGCTTCTTCTTTTGCGTGAATGTGTTATCGATAAGCAATCAACTCAGTTGTGCGTTGCTATCGGTGATTGCTGTTAAGCGCAGCTCTGCTACGTCTGCCAAGTTTGCCAGAATCCCAATAGGTGGCGCTTCACACATAATGCTGCCGATGAAATCCAATTCGAAAATATTTTATGAATTCTAAATATTCGATGAAAATACCTCTTTTTGTAAAGAAACTTAAGTTTTGACACATTCTAAATAGGTGTCGCTTTGTACATAATGCTGTCGATGAAATCCAATTCGAAAATATTTTATAAGTTCTAAATATTCGATGAGAATACTTCTTTTTATAAAGGCACTTAAGTTTTGACACATTCCAAATAGGTGTCGCTTTGTACATAATGCTGTCGATAAAATCCAATTCGAAAATATTTTATGAATTCTAAATATTCGATGAGAATACTTCTTTTTATAAAGAAACTTAAGTTTTGACACAGTCCCAATAGGTGGCGCTTTGCACATAATTCTGCCGATAAAATCCAATTCGCAAATATTTTATGAATTCTAAATATTCGATGAAAATACTTTCTTTTGTAAAGAAACTTAAGTTTTGACACAGTCCCAATAGGTGGCGCCTTGCAAATGCTGTCGATAAAATCGAGTTCGAAAATTATTTCTAGTTCTAAATTTTAGTTGCAAATACTTTTCGTGCATTTTTTTTGTAATGAAACTGAAGATTATTTAGTAGTTATATGTTTGGAGAATTGGTAATTTATTTAAGATAAAGTTGAATTAATTATTAGATATCATATGTATAACTAAGTTCATGTTGTTGATTTGTTGTTTATAATTTGTTTTTGTTTATCTTTTCGGAACTAAATAAAAAGTAAAAGTAATTATATTTAAAATCACAGCAGTCTTTTAATAATATATTTCTCAATTTGTGTTTAATCAATTTGAACGCATATCGAAGGCGCCACTCCTAACCATTAACAAAGTTTTACTACATACATAAATGTTCTTGTTGTTGTTGTTGTTTTGTTTTTAAATGTAACGGAATCAAATAGCTTACTATATAGTGCTTACGAATATCGGAGCAAAAAATGCATATTAACTACAGACATTAATTGTATCATCATATTATAGTATTTAATATTTATATATATGTATGTATATTGAACAAAGTGTTCCAAATCGAAATCGTGTCCACCGTGAGCGCTATACGCAATTTGTCGTATAGGATTGCACAGAGTTAAAAATTAGATTAGGCTCTTAACTAGAACTACTAATTACATATACATATACATATACATATGTCTATGATATAGCTAGAACGTCTGAAAATGTTTGAAAAAATTTGCTACTGGAATGCATTTCACTTGTTTCGTTACACAAAAATAAAAAAGAGAATTGAAATATTGAATCAATATTAGAATAAGAATCTGCAGCTCTACACTATACGCAATGCCATTAGCTATGTGTATGTATCTGCCTGTGTGTATATTTATATATATATATATAGATCAATTCATATATATATATATATATATATATGAAGTATGTACATTTAAAACCGTAGCTACAAATTTTTCAAATGCTCGCCAGTTAAATACATATATATATATATATATCTATTGTATATGTTAGCTAAAAAAATTTTGATTAAAGTTACTAGTTTAACGAATTGAAACGAAGCCTAAAAAAATGTCAAATAACAATCAAATTACATTATATATATATATATAATCATAGTATATACATCGGACGTTGGTTTTCAATTGCTTATGTTATTCGTCCGATTGTTTGATTTGTTAGGATATAAAAAACATAGCTCACTCACACACACACACACACACACACACACACGTACACAGATGCAGATACACAGTAACAGTTAACAGTTACACACACATACTGATACATTCACATATATATGATATATGCACATATATCGTACATATCGGCTTAAATCACAGCTACGCAGAGTTTATAGGCAAGGCGAGTCATTTCTGTTTGTGGTTTACATTCAAAATACAGGACATATAGATACACTAACATACACACTCACACACACACACACACACACACACACACACATACACACACACATACACACTTACACACACATACTCACACACACATATTTAATGTGAAGCTTTTGGGGACAGTCCTGCTGCCGCCTTAACCCGCCACCTGTTGCATGGTTATGGTACTAATGAGCTGCTGACAAATCTTTCCATACTCAAACTGATCCCCCGAGATGCGTCTCAATTTGATACCTTTGCCAGCACCATGATGATCCCGACTGCGTCCCTCGCACACCTGCAGTTCGATCTGCAGTCCACCCGAGTACTCTAGACTTAAATTGGTGGTCGGTTCGCCATAGCTGGACGCAGCACAAGCAGCACTGGCCGCCACGCTGGCGATGGCATTGGCATTGGGTGTCGCCTCGCTGGATGCGTTGGAGGCGCTGCTGTAGCGGGACTCGGCGCCGCTATCCTCGGAGCTAATGCTGCCCTTGTGCAGCACAAAGCCCTTGGGCGGCATTGTCGAGTCGATCGTTTGCTTGACCATCTCTAGGATGCGTGTCGAGTCCAGATTGGAGCACTCGTGCGGCAGTGGTACCTCGTAGCACATCTCGTCGGACATGCGTCGCGAATCGCACATGGAGTCCGGCGTTAGATGCCCACATTCGGTGTGATCCCCCATTTCGGAATGTGAGTCGGATTTGAAGCCGGAGCTGGCCGATGGCTCCTGGCATGATGGCGACAGATTATTCGAGTCGTTGCTCAGCGAATCGTCTGAGAAGCCCAGCGATTTATCACTGCCACGCCTGTGCGGCTCCGCATTCCCAGACCCATGGGCATGGCAACTGGGCGCAGCATGTGTGGTACTGGTGGTGCTATTCTCGCAATCGAGACTCGCCTTGCGTCCAATCCCACGCGTTATCGATGGCATATCGCTGCTGGGCTCCGCGATGATCAAGCCCTGTGAGTTAAAGCATACTGGGATTAGAATTGCGAGTCAATTAGCACATTCAAAGATTAGCATTTGTGTTCGATTGAGTTTTGGCCAAGAGAATTTGCAAATCGTGCCCACCTGCATTGACATGATGGGCGTATGTGGCTCCAAGGAGTCCTCGCTGTCTCGACTGTTGTCCGAGGAGAGGGCCACCAGCGTGATCTCACTGCCCTGAACATCGGTGAGGCAGATCTGTGGCGTTATGCCGCCCGTGCAGCCGGCATATGGGGTACCCGTGCTAATCGTGTGACACATCTGACCGTTGCCATTCTCCTCCTGGATGATGCACAGATTGGGCGATGCCGGCGGCGTGGTCACAACGCGCACTGGCTGCGCCGGCGACAGATTCAATGGCTTCAGATCATAGTACGCCGCCGTGGGCATAAACCAATTGGTCGTTGCATAATCAGCCGATGGCTGATCGCCCGCAATGCACACATCCATGGACAGATCGAGTGGCTGCTGAGCAGCCCCTTCGCTGGCGGCAGAGGTGCCACGCGTAATGGAGCCACCGCCACCGCCAGTGCTCAGCACTGAGATGCCCTTGGTGATCTGATGCAATGGGGATGTGGCGCACGCATTGACACTCACACAGGGATTAAAGGGACCGGTGCCCGGCAGATACGGATTTGGATTGGGTGAGCTGTTGCCGCTGAATCCGCTCCCACTATGGCTATTACTGCTGATGATGCTGTTGCAGTTGCTGCTGTAGACGGGCGATTGGCAGCCGCTGCTGCTGTTCGAATTGCAGGCGCCCAAATTGATGCTGCTGAACTGACCCACCAAATGCTGTGGCTGCAACGGGAGTGTTAGTGCCACAGCTGCCGCGGCCGCTGCTGCCGGCTGATACTGATAGCCACAGATGGGCTGGCCAAACATCTGCTTGGCGGTGGTCAGCGAGGCATTGGCGCCGCCATGTGGCAACGTCGACAGCGGCGACACACTGTAGCTGTACATGGGCTGCTGATGCAGCTGCTGCTGCTGCAGCAGATGCGACTGATCCAAATGGCCACCACTCACCGCTGCACCGCTCGCCGCATGGGCGGCCAGTCCAAGCTGGGTGGCCAGATCGATAGGCACCACTTTCGTTGAGATTATCTTTTTGGCAATGTCGAAGCTGACCCGCTGCTCCTTCACCAATCGATCCAAGGCGGGCATCAGACTCTGTATGGCCTCCGGCGGCACCTCGATATCGTGGCCACGTCGCAGCGCCAGCTGCAGATTCGTCGGTTTGCCATGGATGGGTGAGGCTGTGTGGAGGCAAGTAGTCATTAGGATTAGTTCGTCTGCTATGTGCAGCAAGTGGGCTGAAAGGTGTTCGAATTGAATTTTGAGTGGAGCATATTGATTTGGCTTACCGGGCAGACTGATCGAATTTTCTAAAAGCGGCGGACTGGGTGCAACCAAAAAATTTCTCTGTGCGATACCTTTTTGCAGCGATTGGCATTCCTGCAGCGGTCCCTGGAACTGCGAACGTGATCCCTCCGAGGCGCGACGCACAGGACTGTAGCGTCCTATGGTCGCTAAGCGGTAATCCACGCAATCCACGCAATCAGCCGAAGAGATGGCCACACAAAAAAAAAAAACAACAAAACAAAACCGAATACAAAATTAGTGAAATTCTCAATGGAATAATAAAGTTGCAGAGCTGAGTTTTCCAGCAAGGCGCAGATATAAAATGCGGCATGGGGAAATCAAGAAAGAATTCAAGAATTAAAGAAGGCAAGAAGTAAGGAAATAAGGAAATAAGGAAAAAAAAGAAATAAAGAAAAATTAAACTTACCACCCTCCTGCACAGTGGGCAGCTTAGAGTGGGTGGGGCGGATGGTGCGACGATTGTTGGCCGCCATTGTGGGCGCCGCCACCAGCGGCACAGAGTTGCTGCTGCCGGCGCTGGCGGCGCTCAACGGCGACGTTGCCACACCCATTGCCAGACCAAAAATGGGCGGATTGGGCGGCGATTGGCTCAGCGATTTGAGTGTGGGCGGCAAATAGTCGCGATTCATGCGAGATTCAACTTCGCGTATTAGCTTGGGGCAAATCACTACACAGACGACAAGGAGGGTGCGGGGATTGCGGGTGGAGGGTAGAGGTAGAGGTAGAGAGTCAAGCAAACAGCAGCAGCAGCAGCAGCATTTGGTTGTTGTTGCGGTTGTTGAGCAGGCGACGATTTAGCGTTTAACGCAGTGCAATTAACCAAAATGATCCGAAAAATCATAAAATGAAATACAAACAAAAAATACAACACAAATCAATTAAATAAAATTAAAAACAGTAATTAAAAAAAAAAACCAACCATTTTTGAAACTTAAAAAATATAGTTATTTAAGCATGGTTAATCAAGCGAGGTAACTTCATTAAATATTAATTCCCACGTATTTAATACTGCAAAACTTGATCGAAAGTCAAATCGTTAAAATAAATGCGGGATGTTAAACCGGAACCGAAATTAACCGATTACAATTCAGAACCGGAATCGGTATCGAAACCGAAATTCAATGCGTAATCTTTAGCGGAACTTTTACACTTTCTCTGCTTAAACCGGAACACAAAATTCGTCTCGATTTGACACCCTGATAGTAATCAAGTAAATCTTTTAAGCAAACGCTTGGTGAGATACTACTACAAAAACCTAAGCAGACTTTTAAAGTCATTGTAATGCCTGAAATCCAAATTGTTTCTGTGTATTTTATGCTTCTTATGTTCATTCTTAATCTATTTACAAAACCATACAATGCTTTTGCTGTTTGAGTCTTTAAAGCTGTTTCATTCCAAGATATGCCAAGGCATTGCAAGGATTTACAAATTACTATTTAACAATCAATTCTATAAAGTAGATGTCAATATAATACTACATCTGCCAACAGGTTACTACCCACTATATTTCAGAGAAACATCTCATGTTAGTCTTTGTGGAACAGCCAACACTTTACAGCTTGATAGCTAAGCAGAGTAGCCATGGGAAACGTACCTGGCGGCCGATCTGTAACTGTTAGCAGACCGCTGCGACGGGTGCGCATATTGCCACCAGCAGATGCACCGTTGCCGCTTGGCGTTTGTGGTTGGCCACCTGGTGGCACCTGCATCTGGCCCAGCTCGCCGGGATTGTGACTGACGGAGAGATCCTCTGTGCAGCCGACAGTATGTCGCTTCACACAGCCGCGCTTCTGCATGTACCTGTGAGGATTCAAAAAGTTATAACTTTAGTATATCGAAATAGATGGCAAGGGAGAGAGGGAGAGGTGAGCTTGCCTCTCAATTTCCTCGCTGCACTCCTCGCCGCTGTTTTCGGGACAGCAGTTGAGCTGTATCGGTGACTGTTCGCTGAGCGGCGACAGTTCCGGGGGAAGAGGCGCTGCTGCCAGGCCCTGATTGATATAGTAGCCAGTGGTGTCCATTTGTTGTGCCGCAGGTGCCACACCGCTGCTGCCAGCCGATACGCTGGCGGGATAATAAATGTGCAGATTGGCGCCACCATCCGAGGCGCGACGTCCAAACGAACCTGGCCAAACGAACGAAATGCGAAGCTTAATACAATTTCAAGGAGCAGACAAGATCAACTACTTACTGGCACCCATGACAACGGGCGGCTTCAGCAGATGCTGATCCTTGATGGTTAAATTGTGCAGCGGCTGATTCTGCAGCATGGGAAGATTCATGGGATTCGCCTGAGCCGTATCGCTGCACTGCGGCGCACCCTTGAAATCGATGGGCGGCACATTGGGATTGGCCAGCGCCTGCTCGTGCGCCACATCGCCCGGTCCGACTGTGTGGCGACGCGTGTTCGCCCCAGAGACTCCGCCACCTGTGGCGCTCAAGTGCTGCGCATTGACAGAGTGCTGCTGGGGAGGATTAAAAGAGAGAGAGAGCGAGAGATGGTATGAGTAAAATATAGAGAGAACAATCTGCAAATGCATAATGTCCATATATATTGCTTCACTCACTTCATTGGGTCGCGCCAGGCACTCGAGCTCAATGTCGCCGAACTTCTCCAAATCGACACCGACATCGGCACACCAGCCAAATCCGAGCGCCGAACTTGAGGCGTTCGCATTGCTGAGCGGACTGAGACGATCGAGAGATTCCTGCTTGACGGGCTCGGAGCGATCCACGATGCCGGTGGTGATGCTTGTCTTGCGTGATCTCGAGTACGCCAGATTCGCATGGTGTTGCAGTCTTTGGTTTTCGCGTCGCTTCTGCAGCAGCTTGTCCTGCAGCAGATTGTATATGGCATAGATATTATCGAATCGCTGCTCGTGCACCGACTGTGCAATCATGTCCGCCGTCAGGCCGGGCAGCTGCAGCATATGGGTCATGACCACAGCGTCCAACTGGGGTGCTGTGACATCCGTACTATCCGCACCGGACAGCGATGTTGTGGAGCTGGCCAGGGAGGAGCTGGATTGCAGGCCGGTTGCACCAAACGGCAACGACGGCATGCCGTCCAGTCGCACCTCATCCTGCTCCAGTTCCGATTGCCAGTCGCTTAGCCAGCGATGCTTGATGATCTGTTTGATGGTATAACGACGATCCGGCTCCACGACAAGCATATTCCTAATGAGATGCTCACACTCTACAAATTGGTATTCAAATACATTAGCTGAGTTAACTACGAAAGGAAATATGTATAAAACGCACCCTGCGACATGAAGAAGGGTATGCGAAATTTGCCGAGGACCACGCGACTCTTGAGCTCCAATATGGTCTTGCCATCGAAGGGCAATGCGCCACAGACGAGTGCATAGAGCACAACACCCAAACTCCAGATATCCGATTTGGGTCCATCGTATTCGAGACCCTGAAAAACCTCCGGCGCCGCATATGGCGGTGAACCGCACCACGTACGCAATAGGCTGCCCTCCTCGTAGTGATTGCTAAAACCAAAGTCCGCCAGCTGCAACAGATGAATATTAAAAAAGAGATTTCAATAGTTTTCTTTGCAACTCACTTTGATGTTCATGTCCTTGTCGAGCAGGACATTCTCCGCTTTGAGATCACGATGCACCACACCGCGCTGATGGCAATAGTGCACCGCCGAGATGAGCTGTGTGAAGACGCGCGCCGCTTCCGGCTCCTTCATGCGTCCATTGGCGACCAGATGATCAAAGATCTCGCCATTTGGCGCATACTCTGTGACCAGGTAGATCATCGACTGTGATTCCATCACCTCGTAGAGGCGCGTTATGTGCGGATGTCGCAGCGATTTGAGTATGGATATCTCGCGGAACGTCTTGCTCAAGTATTCCTCGTTGAGGCATGTCTTATCAATGATCTTAATGGCCACCTGCAATTAAAAACCGCAATACAGGAAGCAAAAGGTCGCATTAGTCAACGATACGCCAAAAAAAAGAAGATAAACAGTTTCGGATGCGCATTTTTTTTTTGTGGGTTCGGTCTTGAAGGTGAACGAACCAAAGGCGAGGAGAGTGCGACGTTGACAAACAACGAGATCCAAAGAATTCGAGCTGTGTGGGCTGACAGCTGTGCCTCTGTCACTTCTCTCTCTCTCTCTCTCTCCCTCTCTCTCTCTGTCTGTCTCCCTCTTTGTCACTCGATGTGTCCCCCTCAGTAATAAGAGCAAGTAACAATAAGCATATTTATGCACTGAGAACCGAACATTGAAATACTCTTAGCTTTAGAAAACGGGTAAAATGAATATGGGTTCAGCAGAAATCCTAAACTAAACTCAACAACTATTCTTAACACATTTTAAGGGTTTGCAAAAACTACAAAGATTTATGATTAAAATTCAAATAAAACTATCCTTAAGAAAAAAGTAATGTTCTTTTGTTTTCCAAAAATAAAAATTGATTCAAACTAGAGCATATTATAAAAATACATAATTATATATTATTATATATATATTATTAAGTATGCCAAGAGATTGCTCGCATTTCAAAAAATTAAATGCAGATAGTTCAATAAAATGTATATAATTAGATATACAACAACATCGATTACATTCATATAAAAATATATATATTTATATATATACACACATATATAAATTAATATGATATGTGTGTATTTAACTTTTTTAAACGAACGATTTTGCAGTGTGTGAAAGCATTCTTCATACTTTAACTAATATATCATAATGCTCTAATGTTAGGGTATGTACTCAAAAAATAACAAGAAAAAAAGAGAGAATGAAAAAATGAACGGGCATCGCTGGGAAAGCACGACGCGTTTCTGTTTTGCTGTTGCTGGGGGTCAGGTGGTAGGTGGCGCACTGTCTGCAGCCACAGCAGCAGTAACAGCAACAGCAACAGCAACAACAGCAACCAGACCAAGAACAACAACTACAACCGCAGTAAAAACACGACGACGACAACAAACGCCAAAGATGGCGCGAGTGTTAAATTCTGTGTGGTTGTAGTATGTGAAATAATGATGATGATGATGACGAGATGATGATGATGATGGTGACGACGACTTTGAGCGGGGCAGAGTGGAGCAGCGGAAGGGCAATGTAGGACGGTGTGAGGGTAGACTAGACGCAAAAAAAAATAACAACAAAAAAACAGAAAAAACATTCTTTACACACGATGTTCGTCGTTGTTGTCGTTGCCGACTGTCTGTTTATTTGCTTTTGTGTTTTTGCCAAGCATTTCAATAATAATTTAACAAAAACTGAAATAATTAACAATCAGCGTTAGCGGCATGAGCGCGAGCGAGAGGCGAATACAGAATGAGAGATAGATCACTTGCTCTTGCTTACACAATGACAGCAACAACAGCAACAGCAACAGCAATAGCAACAACAAAAGCAATAATAATAATAATAATCATTATAATCAATAGAGCTTCATCATGATGATCCCCATACCGGTTTTTGATTTGTTGTTGCTGCCTCAACATTTAAATAAAATTCGTTTTGTCGCTCTTCTGACTATTGCCTTAAGCAGTGATCCAGCACTTTTGCTTTAATCGTATCGAATGCAGCCAATAACTGAAATAATAATATGTTAAACAGGACGAACATCAGAGCAGAATTAATCTGTCGCATGTGACGTATACGTAATATTGTATACGCATTTTCATCTGTAATTTGCCGTTGTTTTAACATTTTACATAATTGCCTCACAGTTGAGCAATCAATTTTTGGAAGTGTCAATGCCACGTGATCAGCATCACTTTGTTAGATTTATAATAAATAATATGCATATATAAACATATATATATATATATTATTGAACAAATCAAATTATATTATATTACAATAATACTTAATTGTTTGGTGACCTCTTTTTATAAATGAAATATGCTTTTCATTGGCAACGGGTCAAGGTTTTCTTCATATATATTATTATATCGCATCGGGACTTGTCTTCAAGGCTATGCAAATATTACACGATAATTAGCATTATATATTATTATTATATGGAAAATAAAACGCGTTTGCTTTAATGTATTCAATTTAAGAAATTACTATTTTATATAACACACAAGAATGTCACGTTCTGTGTGTTAAAAAAAGGTTAAAGGTATTTAGGTTAATACAATAAGTTATTACGCCCAGCTTTAAAACTGGGCTAGAAAGGTATCACAACAAATGATGTACGGCAATTGGACAAAACAAAAAACAACAACAAAAAAGAAAGCATGCTCTACTGACGAGAAATCGACTCGGAAATACCCTTAAATCGAGTTTTTAATTAAACATTAGCATTGACAGATAGATGGTGAGGCAGAGACGAACATAGTTAAATTCACTGGTTTGTTAATCCTATTCAAGAATATTTATGTAATTTATGTGGCGAGTCTCTGCCTGGTTACATACTTGTGCACAACAATTGGTATACCCTTTTTACAAGTTTTCAATGGGTTTTAGGGTACAAGAACAAAATATAAAGAAGAGTTTTGTGGCGGAAAATGCCATTGCCACGTGCCATTTTGACCTTTTGCCCCGCGAATGCGATGAACCTTAAGAACAAACGCTCGTAAATGAGACATTCAAAGTAAGCAACGAAGCAACCACAACAACAACAACAACAACGACAACGACAACATCAGCAGGAATGTCACATTTGGAAATCCTTCGCTTGGCATAGCACAGAAAAAGCCAAGGCAAATGGCAGAGAGGCTCGTATTGATTTAAAGGGAAGGACTGACTGACTACAAGGCCTGATTGCCCCAAGAATGCTAAATGCTACAATTTGAGAATGCACAGTTGCGGTCAAAATAATAGTAGTACTGCTACAAAAAATTAAAATCCATAATATTTGCATAGCCTCCCTTCGATTCCATGGAGACATTTCTTTTCAATTTGACTTATTCCTCAGGAATGCTTCACAACTATTCCACAACAATTATTTTATTTTATTATTTCTGAACATATTATTTTGACCACAGATGTTTGTATGTAAATTTGACTATTCCTTTGATAGCTGCAAAGCTGACTCACGCTTCAGTGTTTATGATTTGATTAAATTCGAGTCGAAAGTGTTCAATCAATTAAAATCCAACAAAATAAATCAAATTAATAAAGACAGACTTTATTCCGTTTGTGCAGAGAGAGAGAGAGAGAGAGAGAGATGGGGATATTTTGTATGAAGCAATCATTGCTTAAATGCTGGGGATGTTTTTTTATAAAGCAACCTTGGCTTAAATGCTGCCCTTCCATACGAATCCATTGTCCTGCTCCAATTTCTCGTACTCTTGCCGCAACGTGTCCAGCTCCTTGGCATTTTGAACACTCAGCCGCTCCAGTTGAGCGTTGAGTGCGATGATGCGTTCCCGCACCGCATTCACCGTGTACAGACTGAGGCGTTCCGGCCGAAAGACATCCTGTTTGAGGGTGTTCATGTAGTGCCACATGTCCTGCAATTGGCCACGTTTCTCCACGTGATGCTTGCTCAGTTTCTCGTCCAATTCCAGCTTGAGGCGATCAATGTCATTGATGAGGCGGCCGGCGACTTTGTTGCCGCTCGAAGGCCGTCGACTGGCCGTGCCCCCCATATCCTCGCCGCCCCCCACACCACCCACACCATCAAGGTCGTTGTCGTTCTCGTTGTCGTCGAGAAAATTGCTGGCATTCAGCTTGACTTGATTGCATTCGAGATACTTTTGTTGCGCCTTCAGTCGCATCAGTTCGCACAGAATGCTCATGGGTGTGGCCGAGGACTTTTTCTTGTGGGGGGGCATGCACCTAGAACGGGGGCACGTCTCAATGCCGCACGATTCGATGGTTTTCGGTTCCTTGGCTGGCTTCTCAGACATGTGACTTGGTTCGAGGCACTAAACGTTGCAACGAGTCCTTGCAATAACGTGCCCCTTGTTGCCAGTTGTTAGTTGATTTTCTTGTTGCTGTTTACACGCGGTAATCAAAACGTGTGTTGCCAGCCCAACCTCCCCCCTCTGCAACACACCCTGTTTAATCAATAGTCGCCACCTGCTAACTGTTTTGGGGCTGCTGCAATTGATGCTCTCTCTCTCTCTCTCTCTCTCTCCCACTCCGTCTAACTTTCACGCTCTTTCTCTCTCTTTGGGTCACTGTTGTTCACACCCTTTTAACCCTTATGCGTAATTATGCCAAGGGTCGGTAAACTTTATTTGGGTTCACAGGTGGAGGCATTTTAAATTTTCCAATTGTTTTCCCTTTATTTTTTTTAGCAGCAGTGGAAAATCGATTGCAAGAATTTACATTAATGGCCTACTTATGGGCACGTTTCTGTATAAATTGATAGGTTGGCCTGGCAGGCCTTTGACTTTAATCAACTGTCCGCGGGTTGATAAATCATTTATAGAAAGTGCTGCGACACTTGCTGTTTTTGCTTTGACGATGATGCAGAAGTGTGAAAAAAAAAAACAGAAAAGATAAACTCAGAAATGTGAATAATTCACTTGATTCCAAAAGAGAAATAAGCAAGAGAGAGAGAGAAAGAGAGGGATATCAGTGCACGTGATTGATTCGCAAATTGTTGCGTTGTTTACGTAGTTATTTGTTGTTGTTGTTGTTGATATTATTATTGTTGTGGTGGTTGTTCTTGTTCTCGTTCTTAATTTACGATAGCGCGGAGCTTGTTATCATATGTGCGCGAATGTTTATCGAGTCTGTGTGTGTGCAGTTGTGCGTGTGCGTAAACGTCTGTGTGTGTGTGTGTGTGTGTGTGTGTATGTGTATGTGTATATGTGTGTGCAGACGACAGACAAACTCAAGCGCGAATAAACAATAAATTAGAAAGATAAACACACATAGACTGAACCGCGCATATACCCTGTAAAGCTATTGTGGACATTATGAACAACTGTAAAAAACACTAGCTAAGCAGTGCACTGCTTGCAAATTCAAAATAGATCAGTAGGATATCAATTTCAAGCAGTTCTAGAAAAGGAAAACTATTTTAAATTAAACAATTATCAAGCAGTGCAAACTAAGAGATCAAAGAAGCTTGCCGACATATCAATAGGATTACATTTCAAAGCAGTTCTGCAAAAAATAAGGAAAACTGCTTAAAAATTAAAAGAGATTAAAAAAGTCTGTGGAAATATGAAGAGGATTACGTTCCTAAGCAGTTCTAAAATAGTAATAATAAAAAAAAAGGCAACTGTCACGATTTCACTATCGCAGCCATGCAGACAATAAGCCCGGGCGACAGAGACAACCAAAGCAAAGACCAACAAAAAAATAAATAAAGGTAAAAAATGCCAGACAGCTAAAAGACGCAAAAAAATAGAAATGGAAGAAAAAAAATAACAGCCGCGAAATAGTTAATGAAAAAGTAAATACCAATTTTAAACGATTTGGTCAGCCATGCGACTGAGTCGTAAAGCAACGTAGAAGATATAACTTATATATATATATATATATATTTTTTTTTTTTTTTGTGTATATGTATTGCTACTCTGATCTGTGAGTGGTCAGCAACAAGTTTTTTTTTGGTTTTTGGTTTTTGGCGTTTTGCTGTCTCTATCTGTAAGACTGAGATCGCATCGTGGCCAGACAGCGTGAGCTCAAGTTAAATATTTGGCCGTAGCAAATGATCAATCAAAGTTGCCTCAGTGCGCAACGGGAGCGCGTTGATTATTGGTGAATAGCCAAAAAAAAAGAGAAAAAGAAAAAAAACACTTGAAAATTTCCGTCCAGAAATCCCGCTGCTAATGCATGCTTTGAGTGGGTATTGTAGAATGCTTAATTGCATCAATTGGAGCGTTAATGCTTAATGGCAGTTATCAAAACAGTTGCCGAGAAGTAGATAGTCGATCCCGCCACGCGTCATAAGCCCAATTAAGTCTTCGATGGCCAATTGACAGACGATCCAATTTAGATACCATAAAATTTTCGAAAAAAAAAAAACTCGAACTGTCTAATTAAATCAAACAAAAGTAGCTGCATCAAAGGGCTTGATAAGAATTAGCATGTGGTTTGCACTAAAAAGCCGTTATTATTATATATTGTTATCTAAAGAGCGCAATTATTAAGCCAATAAACATTTGTCACAATTAAAGATTGAATTCAAAGTAAAAAAGTGATTCAATAGGAAAAGGATGATTAGCAGAAGCATTTTTGGGAATTAATCATTAAATTAAAAATTTATTTAATAAGGTATTCGGATTAATGCATATAGTTGAAGATAAAGGAGGATGAGTAGAAGCTTTTACTATGAAATTAATCGTTAATTTAAAAGTAATTGGATATATAGGAGGATTAATAAAATCATTATGAAAGCACTATGAAATTAATCAGTCTACGAAACAATGTATTATTAAAATGCTTTAATTAATAAAGTTCTGTAAAGTTTTAACTTAGTAATGGAAAAAGTTAGCTACATTATTTTTAATTTTAATTCATGTACAGATACTAACCCAAAATAATTCAACTAGATATATTATCGAAATGGGTTTGCTTATTAAATTCAGGTTTATTAGTTAGATACACGATTTGTAATAGGAATTCATTGACAGATTCTAATCCAAAAATGCAATTGGAGACGCCTTCAAAAGTAGTACCAAAGGTAAACGCTAGTTTTTAAGTCAAGGAAATCAGTAAATTGTTTCTGGCCTATTTAGAAGGAACAAATATTGCTACTTTTGTGTTGTTTGTTGTGCGTTTGTTTTTGTAAAGTGCCTTAGGTCCAAACAACAATCTCATACATTCTTATCGATATTGTTGGACACGATGTTGTTTAATGTACATATGCACATTGTACATGACTATTGATAATAGTAATAATTATTGTCGAAATGCGCTTAGCAGATAAGCTAAGGCTATGTGTGGGCAATAATAATACTAATAATAATAATTATAATAACAATAATCCAGTCAACACAAATCATGTTGTATTTGTACATTGCATTTCACACACAAGCCCCAAAACACTCACACACACATACACCCAACACACACTTGCACTCGGAGTGTTAAGTAAGATAAGTGAGTGCGACGAGTGGACCTTGAAATTGACAAACAGCTGTGTCGCTCGGTCGGTCTCTTATCAACAAAAAAAAAAAAGAGCAAAATGAAAGAACCAACTGTAAACAGCAAACAAAGCAAAGAATAGGCAACGAAAACAAATGAACCAACAATCAACATCAAATAAAATACAGTAAAAATTAATCAAATATGCGCGCGTCATATGTATGTAAATTTGTGTTTTTTATTTTCACAGACCTCTCCGCCATTTTGAATTGAAGGCACGTGCTCACGTACTCAACACTAGTGCAAGATGAATCTCACCACAGTTATGTACGCGTGTGAGTGTGTGTCTATGTACGTGTGGAGACTCTGTTTTCCACATTGTTGACAGTTGGCTTGTTCTTTGTTGTTGTTGTTGTAGTTGCTGTTTGCACAGTCGTTGTCAATTATGCATATAACGAGCAGGTCTCTGTTTGGCCTACAAATTTGCACTTAACTATTGTAGTTTGCCCGATTATTGTTGTGATAAACTATTTAAAACGCATTGTTGTTGTTCCAGTTTATGTTTTTTTGTTCATCTGCACGCTTATGTTTTGTGCCACTGACAGCCCGCAATTATCAACTACAACTGCAATTGGGCGACAACTGTGATGTTATATATGTATGATGTTATATATATTTATATATATATATATATATATAGATGTTTCCCTTTTGAAGGTGACTCATTATCACTTCTCGCCGGCAGCAACAGCTGTAAAATGCATACGGAATTTATACCACTGAGAATACTGGGAAGGAAACTGTCACTCAGCTGATAGAGTACATTATGACAAATGCACTCGGCTAAGTGCTACTCTGTAAATTATTAAATTATGCGACCTGTTAGTTCAATTGTGCCCCTTTTAATTAATTAATGCTATATGCATTTTTTATTACTTATAATGACTCTAAAATGTAGATTTTTGTCTTATTAAAAACCACATTGAATTCTGTTTGCTTTTTTTCTGCTTTAATAATTCCATATATTAAGATGATGGACTTTTAAATCACATACAAGGTATAATATTAAGTATAACAATCGCTTAGCTAACCGCAACCAGTATAAAAAAAAATATATATATATATACTCGAAGTGATTACGCAACACACTAATTAAATGCAGCATCCCAGGCACTTAATTTAAGATATGCAGTGCTGACAAGTTGTGCGGAAACTGTCGAAAATATTTGTGAAAATGCAAATTACATTTAACAACAACAATAACAGAGACTGAGACTGAGATTGCGATGATCTTAAACAGAACGAAACAAAACTTAATTACTTCCTCATACAGAGACAGAAAGAAATACAGAGAAAGCGAAAAACCGAGAAAGAGAGAGGGATGTATTAGCAGTTATGTTAGCAAGAGATAAAGAGACAGAGATAGATATAGAGATAGACAGAGAGGTGTGTTTCAATTAGCATCATCTGATCTGATCTATGCGTCGAACTCCATGCGGCACAATTGAAAGCAAACATGGGGCAAAGCACACTTCGAATACTAATGCCAACATTTGCCATTTACTGATATATATATATATATATATATATATATATATATATATACATGTATGTATGCCTGGCAAATATGTGTTGTCAATAAGTTGTGTAAACATTAAAGTATACTACGCGCATATTTACGCGGCAATAAACAAAACAACAAAAGAATCATAATCACTAAAATCAATTTGATTAAACCAAACCCGCAGCCTAACGGCAAAATAAAGAAAACGAACAAGAATGCTCAAGTCGAGAGGGCTCTACTAGCGAATACCCTAAATTATTTTGCACATTTTAATAAACGATTTTCTAAATGATCTTGAGGCAATCTTTGCATATTATCAATATTATGAATAGGACACATACAGTGTCTCACAGCTTATTTCGGCAGTGTCTAGCAAAAATTTTAATTGCCTGCCATAAACTAATAATACAATATTTTTCAAAAATTCCAAAGACCTATGGCAGGTACATATATTAACCACCATAATGACTATATGACCCCCATAAACTGGGGTTTTCCCGCCGGCTGGGCCGGGTTATGTAAAAAAGTACCTTAATTTATGGTCACGGCTTATTTTCAACAGTGACATTATGGACACCTGGGTGCCATAAAACCCGGATTTTTTACGTCATGTTGATTATTTTCGGTATAAATAGACCAATCCTTCGTAGTCAGTTTAGTTATATCCTGCACATCGGGTGCCACCAGCCAACAAGGACTATGGACAAACGGACTACCATTGAGCAACGAAATCTCATCCTGGAACACTTCCAGATTAGATATTCATATGGCCAAATAGCTAAAATGGTAAATCTAAGCACCACAACTGTATTCAACATCATTCGGCGCTTCGTCGACGAAAATCGGATACAGGACAAGGGCAGAAATGCACCAAACAAGATTTTCACCGAACAGGAGGAGCGGAGGATCATCAGAAAAATAAGGGAAAATGCCAAGCTATCGGCTCCAAAACTGACTCAACAGGTGCAGGATGAAATGGGGAAAAAGTGCAGTGTGGAAACTGTGCGCCGGGTTCTGCGCAAACATGACTTTAATGCCCGAGTACCACGGAAGAAGCCCTTTATAAGCGCAAAAAATAAAGGGACTAGGATGACGTTCGCCAAAACCCACTTGGACAAGGATTTGGAGTTCTGGAACACAGTCATATTTGCAGATGAGCCCAAATTCAACATTTTTGGCTCAGACGGACAAAATTATGTGTGGCGACAGTCCAATACTGAGCTGAGTCCCAAAATTCTAAAGGCAACAGTCAAGCACGACGGAGGAAGTGTCATGGTATGGGCATCTATCTCGGAAGCCGGCGACGGAAATTTTGTGTTCATTGAAACAACAATGGACAAGAATGTGTATTTCACTATATTAAAGGAAAATTTACTCCAAAGTGCCGAGAAGCTAGAAATCCGGCGTACTTTCCAGATCTACCACGACAACGACCAGGACAACAGCCAAGCATAAGTCCGGATTAGTGCAGTCCTGGCATATCTGGAACTGCCCCCACAAGATAATTCCACAGGCCCAGTCTCCAGACTTAAATGTTATTTAAAATTTGTGGGCTCTGCTGGAAAATACCATCCGGAATCACAGATCCGATCTCAAGAATGCTCTGCTGGATGAGTGGAGCAAAATCAGTCCAGAAACGACCCGGAAGCTGGTATCTTCCATGAATAATAGGTTAGGGGAAGTTATTAAGGCTAAATGATATCATACTAAGTGTTAACATCCTTATTTAAGTTTTTATACGCCTAATATGTTACTTTTCTAAGACTGCTGAAATAAGATTTGACCTGTATTTTGGATAAGATTTCAGTTTTTGACTAATTTTAGTTAATTAATTAATATTTTAATGAAAACTGAAGTTTCCTTTTCAAATGTGATATAACATAAAACAAATTGACATTTATACATTTTGCGTTTGTTTCTTTGTTTAAACTTTATAGCACTTTAAAATTTTTGCTAGACACTGCCGAAATAAGCTGTGAGACACTGTATATCAATAAAAAGATATACAGTGTCTCGCAGTTCAACTGGAACAGCGCCTAGCAAAATATTTAAAGTGCTATAACTTTTAAACAAAACAACAAACGCAAAATGTATAAATGTCAATTTGTTTTATGTTATATCACATTTGAAAAGGAAACTTCAGTTTTCATTAAAATATTAATTAATTAACTAAAATTAGTCAAAAACTGAAATCTTATCCAAAATACATGTCAAAGTTTTTTTGGAACAGTCTTAGAAAAGTAACATATTAGGCGTATAAAAACTTAAATAAGGATGTTAATACTTAGTATGATATCCTTTACCCCTAATAAAGTCCCTTAACCTATTATTCATGGAAGATACCAGCTTCCGGGTCGTTTCTGGACTGATTTTGCTCCACTCATCCAGCAGAGCATTTTTGAGATCGGATCTGTGATTCCGGATGTTATTTTCGAGCAGAGCCCACAAATTTTAAATAACATTTAAATCTGGAGACTGGGCCTGTGGAATTATCATGTGGAGGCAATTCCAGATAAGCCAGGACTGTACTAATCCGGACTTATGATTGGCTGTTGTCCTGGTCGTTGTCGTGGTAGCTTCTCGGCACTTTGGAGTAAATTTTCCTTTAATATATTGAGATACACACTCTTGTCCATTGTTGTTTCAATAAACACCAAATTTCCGACGCCGGCTTCCGAGATAGATGCCCATACTATGACACTTCCTCCGTCGTGCTTGACTGTTGCCTTTAGGATTTTGGGACTCAGCTCAGTATTGGGCTGTCGCCACACATAATTCCGTCCGTCCGAGCCAAAAATGTTGAATTTGGACTCATCTGCAAATATGACTGTGTCCCAGAACTCCAAATCCTTGTCCAAGTGGGTTTTGGCGAACGTCATCCTAGTCCCTTTATTTTTTGCGCTTATAAAGGGCTTCTTCCGTGGTACTCGGGCATTAAAGTCATGTTTGCGCAGAACCCGGCGCACAGTTTCCACACTGCACTTTTTCCCCATTTCATCCTGCACCTGTTGAGTCAGTTTTGGAGCCGATAGCTTGGGATTTTCCCTTATTTTCCTGATGATCCTCCGCTCCTCCTGTTCGGTGAAAATCTTGTGTGGTGCCTTTCTGCCCTTGTCCTCTATCCGATTTTCGTCGACGAAGCGCCGAATGATATTGAATACAGTTGTGGTACTCAGATTTACCATTTTAGCTATTTGGCGATATGAATATCCAATCCTGAAGTGTTCCAGGATCAGTTTCCGTTGTTCAATGGTAGTCCGCTTGCACATAGTCCTTGTTGGCTGGTTGCACTCGAGATGCAGGATATAACTAATCTGACTACGAAGGATTGGTCTATTTATACCAAAAATAATCAACCTGACGTAAAAAATCAGGGTTTTATGGCACCCAGGTGTCCATAACGCCATTGTTCCACATAATATGTGACCACAAATTAAGGTACTTTTTTACATAACCCGACCTAGCCAGTGGGAAAACCCCAGTTTATGGGGGTCATATAGTCATTTAGGTAGTCAATATATGTACCTGCCATAGTTCTTTGGAATTTTTGAAAAATATTGAATAATTTGTTTATGGCAGGCAATTAACTTTTTTGCTAGGCGCTGTTCCAGTTGAACTGCGAGACACTGTATGTATCTTCAAATGGTTTGTTTCCTTAGTGATGTCGATAATCGATTTCCACCTGTGTTCGGGAATCATTTAAGTGATCGATTTATTGAAATTTACCTAATATGCGTATGGTTCACAAAATATTTTAAATATTATTTCTAAAAAGTCATATTTTAAGAATAAATACTTTCCAAAAGTCGGAAACTAGTAATGAAATTTAATGAAATCGTAAATAAAGTATGTAAAATGTTTGATTTATATTTAAAGAATTGATTATATTTTAACAAGAAAGCTAACTCGACAGATAACAGCACCGTTGAAAAGTTAATATATTTGTCATACCTTTTAGAAAAATCGATCCTGAAGTCTACAAATGCAAACCCTAGTTTTAGAATGTCACAACCATAAATTTTAGAAATTTACTTTCTGCATAATAGAGTGACAAGCCATTGACCCCAAAAGTATGGCGATTTACTCAAATTTGGGGAAATTTTCTTATGAGTTAACATCATAACCTTTTTACCCATTCGCAATGATTTTAGGGTATAAGAATCGACAGAAAAAAATATACAGGCATATAAATTTCGATGGGCAATTTGATGCGTTAACAAGATGAAAATATAAATACAATGCTGAATTGTTGAATGCATGTGTGTAGAACACACACTTATAAAGGGATTGGTCTGCTAAGAGATACCCTCTTTTTTATGTTTATACTCAATAATATTTGTTGTCATCTAATAATTTCAATTGCTTCTACTTGCTAAACTGTTTGTTTGTTGTTTGATTAGATAATAAATAAAAGAACCCACGCGATTCACGCCCCTGCAACATGTTGCACAACTCACCTTTGTTCTGGTCACAACGTTCGTGGCCAGCTTGACGACGGCAAAGTTGCCCTTGCCAATTGTCTTCTCCAGCTCGTAGTAACCGACGCGGAGCAGTTTGTCAACGGATATTTTGCTCGTCGATGGCACTTTGTAGTTTTGTGGCGTTGATGTTGATGTTGATGTGGAGGCGGCCATTGCACAGGATTCACTTGCTCTCTTTTTTTGGCTGTAGTTGTTGTTGTTGCTGTTGGCTCCAATAATTGGTGCCGCCTCCGATTCGTTGTTCTCGTTGTTGTTGTTGTTATTGTTGTCAACGCAGGAAGTTCACTTAAGTTGCATTTTCTTTTGTTTGCCGAGAGCTTAAGTTCATTTGCTATTCATGCCCGCTGCTGCTGTTGCTGGCGGCGCACACACACACATACACATATATACACACACAAGCGCAGATAGAGTGTGGCACAGAGTGAGAGACACGCAGAGAGACGAGACGAGACGGTTGACAACAGACAACAGCAGCGCCGCCAGCAAATGTTTAGTTCGATTCCAGCTTTAATTGAATTGTTGCAATTATAAGCGCGTTGCGACAGAGGCTGAGACTGAGGCAGAGGCTGAGGCTGACTCTGAGCATGTGGCACGGGTTGAGTTCAACAACAGCTGCCTCTTCGTCGTTGTCGTCGTCGTCGCTATGGCTGCTCCTGCTCCTGCTGCTCGCATTGGCAACTGGGCCATTTGCGAACACGTGACTCGAACGAACTCCTTTAGTGGATTAGGTCACGCCTTTTGGTGCTCTTGGTGTTGCCACACTTGCCCCACTTGACACTTGGTGTTCTGCTTTCTTTTGTTGTTCTTATTGCTGTTGTTGTTCGCGGGTTTCTCTTTTCACATTTTAAACGTTTGCTGTGATTGCATTCGGAAAAAAATCAATTAAAAGTAATTCACATTTGAAAATCGACATTCGTTTTTTTTTTTGTTATTTGTTTGATTTGTTATCACTGTTGCGACTGCCAGCTTAAGATAGAAGGCGTTTGAAGTTTATTTACTATAGATTAATATCTGTCGACACAGAAAATATACATAAAGTAGAAAATAAATTATAAATGTTGCCCTTAAATAACCCCAGAAATATTGTTAATATTACGTATATTTTAAATTTAAATTTAAATATAACATTTTATTTTTAACTCTATACCATTTATTTTAAATTAAATTGAAATATTGAATTTTTTTAAAGAGGTACAAATAAAATGTAATTTTTAAATTTATATTTGAAAATATAAGCAATATTTACAAGATTACTGGGTTTGCCCAACAGATTTGCAACAGGTTTGCAAACAGATAAATCTTATGAATATTTTTTATTTTGAGATAAAATTTAATTTAATAATTTTTTTACTTTTTGAATTTGTTTATAAATAAAATATAAAAAAATACAAAATTATCTTTATTGTATTGAGCATAGAATTTTCGTAAGCATTCAATTAATTTTGCTGCTTTTCCCCATAACAAACAAGAGCAGAAAAAATCCACACGACAATCTGTCCAACTGACGCGGAGACAACTTTATGGCTGGCACTGTGTGTATGAAAACAGAACCTGTGTTAAATTCACTCTCACAGCTCACTCTCCTTCTCTCTCTTCCTCTCTCTTTCTCTCGCGCGCTCTTGTAAGATGATCGCCTGGGCAAGCTGCTGCCTCCTGGCTGCCGTTGCCATCAGCTACATAAGCTATATAAGCTACGTGCAATGCGACCACAACAAAACTTAATGGGTTAATGTACAGCATCAAGGTCGTGTGGCCAGACATATACACAAGCATACACACACACACACAGAGGCATAGGCAGACACACATATCCAGACGCTCATGGAGTAAATGTGTGTGTGTAAATGAGATGGAGCGAGGGCCAAGTCAAGTGGCGATGTTTGTTGGAGCACCGTTCAATTCAACAAACTCTTATTGAAATCAATTTAAAGCAGCGAACAGCGCGAAATGCTAGTAGAAAGAGGAAGCAGCAAACATAACAAGTACTTGAATACGTACACACACACACTCACACAGAATTCTAATGTCAATTGAAGCAGGCAGTAAAGAGTTGAAGAAAAAAAGCAAATGCAAAGCTTTAAAGTGTAGAAGAGATATACATATATATATATATATTTATATATATGTACTTCCAATTCCAGTATTATGAACAAATGCTAAGCTTAACATTTTTTCGAGTGTTTATATTATGTACATTTATATTAATATTAATTTTAATTTACAGCAACGCAAACCTAAACTAAAACGCACTTTAAAAAAATAGCCTTCTCGAATAATAGAAAAGTCTCAAGGCCATTGGGCGCAGCACAGAAAAATTCTCATTGCTCTGCACATTTTGTTTTCTTCATTCTCCACTTTATTCGTACAGCCTTCTGTTATTACTCACATTTCAACGAACTGTAAATGCCCTTTTTGTGCGATGACGTTACAGAGTATAACAGCATAACGAACATGTACGCACATACATACGCACATACATACGCACACACACACAACACGTACAAATTACGTATAAATTGTAAACAATTTGTGGGTGCGAAAGAGCAACAGCAGCTGTTGTTGTTGCGGCCAACAACAAACAATGCAGAAGCGATTTTTAAGTGCTTTTCCTTAGCCATTTAATTTGCACATTTTCACATTTAAAAAAAAAACGAACGAAATTATTAAATACCAATTGAATATACTTTTGCATTTTTTGTTAATTTTTTTTGTTTTGTTTTTGTTTTCTTTTGTTTATTTATTTATCAAACAAAAGACACAAAACAGTTGCAGAAAGCAAAAGAGGAGGAATTTGATGTGAAGGCGAAGGCGAAGCGCTCACTCAATTCAAAGTCAATGTACAAAAATCAACAGACTGCGACTGCCCAGCAGCTAATGGATGCGGCTGCGGCAATGGTGACGACCTGTGCTTGTGCCTGGAAGGAAGCATCATCGAATCAAAGCTGAATGAACTTCCCAAATTGGAAGCGATTTTTGAAGCTGGGCGCAAATGCTTGACATATTCCAACGCACGCACGCACGCAAGCTGAGCGAAAGACGGAGAGATGTGGAGATAGAGACAGAGAAGGAGAGGCGAATGAAGCCAGTTGTAAAGACGTCACACGGCAGCAGCGAAACTAATACGAGCAATGTGCGCTGCTCACTTCAGAATGAGCAAGTGGGTGGCTAGACGGCCGCAACGGGACTAATAATAATGTTGTATTAATTTATTCATGTTAAATACACAAATAAAATGTTTAAAAATATATCAATTACATTGGCGGAGATCAGTTAACATAGCGGCCACTTAAAGACTGCCCGATGTTAAACTGATGTCAAGCACTGTAAGTACACACACAACATATGTAAACACACATACACATACATATACATATATGTATGTGTGTCATATCTGTTGGCTTCTGCTGATAACTAAGGCAAGCAATAGTTGTCCCATTGTTTTTGTTGCTGCTGCTGTCTGCTTCTTGAACCAACAAAAACGACAGCAAAATCAGAAAAGGCAAAAAGCGAAATGATTAAAAAACCCAACAGCATAACAAAAGAAAAACAAAAAAACGAGCAACAATAAAAGTCGCGCGGGCACAAAAAAAAACAGAGAAATAAAACAGCATACATACAAGTAAAGTAAATGAGCAGAAAAAACAAAAGCTAGGAGAACGAACGCAACTTCGACTGCGACGTCGACTTACACAGCAGCCAAGCCAGACAAACAACAACAGTAACAGCAACAACATCAGCAGCACTAACAGCCCAGAAGCGCCAAGCAGAAGGCAAATACAAAAATGAAAGAGCAAAAGCAAAAGCAACAGCAGTGCATATGCATGTGTGTGTAGTCGGCGGGGGCGCAGCAACAGTTAAGGGGCAGACAGGTTGCTGTGTGCGTGTGTGTGTGAGTGAGAGCTTGTATGTAATATAAATATATATAGTATATATATGTATACGTGCGTGTGTTTGTGTAGGTTGAAGGAGTCAAGGAAATTTGCACAACAACAGCAGAAATTACAATTTCAAGCAGCCTGATGACAGTTACAAACACACACATACACAACAAAGCAAAAACGAAACTTGTCGAGGTCGAATAACATATACATATACACACACACACACATGCAAATGCAAAGACAGAGAGAGAGAGAGAGAGCGAGCAAGCACACCAATTGATAACGGTGCAAAGTAGTGGCAGAAGAAGCAGAAGAGAAAAAAGTCAAGCGCAAGGTGTCCAATTAGACCACTCAACAGCAATTAGCTTTTTCTTATTTGCGTATTACTGGAGTTGCTATGACGTTCGCAGTGACACACACACACACATACACACACGCTCGCAGCCACGCTCACGCGTACCAACACACCAACACACATGTATACATATATATATAGGTATGCAATCAGAAAAACGTCACGACTTCCAAGTGGAAAAGCGTACGTTGTTTTTGCCGTCATTTTGGCTGCAAAATAAAAGAAAAAAATACGTTGCCCGCAACAGCAGCATAATTGCCATTCATGAATGTTTTTGCTTCCGCATGTCACCACACACTCACACACACACCCATGCACACACACGCAGTTGCAGAAATCATGTGAGCAATTACATACAACTACATACATACAATACGTATGTGCATGTGTATGTGTGTATGTAATTTAACTTCGTTGCCGCTGTAAATGCAGCTCTCCTGCTCTAGCTCACAGCCAAATCAAAAGCAAAAGCAGCCGCAGCAACAATAACAAATGCTATTCAAATAAGAAAACACTTTGTTTAATCTTTGTCTGATTTCATTGGGTGTTTTTGCTATATGCTTACAAATTACGTTGGCTTTCTTTTATATATATATATTATTATTTTATATATTATTTCTTTTCACGTTGAATTTCTGTTATATATATGAATTTATATATATATATTTATATATATGTATTAATTCTTGCTCTTATCACTTGGTGCGCGTTGCTGTTGTTGGTTGTTTTTTTGCTGCCTCGTCGCATGCAATGAAGTTGAACGCGTGGGCGATTTATATTATCAAGAGTGCCTTTTCCCTGCTGCTATTGGAATTTTTTTCATGTTGTTTAAGTGGCGATTCTTAGACGACGACAATATAGCGTTCCGCGGCCCACCTGCTCACGAAGCAAAAACTCGGCACCAACTGATTTTGCCATTGCGCTCTTTCTTTTTCTCTCTTGTTTTCGCACACTGGCCACAGAGAGAGATGGAGAGAGCAAGACTCGGCATAGCAGTGTTGAGTTTACATTTTGATCGATGACGCTTAAATGTTAATGGGAGGAGTTTTTCTGTTAACCAGTGGAGCCGTCTGTTACGCATTTCATCCACCAAGTTGGCAGCCCAGCTTAAGCCATGGCGCGTTATTTGAACTTAAATTTACCATAGACCCACAAGCAATAAACCACCTAAAAATATATAGTTAAATTAATTAAAGTCACTCGAAATTTCAATAGGAAGTTCTTGCATATATACTGTTTAATTTTTGATGCTACAACATGCGGGCCACTTGTCTTGATAGCGGCGACGGATACGCTTTGCGGCATTTTCTAGCCATTTTTTTGTCATCTATTTGCGTTTCTTGGATCTCTTTTTCGCTCAGCAGCGTTTTCGGCACTTCTCGCGCCTCGTACCAATAGGGATTCACTCGCTTTACCCAGTAACCGTTGCCCAGTTGCAGGTGGCTCAACAATCTTGCGACACACCCAACACTCACCATTTTTTGTTTAAATATAATTTTGGTCAGTGTGTAAAAAATCTTTTACGGAATTTCGTGTTTTTATCGTTTTTATGTAATTCTGTCTATCTAGTAACCAAACAAGTAATAAAAAAGAAATTTGCTCGGTGCTCTATGAGAAAAAAAGTCAAATGAGATGAACATTCATAGTTGCTTCTCGAATGAAGCAGTTTGAATTGCGCGCCTACTTTATGCTAAAAAAAAGCAGTACAAAAATCAACTTGAAAACTGCAAATAACATTTGCTTCCAGTGCAACTCTCAACATTGTGTGAGTGGGAGAGCGTGAAGGAGAGAGTGAGAGTGAGTGCCGAACGCACTTCCATTCGAAGTTGGAAGTTCCGCTGGAAGTGAAACAGCAATGAATGAATTTGCTTCCACAGAACCGGCAAATGACGCAAAAACTAACAAAAACAAAAAACACGAAAAAAGCATGCGTGACGTCAGCTGTGAAAGCTCTGCGTCGCATTGAATGGATGCTGAAAAGCTTTCAACTGGATGCTGGATGTGCGGCGACCTTTGCTTAGCGCGTCAACGCAAAAGCAAAGCAAAAACAAAAACAAAAAAAAACAAGAGCAAAAAAATGTCTCCACAGCTTGTGTATTTGAAATTTTTAATGTCTACAAAAGCGTATAAATTTCAAGTGAAGTCTGCAACGAGAAAAGAAACCCACTCAAATTAGTTGAAAATGGTGCGACGCCGAGCTGCTGTTCTGGGTGGTTTGACCAATCAGCAATCGATGACCGCCTGCCAGCAGCTGATGCCGCCTTCCCGTCTCCAGTTGCCGTTGCTACCCATGTACAACAAAATGGCGGGCAGCGCTGCTCCACGCTCGCCGCTGGAAGTCAACAGCGCCCGATTGCAGCGACTGCAGCGCAATTTAATGAAATTCCCAACGCAGCCAAATGCCGTTATGCTGCCCATGTGGTGTCGTTCCAGTGGGCAGCAGCAGCAGCAGCAGCAGCAGCGATCGGCAATTCGAGCTTTTGAGAATCGTCAGAGGAAAGCAAGAAGCGATATTGCCATACAATTGGAACAACTGCATCAAATCAAGCGACAGCAACAACAACAACAACAGCTACGCATGCAACACATGCAACATAAGCCACAAAGGCAACCACAAGAAAAACCAAAACCAAAAAGCTTTTTTATGCCCTTTAATTTTGGCAAATGTGCCAGCAGTTTGATCAATTTTGAGGTTAAGGCGAGAAACGCAACAGGATCCGTTGCTCAGCCAGCCAATCAAAAGCAGCAGCAGCAAATTCCAACAGCTGATTTCAACTATGTGCAGCTGGCCAAGCAAATGTGCCTCGAGGCCAGACAACTCGCAAATTGTGGCAGCAACAGCAGCAGCCAATCACAAATTGCGGCTCAGCTCGCGTTGAGCACAACGGAGCAGGAGTTGAATTGCCTGGCTGCCGATATCGATAGCAATTTGCAGAATTTACACAAAATCCTTGGCACAGAGTTGCCACACTGTGCCGCAAAGTTAACACAGCTGACAGCGCCGAATTTAAACAGACTGCAGCAGAGTAAACATAACATTTTGGAGAGTTTGGCAGCACAGCATAAGGCTACACAGTTAAGCAGTCTGGCAGCACTGCAACAGTCCAGCAGTCTGGCAGCACTGCAACAGTCCAACAGTCTGGCAGCACTACAAGAGTACGAAAGCGCAGTTAACTTAGAGTTGCCACAGCGCGCACAAGCAGCAACTGCCACAAGCAACACAAGTCGCAGGAAGTCGAACAGCAACAAATGCCAATTAAACCTGAATAAACTGATCGAGGAGAACAAGTTGCGGGGCACCGACTCGGATCCGCTGTGGCACTCCCTCATGCAACTTGTGGCACAAATGTGCGAAAGCAAGAAGCTAAGCGACGATGCACGCTTAAGTGCCGGGTCTCAAAAGCAATACTCCGTCTATCTGATGGTTACCTCCGACGAGGAGGACGAAACGGAGTGCAATCCTCTACCGCAGTTGCAACAACTGCGAAAGCCTCGGCGCAGAAGACGCACCTCCTCCGGTTGGCATCGGCACATTGAGCTGCCCATCTGCCAATGCCTGGCAGCTGCAACACGACGACCGCTCCACTGGCCCAAGCAACAGGCTATCAAGATTCCGGATCAAGGCCAGAGGAGGAACAGGCTGCCCAGTCGCAATTCAAGTCGAACGCGTTCCCGACGTTCCCTGGGTGGCAACAGTTGGCTAACCCAACAAACAGCGATTGTAACTAATCCCAAAACTGGACACTATCGGCACTATCTTCAGCAACCACTGCCAAACAACCGTGCCACAGAGTTGAGCTTCAGCTAAATGCAGTTGCCATAAGTCCTTATTGCACGGATCCTTGATAATGGCACAGCATAGTTAAGACATGGACAGATTAGATAGCTTCTTGATCTTCAACTATGATTTGCACTTATTTGCGATCCATGCTTAATAATTAGAATATCTAATATAAAATTTGAAAACTACTTGTTGAATATTATGTGGAAATAAAGTCTCAGTGCATTAAAGTTGGCAATGGTTACTTTCATTTGATATATATATTTGTAGATGGCTTTCTCATCTTATTTTCAGTTGATATATAGGGGTTTATCTAGATAGCTTTCCTATATCAGATGAATCCAAAATTAAATGTTAGTTTGAAGATCGCAGCTGCCTTGTTTAATTCGTCTCCGTCAAAGTGTTTGTTAAATTGAAAGTTTTATCTGGCTAAGAATTAGGATAGGGCAGATAAGCCTGTAAGCCTTAAGCTTAATCAGGATTAATACTGCACTCCAAATGGCTGATACCAGGGCGCTGCCCTACCAGCTTGGCATCGCTGGAATCTGTCCGGTCGAATACACAACTCAAAAGCAGAAGCAACCGCACCTGAAGCTGCACTTGGGTTCGACTAACGTTGGTAGTGGTGAGTCGCTTAGTGGCCAGTCCAGATTATTGGAGTTGCGTCGAGAAATGGGTGGTGGTGCGGCCAACCAGAGAAATTTTGTCAGCACCACTCGCCCCACATCTGCACCCAAATCTCGTATGAAGTCAGACGCGACTCGTCAACCACGTCGCGAGTTTAATAGTGAACCGCATTACGAGTGTCGCTGCCAGCAGCAAGCCGAAACACGCTCCAGGACACACGCTGAACCGCATGCCGGAATTCGCTCCGGGACTCGCAATGACTACTGCTCCGAATTAAGTTCCTTAACCGAAGCACCTCAATCGGGTTCTCGAGATGTTCGCCACGAGCAGTCAGCGCGGACCTATTCTCCGGCTTACCAATCTTGCTGTGACAAGCGCAAGTCTGCAGCATACCCGCAAGGACCGCCTGAATTTCGCTGCGAATCCTATTTCGAGGCACCGGGAAAACCACGTCCAAAAAAATCCCAATTAATGTGCGAACACTGCTACCAGCTGTCTCTGGCCAAGCCGCGAGAGGAACTGCAGCCCCAACAGCGCTATGAAGCTTACCATGAAGAATCACGCAGCGAACCACGTAACGAATCTCGTAACGAACCACGCAGGCAACCATTCATCGAATCTCGTAACGAACCACGCAGGCAATCATACAACGAACCACGCAGCGAACCACGCAGCGAACCACGCAGCGAACCTCGCAGCGAACCACGCAGCGAACCACGTAGGGAACCATGCCAAGCACCATGCAACGAAGCACGCAATGCACCACACATCGACGAACCACAAGACGAATTATTTTGTGAGCCGCCTTCGATGAAGCGTAAAGCGCCACCTGCTCGCTGCCCCGTCTGCTACGAGTCTCCCGAGTCTCGCTCCAATCGGCTGCCAGTGGCAACAACGGAGACATCAAATTATGTAAAGTACAAGGACTTTAAGGCCATGTCGCATCGCAATCCGTTGGTGGTCAAGTCCCGTGGTTGCCTTAGGCAGTCGCCCAGCCCGGGTGGATGCAAAAAGCGCGTAAAGAGCCCTAAGCCTGACTGTGAGTGCCTAACACCCGAATCAAGTCAACCCATTCGTCAAAGGACCCCTCGGAAATCGGACTACGCTCAGCAGCAGCCGAGTAAATGCCCCAATTGTAGCAGGACGCAACCCTCGTCCAAATCTCAGCAGGCTACGCAGAGCCGTCGCAACGATCGACGGAAGGAACAACCAAGATTGTGCCCAGCCTACGGCTTGCCACGGTTCACCAATACCAATCAGCGCTCAAATTTTGTGCCACATTCGTACTTAAATTCACTTCGTCCATCAGTGAGGAACATGTCAAGCCCCAAAAGACATGGCAGATCCGGCGCAGGCTCCGGCGCAGGCTCCGGCGCAGGCTCCGACTCAGTACCAGTTGTAAGTTTAACATTTACCAATCTTCTGCTCTCGTTTCAATTGAACTTTGTTGCACAGGAGCGGATGGGTCACATGTCCAGAAGCAACCCAAGTCATTTCCGAGCCTATCCCAGCAGTTATGTGAGTAGTCAACCAAAAATTCCATTTTTATACTCTGTTATCGACGGTATTTAGAGTATATCGGTTTTGTGCAATGTCCGTCCTGCTGTCCCTCCATCTTAAAACTTGGAACACGTACTGGTCTATGCCTATAGACCAATAGGCTAGGAAATCGATAAGATCGATAATATAAAATCGATAGGTCCACATATTCCCCACAATTTTGAAGCTACAGTCGTCAAATTTAGTTGGTAGATTGTTGGCGATGTCCTGTAAAGATTGGCAAAAGCCACGCCTACCTCGCCCCTCGCTCCTGATAATGGGAAATGGCTATATCTTTCGCAGTTCTTGAACTAGAGTCATCAAATCCCGCCAACCACCTTTAAGTATCGATAAAAAATGTAGCCACACCTGCTTCCATGATCGTCAAAAGCAATATTTCTAAAAGTATAAATTGTTTTGAGGATACAGTCTCAAAATTTAGGAGGTGGCTAACTGGTGACTTCCAGAGCACGTAAGCAATTTAAGAGCTATAGTTAGCAAACCTGAAAGGTAGATTAAGAAAATCATCCTCCAATTATTGTTTCCCCGCCCACAAACGTGGAAGGGAGATTACTAGGAACCTTCTCTAATATTTATTTCTTATACGTCCATTCCCGCACCCAAAATTCCCAAATGCTTATATCTCTTGCAATTTAAGAGCTAAGGTTACCGAACTAGGAAACTATGAAACTCCTCCCAGTTCCGCCATAAAATTAATAAAATGCACAAAGCTTTTATCAACAGCTAAACTTGTAGGGAAGATTACTAGGATTCTCCATAAAAATATCGATAATTATTGGATACACCCACAATGTTCTGCGAAACCTCTTATCAGATGGTATTAGCAATGATAACAGAGTATTTCGCAGTCGGTTACGGTACTGACTTACTAAACAATAACAATTATATGTTTTAACTTTTCATTAGCTTTCACAAGAGAGCCGAAGAGGATCGCTGAAGCTAAGCACGATTTCGGGTAGTAGTGTAAGCAACTAAACAATTAATTACTTCGTTGGTATAAATAGGTAATTGAATTTCCCTTAGTTGAGGCTACATCGCATACCCAAGGCGAATCCCTGTGGACTAAGAATTCCCACAAATAGGCTCGAAGAATCGAATGGATATCGCTGTACTGGCGGCAAATTAACACCATTGGCCAAAGGTTCGCAAGGTACCAGAAACGTCAGGGTTAAAATGGTTAGGGATGGTGGCAGTCGTGCCACAAAAAGTCCACAGATAGCCGCTGGTCGCGAAAGAAGGAGTAATCAAACCCAAGCCCGGAATTCCACACGTTCCAGGCAGGAGGCACAAAATGTTACCGGGCAGCTCTCACAGCCAGGAAAACTGAGGAAAACTGCAGCATCAGCAGTACGACGCGATGTCGTGCCACAAACTGGAAGACACGTCCGCTCCAGGTCTCTACACGCGTCGAATCACAAAGGAGGTACTGCTGAGAATAGGCTGCAATCGATCCGGTCCTCCAAAATGCCAGTTGCAAATCAACGGGTAAACACAGCTAAGCTCAGCAGAACAGCAGGCAGTAGAGTCTCAACTGAGCTGCACCAAAATCTACGCGAATACACTTCCGAACCAGGAGGATCTGAAACAAGCAAAACAAATACCGAAGAATATGAGTATAAAGAGCAAGGAACACTCGAAGCCAGGGAAGCATCGGCAGAAAGAAGTGAAGAAACCGCTCGGATAACTAGTGCAGCTGGTGGAACTAGACACAGATTGCCCCAGAAAATGTTCACAACAAAGCGGCCGCAATATTTTCCAAATCCACAATCCGATGTTGGTTCGAGCAAAAATAAACTCCAATCCTACCGGGGCAGCTTTCTGACAGTGCGCACCACACCGCATAGTAGGCATAGTCAGACTGAAGATCCAAGTCACGTTTCACTGATCACAATTGCCAAGAATATGCTGAGACCCATTGTGCAAAAGAGTTCGATACCAAAGGACTCGGCTTTTGTGGTGCCCAACAAATGGCAGTGTATGAAAAAATTAAAGGGTCTTACGCCCGATAGACGCACTGTAAGTTTCGGACAGGTCGATAAATAGCGATTGCGATTGTGTTCCAATTGCTTACTCAATGCCAAGACGTGGACAATGGGTGCATAGCCAATGCTGTCAAAAACCTAATCGAAATTTGTACAAATATGAAACGTTTTGGAATCAAAAAAATGTTAAGCCACTGCACAAGCTCGATTGAGTCTGGAATGAATCACAACAAATCCAAATGCAAGAAGCCGGCTGCAGACTGCAACTCGGATTACACTGAAGCCCCAAGCGATAAGCGAGAAATGCGACCAAGAGTCAGCGAAGAGCTCCCTACCCACAGCCGAGCACCCATAAATCCCATCGTCAGGACTCAGTTTGTGCTTGGCAAGGTGAACGGTAGCAGCGTTTCTTCGAGGATGACCTTGAATCCTCTGGTGCGCCACTTGGGTGGCAACTCTTGTGAGTTGTGCCCGTTGTGCGGTCAGTATGAGATTCCCATTGACCTGCCACCCGATGGTCAAAACTGGATTTGTGGCAGGTGCAATGACAAGATCCTAACTGCACTCGGCGACTGCCAGAGTCAGCCCAACTCGGATTCCATTAACATCTCTTATGAACCGACACCCTTCAAAATTATTGTGCTGCATGACTCTGAGAGTAGGCTCTTAATAGATCAGCTGACTTCAGCCTTGGAGCTTACCTGTCTCCAGCGCAATGGGCAACCAATTAACCATACCAACAACAGCTATGACTGCAACCACAATGATTATATAAATGACTTGAGGTGAGCATAATACTACAATCAATTAATGTTTAATATGATCCAAGAGCCTTCTCCAATTAGAGCATCGGAGAGTAGCAGTGGGCAACCAGCTAACCATACCAACAACACCTATGATAGCAATCACGATGATTCTTCAGATTTTCACGGTTATAGGTAGGCATAATCTAGAAATCAATTAATGTTTAATAAGATCCAGGAGCTTTCTCCCCAAGAGCTCCGCGGAATAGCACAAATAGTGCCGGATCAATCACAACCAATCAACAGGCCATGAATCCCAATTCTCCAACGACTGTGGGACAAGTGCAATATGACCATACTCAAAACCGCATCTACAACTATGGAGAGGAACAGTATAGTTGTAAGTCTGAATGCCTTCGAAAACATATTTAGAAAACGAAAATTATATGTTTTTCAAATATAAATTTGTCTCTAGGTCCTGGACAGAATGGTCAGACAGGCCATGGATACAATGATGATTCTATTCAACAGAATAAGCGTAAGTATAAATTGAAAGCATTGTGAGATTTATTGCTATAAGTATATTTTATTACATGAAGGACCAGGAAATAGTGTTTGGGAAGGTTATGAAACTAATTATTATCCTATTCCTGCGGGACAAAGACAGACTCCCCGGGATTGTAATGAAAATACAATGCAACCGATAAATGGTAAGTACTAATCAAAACTATTCCAAGTGTATTAAATGTTTGTGGCAATCAACAGTATAAATAAAAATAAGTAATTCCTCTTAACTGTGGACTGTGCTGTAGATTACCCGGAGCGACAAACTGTAGTCAATGATCAGCGTTTCAAGTGTGAACCAACTGTCAGCAGTAGCAGTAACTGTGGCCACTGCTGGAAGTGTCAGGAGTCGAACGATAAGCTTTTGCTACTCATTACTCAGGCTTTAGAACTGTTTCTAAACAATAGGCAAATGGATTCATTCACTGAAAAGCACAAGAAGTCCAAGAAGAGTTGCAATGCGAATAATTCCACAGCTACCTTCACCTCAGGAAAAGCCTGGAAAAATGCTTCAGATACACGTGCCTCATCTTTGCGAGTTCCAGCTCAGTACAAGGAAAAGGCCATGGGAAAATCCATGGCTCAGGCAACGGAATGGCCCAAAGGAAAACCCAGGTCCGAAACATACCAGGCAAATAAACAGAAATTCTTTCTGCCCGACGTATCGACAGGATCTGGCCACTCGATGAGCAAGAACTCTCAGGGTGCCTGTGGCAAGTCGAATTTGAATGATTGCCTCAATAGAAACCCAGCTAATCGCTGCACGCAGCCAGTCAACAATGGAGCTCGCTGTCCATGCTCCAACAAGTGTGCTCAATCCAGGCAGTCTGCTGCTGCTGCTAACGATAATAATAATAATAATAATAATGATAGCAGAGCTGTTGCCAGCTCCAAGTCACCTGCCAGTGGCTGCCCCTGCTTCAGGCAGCTGGGTCGCATGGGTGGCGGTGATTCCACACCTCGTTCGCAGGCAAACAGGTTGGGCGCAAGCAGCTGCAACAAGGGATGCAACACTGTGGCGCACTTCAAACCCGGCACGCAGCAACTTCCATTCAAGTATAGGCTCCTCTCCAATGGGGAATTCGTACGGCGCAGCCTCGTCCGGACAGCAGCGGGAGCAACGCTCCATGAGAATGTGCTCAGCAAGGATGCGATGCATAATCCACATACTTCAACGCATTGCTTTGGATGTACTTCCAGTTTTCAGTTTGGGCAGTGAGTGCACAAAATTACGCAATATATAGATCGGATATAGTATCTGACTACTTATGAGTTACAGTTATCGTATGCGAACATATATTGCTTAATTTTGGGCAATCGCGTAGTGGTTCATAATTTTTGAAACAAATTTTCCGCAAAAATACAATTTAGCTATAATCCAAAATTCGAATAGTATAATAAAACCGGTAAAGCAAAAATTCAACTCTTTCAATTCCTGTTAAATATAATCTTGAAAATATATATAAAATAGTTTGTAATAAATAAAATTATTATTATCGCATAGCTTGAATAAATTTAACGTTAAATTCAACAGAATAAGCGTAAGTATAAGTTGGAAGCATTGTGAGATTTACTTCTATAAGTAGTGTTTGGGAAGGCTATAAAAATAATTATTATCCTATTCCTGCGGGACAAAGACAGACTCCCTGGGATTGTAATGATATCACAATGCAACCGATAAATGGTAAGTACTAATCAAAACTATTCCAAATGTATTACTATTATTAAACTATATTATTAAACTAGAGTAAATTATATTTATTTATAATAATACTAATACTAATAATAAAGTTAATAATAAAAATAATTTAAATTTGTACATTTAGAAATAAAAAATCGATCTGAAATTTGGAATCGTCCTAAAAGCTAAAATATGTTCTGGTTTTAAGAAATATTTTCTAAGTATACGAAAAATCTTTCTTAAAATTAAAATTAATTAAAATTATATTCAGAAATATATTTCTTAGTAGTAGGAAATATTTGTAAAAGTATAAATATTATTCCTTATTGTATTGAACACATTGGAAATGGTTAAGATCGCTAAGATGGCTCTGTAAAAAAGTTACATATAAAGTTACCTTCGGCCCGATAAGGAACATATATTCTTGATCACCTGTCCGACTATAAGAGCCATTTTGGAATATAAGTTCTTGTTTACAACGAATTTATTTCATTTTATCTATAACTGTTTTATTATTATTATTATTCTATTTATTATTGTTGCTATTATTAGAATTATTATTATTATTGATACATATCGATTTCCGAAAGCGGTAAAAATACTATTTTAAAGGCAGAACTATAACATATTATTGACCAACTGAATTATTGATGAATTAAAATCAAAATAATCTTAAACAAGTTCGGAGGAAAATCACCCAAGCATAGACCCACAATATGTTTTCATATTGATCATATTACACAATCATCAGGCGCCACATAAATAATATTTTTTATTAATAATATATTTTAATAAGAACTTTTCTTTTTTATTAATAATATAATTTAATAAGAACTTCTTTCATTTAATTGGCTGCTATGTGAGTTAAAAACTGGCTTCAGGGTATCTTCAAGTCGCGCACTCTCTCGACTAGACCATTCTCACTTGTTTTCTCTAGTTAAGGATATTCGAACTATGTACGGCTAAAGGATTTTGCATTTGGTATTTCCGCTTCCGCTTCCGTTGGCCCAGATTAACTTCTTAGCGGCGCAAATCAAACGGCCTTCAACAATTAACGCCACAGGCGTTTCCTCATCACCATTTCGCCCAGGCGCAAAGTCACTAATCACCAGCAATATTTTTGGGCAGCGCGTTGCACACAATGCCCGTTGCAAGCAGGCAGGAACTGTGCGGCATGTTGTATATGTGTACCTGTGTTGGCATTGGCATTGGCAGTGGCTCGACGTGATCGCACAATGGGCGCGTTGAGCTGCTTCCTGCGTAGCTGCTGCTGCTGCTGCTTGTGCATTTTCACACTGTGGACGAGCATCTAATTGCCCACTGGCCACATGTCCTGCTGCGCAAGGAAAATGTTAATGTTGCAACCGGCACAACACGCACTTTTCCACACTCGCTGATGCCCCTTAACTGCTGCGGACATGCAGCAGGACATCCTTTTTCCTTGTTTTTGTTGTTTACCAACATTTGTTTTTACAATCAGCCCTCTCTCTCTGTCTCTCTCTCTCTCTGTCTCTCTTCTCTTTCTCCCTCTCTCGGTTATTCGATTCTCTGTTTGTATACAGAGAACGCGCCTTTGCTGCGTTTCCGCTCATCATTCGTAAATTTTACGGTCTCGATATTTTTGGGCCATGCAGCAACAGATGATGTGCCCCCCGACCCCGACCCCGACCTGTCCTGTTCTATCGTGTCCTGGCTTAAGCCCATGTGCTGTAAATAATACAGGATGCGTTTGTGCAGGAAGTGCAATTGTTCATGTTTGCCTCGATTTTGAGCAAATGTTTGCGAAACGTGTTCGTAAGCCTAAAAAATTCATGTAAATCTATTTGCCGAGGATGCTTCTTAAGGAGTTGGAATTTTTAGACTGGAATGAGATAAAAACAGCATCCGAGTTGAACTATAACTTTTCTATATAATAACTAATTAAGTGATCTGATTTTAAAAAAATAGATAATTTTAATCGTGGTTCGATCTGCAGATAAATACTCCAATTAAAGTTAAAAGCTCGATTCTCGATTTTGGTGTTAAAATTATACCTTCAAAAAGTGTTTTTAGGTAAGAATCAAGCACCTTTCTTAAAATTTATCCGATTGATGTGTTCAAATTATATATTATATATCAAAATCCAGGGCTTTTTAATTAGAGTTTGATGTCTACCAAAAAGCGATTCTGGCTGGATTTTCATGTTAAAATTGTACCTAAAAAAGGGTTTGTACTGTTCCTGTGGGAACTATAGGATATAGTAATCCGATCATGTTAATTGTTTAGCTAAATATGAGGTGCATAAGAGTAGGTGTATTAAATAAGTTTAGTTCAGATATATTACTAAATAAAATACTTTTGTGCAAAAGAACTCATCTCTTGGCCGATCCTTTCTATGACAGCTATATAATATATAGTGCTATAGTGAGGAACTAATTTGCATAGCAACAGGCAGACAAACATGGCTATATCAACTCGGCTTGTGCTGCTGATTAGGAATATATATATTTATTATATGCACGACACAATTATAATATCAAAGTGATCTAATTTTACACAACTTGATCAAATATCTTTACAGTTATCTGATGACAGACACTTCCGCAGCGTTGAAAAGATTGCACAATTTCGAAAGACGATAAACTTTGGCAACGCAGTTTTATCAGCTGTTTTCTATTTGAACAAATGTATTTATCTTTACATGGGCTACCGTGTGGCACCACAATTGCCACACAATGAATCTTCAGTTCTTAAATGCCTCATCTTTACAGCAATTTGTGAGCTTTGCTGTTGCTGCTGCTGTTGTTGCTGCTGCTGTTGCTGTTGTTGTTGCTTGTGATTGTTCTTGGGCATGTTGTGGGTTTACTTTGGAAACAAACCATTTACGTGACACATTTCCGAGTCGTGGCCAGCTTTAGTGTTCTTCTTATTGTTGTTGTTGTTGTTGTTTTGTGTAGTTGCCGTTAATCAGATTCACGGCGCATTTCCAGATTGGGTTCTGTTTTTTTTGTTGTTGTTGTTTTTTTTTTTGTATTTATTTTCATTGTTATCATTTGAAAATGCCTTAATCCGAATTTATGAAATAAAAGCGGAAGTCTGTGCGGCTTGTTTCCCATTGTGCCCACTACTCACAGCCCTATCTCTCTCTATCTCTCTCTATCTCTCTCTCTCTCTCTCTCTCTATCTATCGCTCCTCTCTCTCTCTCGCTCAGTCTTCTTTCTTTTTTTTTATCAGATCTCTGGCAGGGGTTTCTCCGTTTACGTTTTGTGTGGCATTTGAATGTCTTGTGAATTTTGTTGTTGTTTTGGTTTCTTTTTACGAGCGAGCGTTTTTTTTGTTCAGCTTTTTTACGGTTAGTTCGTTTCGCTTGTGGAGCGATTGATTTTTACGTTTTTGCTGCTACTGTCCCCGGCTTTAGTGGGGGGAGAGTGAGATCTCTATTGAGCTGGGGCAGGTCCACAAGAATTGGTGTTAATGGCCGTTTTTTCTTATATATATATATAAATATATATTGCTTTTATGAGCCCAGCTGCCAACATTAAATGACAGACGATTATGTTCGTATGTATTTATGATGAGCCAACAAATTACCGCAAGTTTTTAAAAAGTATTCCCAGCCAAACAGGAACTAACAACCCACTATCCCAGCCCCTCCATCCCACAGACTCCGCCTTCCCGATTGTAACACGCGTTGCGTGGAAAAACGCTGAAAACTTTATGACACATCTGTTTATTGATTTATAGTCCGGGAAAGTGCCAATAAAACTGAGTCCACAGCCCTGCCTAGGATTAGCTAGCTAGCTGGCTATACGTTGACTAGCCAGGAATTCATTCTTCCCCCTCTAAGCACAGCGAGACAAGAGCATAAAATTCATTTTAATGTATATTTTTGGTGCATTTTTAATGACTCGAGCAGGCACAGTAGTATATGAAATTTACTTTAAGCCATAAATCGTTTAGGCGAGGGTGGCTACAGTCTGCAACTATAACTATATATAGGAAGACACACACACACCAACACACACACACACACATAGACCAACACACACATACAAACAAACACACACATGCACAAACAAAATGATTTTTGGTACTTATGATAACATTTGATTGGGCGGGCATCCCTAAAATGTTTGACTGGTGCTCGAACTATATTTGGAATTTGATAAATGGGCGGCACACGCCCCTATTTCGATTGCCAGCTGCAATATATATCGCTGCCTGACAAGCGCCTACACTCAGCAGGAAATCGCCATATATTTGGCGTCAAGGGTAACTCCCTTTAATGTTAAAAAAATATTTCTTAAACGGAAGGTTTAGCTTTCCAAAAAAAAAAAGTTTTGTTCAGGACATATTTTTCTAATATTTTAAAATTTCATTTCATTTCCAAGGAGTTTTTTATATGCTTACAAAACTCGAACTTTAAACTTAACTTTTTTCTTATCTATATTAGTATTGAACATTAATGCGAAAATTTCACATAAACAATCATATAATTTAATTTAGAAAAAAATGTTGATTTTACGTCGGTTTGAGCCCGTGATTTTATATCAGCATATCAGAAAAGATTTGTTCTACTTGTTTTATCATTAAGATATATATTTCAGATAAATATAAGAAAACCCATTCTCTTTTTATGTTTTATTTTTATTTTTATAAATTTATAAATTATCTGAAAAAAGCAGAACATTTTTCGAGCTGTAGAGCTATTTTCGATATTACATCTAGATTTTTTCTGAGTGTAAAAGAAAATGTATAATTTTTATATACTGCTCACAAAATGAAAATAATTTTCTGCTGTTAAAGCAATTGTTTAATCTAGATACATTGAGTTTGGAATTTTACTCTAAATCATTAGAGATTGATTAAATTATTAATTTAATCTAATCAATTCTGCTTTGAAAAATGATGAGTCAAGACTTTTTGGAATTTTAAATTTTAGATTTTTTCTTATTCTCTTCGAAAGAGTCTCATTCATAGGTTGACCATGGTCATGTCTACGAAGGTTCTCTGCTCTTTTCTTGTGAGCTGCCACGTTCTTATATATAATTTTTAATATCGGGATCGTGTCAAGCGTTCACTTCCTTTGCTCGAACACAGTTATCGAATTATGCGTCAGCACAGTTGGCCGTAATTGAAAATAAACACGCTAAGCAAATAGTCCATGGAGACGACAAATATTGTAAATTGAAATGCTGAATATTAACGCACAAGCTACACAAAGTCACGTACCAGAGGACAGTCAAAAGAATTTGGAATTGAAAATTACTTGCTGCGCCTAAGCAAACATCCTTTTTGGCCAATGCCGCTGGCCCGGCTTCCTGTCGATGCTTATCATGTGTGAGCCAGAAGAATGCTGGCATTTTTACATGTATTGTATTATATTTTATTGTTGTGTGCGAAACAATAGCAAAAATGCAATTGGAGGCACGGCAGCTGGAATGTGTGTGCGTGTGTGGACAGGATGACAGGCGAGCAGGATTAACTGTAACTAGTTAAGCGGCAGGATGTGTGTGTGTGTGTGATGAGGATCAAACCAAATCGGCTCACAAAACAATTGGCCCACAGATTTCGAATAGTTGGGAATCAGGTCGCTAGGATCTGGTCACGCATCGTCTATAAGCATTAGGCTGAGAGACGCCGCGTATCAATTAGGCAGCCAATTAAAGCACTTAATTTATTTGGCCCGCGATCGATGTGACCGATAAACAAGCCATTAGTTGCTGGCCCACACAACAGCCAAAAAAAAAACTGCTCTTTCACTCGAAAGGCGAGCAGACTTCAAAGCAGACGGCGACAGGACGAGCCAAGAACCAGACATTAGATACAGCTACAGATGGAGTTACAGATACAGATACAGATACAAAGAGATAGACAGAGAGAGCGCGAGAGAGAGAAAGAGAGAGACAAAGGTGCAATCTTAAGTGAAAAACCAATAGCAATAATTGCGTAGCTGCTGCCTGCTTAGATCATTTCATTGGAAATGCAGCAGCTGCTGCAATTTGAACTGCATGAACACAGGACGCGCGTCCTGTGGCTGCCTCGTGCCTTGTGCAACCACCGTCAAGGGGCAGCTTCAGAGGGCGCGACTCGGTTTCTTTTACATTTTATTTTATTTCATTTTTATTTTTATTTTGTGTATTCCACTGAAACTACAACAATCCAAAAAGGCTGCGTAATTCGAGTATTGCACTTCACGCTTGTCTATAAATGTTTGATGAAAGGATTCTGGCACTTAGCTAGCTGATATACATATGTGTGTATGTATGCCTCAACATATGCTGCAGGATCAGAAAACCTCAAGCAGACAATGCCCAGCTAGTCAAATAAATGATCCTTTGCCTGTCACTTTGAAAAGGAAGTCGCGCATTCAAATATGCGAGCAGCCAAAGGAAAAGGGATTTCCTGTAATTACACTCGTCGTCTAGGCGGCATAATTAGTCAACACACAAACATATATATATACATATATATATATATATATATACACAAGCAATTGCCCCCACATCGGCACGTGATGGCTACTGAAATTGTTGGCATTGCTTCTTGAATCGTTTATTAATATGTACAAAAGATATTTCAATGAAAGTTAAGTGCGAGTTGATAAATTGTCGACTGTCAACGTCTGAGGAAATGGAAATGGAAAGGGAAAAAGGCAAGTGAAGATTAATATGAAATTCGAATAATGTCACTTTAGGTGTAGGCCAAATTTGACAATTCAGAAAGGTTCAGAGTTCGAATAGACAAATACATATTTAAGCAATGTGTGCAGAGAATCAGAAGTGGGTCTTATGGAATGATGGAAAATCTAAGTAATTTATACTAATTATATTCTAAGAAAATGACAAATTGAAAAGAAAGATGTAAGCTGAAACTATCCATATGGAAGTTTGCTTTCAATTTAAGCTACAACCTAAAGCCGGAAAATACCTGGAGTTATGCATATCACATCTAAGTCATAATTACTGCTGAAAGCCAGCTGTCCATTGGCCATTAGTTCGATTTGTATCTCAATCAAGAGTTTTGGAGTTTTGAGTTCGCAACAAACAAACAAAAATCGATTCACCATTTTCACATGACCTAAGCGTTTTAAGTTCCAACAATGCGGGCTCTGCATTCAATGAATGAAAAACCAGCGATTAGTTTTTGTGCCCTTCTCTAACAATAAGATCTAAATATGTGTCCACTGCTGTCAGCTCAGCGTATTAACTGCTGTGCACTGTGAGCAATCATTTGCCAACAAAAAGGATTATTATGAGAATTTATTAAATAAAGTGAGAATTATGAGAATTTATACAATAAATTAAAAAAATATATTACAAATTAGTTTAAATAAAAAACTTAACAAGTCAAAAATAAGTAATTAAATTCTAAATTAAATTAAACTATATATACATATATATAATATATATATGATATATGCATACATATTTACATATTTAAAAGAATATATTGCAGCACCTTATTTAACTTTAAAATAGTTTTTAAAAAAATAATTGATTGAATCGCTTATAACAAATAACATATAAATGAAAAAAATTTAAATTGCCACCCCAATTTAGGCGAGTGTAACTGAGAGCGATAGTCACTATCACAACGAGAGCGTTAAAGAGCGGCTAGCTGATTGTGCATGAGAGGGAGAGAAAGAGAGCGAGAGCGAGAGAGAGCGTGCTGGTGGTGGAGAGAGCGTGCGAGAGAGCGTGACTGGCTGAGGCAACAAAACCCGATGCACGGCGACGATCGCAATCAGTTGAGAACGTGAAGTGCGCGTGCACAGAACGCAATAACACTGTCAAACTGTACAACATACAAAATACAAACGTAGCGCTGAATTACGCAGATACGCTCGTACGCAATAACAACAACAATAACAGCAAGAAAATCCAATGCAGCTGCAAACTGGAATTTTGTGTTAAGTGAAAAAGCAAAAACTAAAGAAACTTGAAGTTGAAAACGCTGCAACAATTTGAAACAGCAACAGAAACAACAGCAACAACAACAAAACTTTCGAAACCCGAGCCAAGCACATAGAAAAGTAGTTCAGAGCGCGAAATACTTAAGCGCCAGCTGTTTGCAACTGCGAGATACATTTTTGCAAATTGTGAAATCTGCAAATATCTGAAAAGTGTGATAGAGTCCCCCCCCCATACCCTGTTGTGCACTAGTGAAAACATACATAGATACAAAGCGAAAGAGCGAGCGAGAGAGACAGATACAGAGCGAGAGAGAGATACACATACAGCTGGAGAAAACAGACAAAAGCCAAGCGAAAGCGAGTGCAATTTCTATTTTCGCGAAAAACAACAAGAAAACAGCTAACAAAAAAAGAAAAGAGAACAACATTTTATATGTATGCACATATATTATAAATTCAACGACAACAACTCAAATTGCATTGGCAATTCCGTGCAGGAAGTTCCATAAACAAAAGAAATTCATAAACAAATTACAAATAACCGAGCACGTACATATCAATACATATATATATATATATAAATATATATTTGAAAGATATATATATTTGAACAGCGGATGTCGTCGTCTTAAAAATATACCAATATACCAAATACACAACAACAACAACAAGAACAACAACAACGTTGCGCAGCAAAAACAGTGTAGAGGCAATTTTTGGATTAACTTTCATTAACTAGGTAAGTAGATGATATTACCAAAAAAAATAATGCCAAAAGTAGTTCGTCAGTTCGGCAGTTCGATCGATTAACAAATGTGGCGCTCATTAAGAGACCCAATGTAGGTTTCATTAACAACATTAACAGCGACAACCATTTCGGCCAAGTTAACTATTATGGCCATCGTTGTTGTTTAAAGTTTAAGCGGCTTGTTTGCCATATCGAAGAATGTGCTGTCAATCTCACAATTTTGTTGTCGGTTTGCCTTGTACTCGGTTTCGTTTCGTTTCGTTTTTTTAATATTATTTTTATTTTGTATTGAGATCTGCTAATTGACCTCTAAAAGGTGCTTCGTAATTTTCTACACATATGTTTGTATTTATGTATACATGTATAAAACTGAAAGATCATTTAAATTAACATAAACGAAACCCGTAACTCAAAACAGAAGACACACTTTCAAAAACTGAAAGTGACAGCGATATAAATGTGTACAACCAACATGTATACTACGATACTACCATATACCACTGACTTGGCCAAGAGGTCAGCTAACAAAATTACAATTAACATTGCCTTGAGTTAGGATCGTGAGTTTAGAGCTTCGTGTGCTTTCAAGAGCAAACTTATTTGGTTGCACAAAGTTTGGGTTACTTGTACTCTTTATTAGCAGCCAGCAGTGAGGGGGTATATAAGATAAGATATACAGTTAACTATTACAAATGACGAATGCAACTCGGGGAATTACTGCAATCCACTAGATTATTTTTGCTCATATCAGCTGTTCATGAATGGAAACCCCGTACCCGAATATCAGTCGTATTTTATAATCTTTTTTTTTTGTATCAGCTTGAAGTGACAACGTTTCTTATAAATCAACTCACTTCCGATTAAACATAAAAGAAAAATTCCGTTTTTAAAGTCGTTAAAAATAATCAGTTAGTAAATGATGGCTGGAAAACGGCTGGAATGAAATAGTTTTGGATTACAGCTACACTTAAATCAGCAAATCAGTAAATAGTAATTTATGCAGTAATCATATGCTATATACTCTATATAAGTTGTCGTGTTTTAGCCTTAAAGTCACGCTTTAGTTGTCCGTAAGAATTTCAAGGGTTCTTTTGTTATGATCAGATAAGTGGCATGCTAATTGTTTTAACTGTAGACAAGCAGCTCTTAAGTTTGAACTGGCAGATAAAGAAAAGAGTGGGTAACTGAAAGTCAAACATATATGTAGATAAAATCCGATCAAGATCTACAATCGCTTTATACAGTTTTGTGGCCAGCCCCTGTGGCACAGCTCGGCTTAGACTCAATGTGCAGTTTGCCGTGACCAAATTCATCTTTGTGGTAGCTGGCTGGCAAGAGTTATGAAATGCCTAACAACAGAATTGTCAAGAGAATATTGTAGGAGCTGGCAACAGTTGAGGCTGAGAGAACAAACCGAAAACCACAAAACAAAGCGACACTCAAAATGCCAAAGACGGCGGCAGCTGCAAAAAAACCCAAACAGCAACAGAAGCAGAAGCAGGAGCAGAAGAGTGCAGCAGTTGAGCCAGTCAAGCGAATATAAAGACAGAGAGAGACAGAGAGAGAAGAGAGAGAAGAGAGAGAGAGAGAGGTAGATAGAACGGCATTAAATGCATTTTGGGCGCTTTGTTTCCCATTTTATTATATTGTTTTTTTTTTTTGTTTGTGGCCCGCATATTGTAAATGCGCGCGCATGCGCAAAGGATGTGGCCAAGTCGGCGTGGATCTGGAACTGTTGTGCTGCAACAGCAGCGGGTCTTCGTAATCTCTTTGCAGCTGCTGCTGCTGCTGCTGCCACATATGTATAAAAACGCACCTGGCCACACATACCACACACACACACACACACAGAACAACAATAAAAACAGTTCTTAATTAAATTCTGTTGTAGTCTCTAACACTCTCCGTCCTTCTTGCACGCATACACTGCTCTTGATGGGTAAAACAGTATATAAGTTAAAAGTTCAGCATTAAATATATATTTTTATAAATTCAATTTGGTTTCATACGAGATTAAGTTCAAAGAAAATCTTATTTTGCGATTAAATATTTTCAAAATATTTCAAACTTAATATGAAATTTGTATTCATTTCGAGAATTAAGAGCGATTTAAAATTTCATCTTTATTATTATTAGTTGGGGGCCTCTTGAATATTACTCTCTAAATTCGTGTCTAATTATAGCTGTCTACAAATCATCTGGTTTGTCCTAGACTTAGTTCCTTTGTCTCTCTTCGTTACATCATTATATATAGACGATATATTCAACGATGCTATTCAAGTTCAGTAAGTACTCATATGCATACAAATGTCTATCAGCGAGTTGGGTTGGCATAGCGATAAAACTTAGTATTCTATATTTGCCACAATTTTCAGAAATGAATCATCAAATGTTGTGACTAACACAGTACACATTTTTTTAAAAAGGTCTTAAGACATAATAATTTAAAATTGAAGTTGCAAACTAAACAATATAAAATTAATTTCCAAATTATTTTATAGAAAACAATTGAATTGAGTAGGTAAATTACCGATTAGCCTGCTTTAATATTCCAAAAGTGATTCTCTGTTTTTAGTTTTGTTTTGCGTATAGAGTATAATGCAGTCGGCTAACACAAGTCGCTAATTGCTTACTTGGTTGTTTCTTGCTGTGCTGATTCAGCATGATGTTGACCCACTAAAGGAAATAACAAACTCATGACACAGCGTCTTCAAATGCATTTCATAGATAATAGTACCCAGTTTGGGGGAGGGGCTCGCTATCAACTGTGGAGAGTTTTGATAAGCATTTGGACAGTTGGGCACGTCGCACGTCCGTTTCCTGCTGCGTGAGTGAAACACACCTGAGTTGTCGAGTGAAGTTCTTTTCCTGCTGCTTGTCAAGTTGTGCGTCTGCTGCATGACGCGTGGCGCGTCTTTGTGGCAGCAACAGCAGTAGCAGCGGCAGCATCTGCAATATGCTTCATTGACCGCGACACGTGTGGGGCGTGAAATGACAGCAGACGGCGACATCATCAAAGCATTTGCAGCAGTTTTTATTTAATTTCCAACTAAATATTTACAGCAGCCTCTGAAATGCATTTGGCGCCATTTGCTTTATTTTTATAACGAGGAAAAGTCGTCACACATCCGTCCATCAACTGTGCCCCTCCATGAAAATGATGAATGGCTGTGTTCTCAGCGGCAGTTCCAACATTCAACGCCTCCTCCTCCTCCTCCTCCACCTCTCCCCCAACTCGCCGCTACCCGCAGCAACCACCCCTCAGCCACCCTCGCCAGCTTGCGCTTTTGCAGACGTCAGGCAGACGTCGCGACAGCGTTACATGATTTGTAATATCAGCAAACATATATATATTTATATATATATGCATATATGTAGACATATGTGTAGAAATACCGGAGAGCAACGAGGCATGTGGGAATCCGGTTTGTTGTTGCTTGACTGGCAAAAATGTTTATTTTTAAACAATATTCAGCGGATTATCATCTGTCGTCTGACGTTGTCTGTTGTTGCACTTGTTGTTGTTGTTGTAGCATGCAATCTGTTAAATATTTGTTTTTGACTGAACACGTTTATTTGCCTTGAATTGTAGTCAAAAACAAAAAGAGAAGACGAAACCCAAGAAACCTTGTTGTATTTAATGAATACAAAAAACATGTGAAATCGAACAACCTTTAACCTTAACTTTTACTCTGGCTTCTCTTCTGTTTTTTTTTTTGGCATCATTCGCATTTTTTTCCAACAAATTTATTGAATAGTTGACTAGTCGCAGCAGCTTGTTTCTAGTCACTTTTCCACATCTCAACGATGAAACTCTTCTGCTGAACTTTTTAACTTAATTAAGCAGCTGGTTTTTTTTTCTAGTCACTTTTCCACAGGGAAGAACAAAACAATTTCTCTGATGAAACTTTTCTGCTGAAAATTTTAACTAAATTCTCAGCAGAGACTGCAAATTGATTTAGGAGGAAGCGCATAATTTAGCATGCCGTGCACAAGTATCTACGAGATACATTCGCTCTCAGATACTATATTCGCGTGTGCAAGAACAGACAGAACGGTTTCAAACTGTAATCAAATTAATGGCAGCTCGCAAATTTACATAGTCACTGTGTTTTCCATTTGTCAGTCATTTGATATGTAAACCAACTAAATCTGCTAGTCACGAATATGCCACACGCTATCTTCGTCCCGGAGATGCCCCAACGGTGCCCCAACAGTGCCAGTTTCATTACCATCTAACTAAAATAAATGGTTTGCATTTCTACTTTTTCGAAATGTTTATAAATCTTTTATTTGCAAATGTACTTCTAGCAAAAATCCTTTCTAATCTTATGGAAAACAACAAAGCTTTCTAGTGTCCAGCGCATTTTTTTTCTGAGTGTATTCAAGTAAGTGCCAAATAAAATGCAGATAGTCGTCAAGCAATGGTCTTTCTCGGAATTTGATAAATAAAATTAAATACTAATATAATTTATCTATACTTAAGTTTAATTGCTTGGAAAATAAAGAGAAAAAGAGTACAGATTAAAATCCGCAGAGCAAACCACTTGACTTTCTGGCCATGCATATCTGCCACAAATTTGCTTACAGGGTATACAAAATCTGAATGCGAAATTGAGCAGAATTTGAGATGCTTGGCAAAGTTCGCGGTAGATGAGTTCTTCAAAAACGGAAGCGACCTGCAGATAAAGATGGGAGGCGTCAACAGACACAAACACAGCGCAAGTCTTAACTGTGTGTGTGTGTGTGTGTGTGTGAGTGTGTGGATGGGTGTGTGTGTGTGTGTGTGTGGGGAGCAAATTACGCACTTAAAGTGCTCGCCAAATGACAGGAAACGCGTCATTTTTTCGAACTTCAAATTACGATTTTACGTTTCGTCGTTTTCGTTGCTGCTGCTGCTGCTGCTGCTGCTGCTGCTCTTGTTGTTGTTGGCTGTGTCTGTGTGTGTGTGTGTGTGTGTGAGTGTGTGTCAGTGTTTATATAGTAGCTGCCACTAAGTAGCAACAGCAACAACAAGCGACAGTGCAAAGTGCAGACGTCAACGTAATTAAAACTGGCACAATTGCATTTGTTGTTGTAGCTGTATCTGCTCAGCAAGTTGTCGTCATTTATCTGTGTGTGTGTTGGTGTGTGTGTGTGTGTGTGTCAGAGTTTCCTTTTGTGCATCCTGTGCGCGGGCGTAGGCGGATATGCGCACATTGCACAGACTTCCTGTCATTGACTCTGACTAGTAACAGAAAACCATTTCCTACACAGCCACAGACCAAGCGACTCACACAAAGACCCAGACGAAGACTCAGACCCAGACCAAGACTCAGACCCAGACCAAGACCCAGGCCAGGCCAGACCAGACCAGACCAGACCTGGAGTTAGGGGCGCGTGCTCAGCACGCGGTTTATGTATGTTGTTGTAAACCGAAACGAATGCCAATGCCAATGCCAATGTTGACAAAATACAAAAATCAATCAGACATTTAGTTGGACTGACAGGCAGAGCCTGTTTGCTGTAGTTTGAGTCGCTTAATAATTTCAGCTGTTCAAAAATGCTCAAACGGAAGCGCAGCAGACAAAATCACATACATTTATGCAGGGTGTTTTTTGTTTTTTTTTGTTTTTCTGGGAATTGATGTCTGAGTTGTGATGCTCGTGCCATGTTTAACGTGCTCAGTGCTTAAGCTCGCTGACAGCTTTATCTTTCTGTAACATTTTGTAATAAATTTGCCCGTTGGGTGGTCTCCAATAATTGATGCCTTTGATTTTGGTCTGATCGGTTCGGCCACATTTGAAATGCAAATGTTTATCGCTTATCGAAATGTTTTCAGCGTTAAGCCTGCCTACGAATCGAACCTTTGCGTTAATGACATGCCCCCCAATCGCAACACACATCGCCTTAGACGAGCGCTCCGATAATGTTTATGGCATCCGGCTGATTGGACAGATTGATAGGTTTTTATTGTGTGGCGTTGGCTCGAATTTTGTATAACCTGTTCTGGCCATGGCTTTTTGGTGCCCAATTGATATGTTAATAACTCAGTTACTCGCTGCTGTCTTTCAGCATCAATTCACGGACGCTACACAAATAAATAAACAGACACGCATAGTTCAACAACAAGTGGCACTTGCGGCAGCATCCCAATGTTATGCATTGTGTGTGGCTGGCTTCCTGGACGGGGCCAGCAAGCAGACAAGAGCGAGAATAGTGAAGGGGTTTTCAGCTTTTCATATTTGTTGATTCATCGCATTTGTTTACGCCTGTTGAAATTCGTGGAAGTTCGTGGGAATTATTGCGTTCAACTGCCACTAAAAATCCCTTCTATATATGTATGTATAATTAAAAAAAGAAAAGAAGAAGAATGCTGCCAACTGCGATTCCTGCGCTGGGCTTCTACGCACTTCCTTTGACGGAAGCACTTGAAACGAGTTCCGGAAAACTATTAACGCCGCCAAATGACAAATGGGCTAACACAACTCAAGGGTTCTCGTAACTTTGGCTTCCCCTTTTTCGCTACTCACTCGCTGCTGTGCGAGTGTTTATGTGTGTGTGTGTGTGAAATAAAATCTCAGTTGGTGGTTGTTCTACACACACAAACACATAAACCCCCCCCGCAGCGACGGTTTCCGTTGCTTTGCCGCAAAACTTTAAAGTTTAGCTTTGGGTTTTGGGTTTGCCAGCGGATGTTTTGCTTGTCATTGCCATTTTCATTTCCATGTTCATTCACATTCACATTCGCAATCGTATTCGCATTCACATTCACATTCACATTCGCATTCGCTATCGTATTCGCAGTGCTGTGTGTGAGTGTTTGCCGCCTGTCTTTGCGTTCTTTCGCCTTTTGTTGTGCTCGTCACATTCGCTGCTGCCAATTCGCCGTCGCCACCCGTTTGTGCTAATTGTTTCCGCTCGCCGCATTGCTTTTTGATTGTTATCGTAATCGATGCCATATTCCGGTTTGCCACTTGGCGTTTCTATGTCAGCCCTCAGCCAACAACAGCCAGCCGTCAACAGTCATCAGCCATTAGCCATTGACCAAGCCGCCGCGCCACACAGTCAGCAAATACAAATGTGGGCCATTTATTTAAATGTAGCCATGGCTTACACTGCTGCTGCTTCTGCTGCTGCTGCTGCTTTTGTTGTTGTTGTTATCGATATGACAGCTGCTTAGTGATTATTCAGCGCTTCCTTTCGTGTGCGATCAGCACCGCCACGCCACGCCCCTCGCCGCACCGCCACGCTTTCCGCACATGCGAACGTCCCATTTTTCGATGGCAACAAGGTCAGATTTAATTTTGCGCTAAAAGAAAAAACATTGCAGCACAGCGAATTTTGAATACCCTAACTGACAAGTTATGCAAAAGGGCCAAGCTACATTAACTTGGCTTTATTAAGTTTTAGTTTATTATATTTGTATAGCGACTCCTCGAGCTGAACATTTAGAGTCTCCGGCGAGTGGAATGACTAAGTTATAATGCTCATTGTCTGATTAAAAAAACACAAATCAAATTGCACGTTGTACAATGCGGCGTATGCGTATTATTGTTGCCGTTGACGCGATTAAACAATTGTCTGGTTGTGAAAGCATTTCCGCCACTTGACTTCTGCTCCATGCACACACACAAACACACACATATACTATATATATAGATACATGCAACGCCGCCCCTCCCTCATCAGCTAATGAGTCACTTCCATTAATCAGCGCCATTTACTATCTTCCATTTTGCAGCTGATTGTCGTTGAGCGCTGAGCGATGCAAGTGGAGGCCAGTTACCCGAAATACGCCGGACGCGTGCCACCGCTCGATCTGTCGCAGGTCAATGCCGGCCAGGATCAACTGCAGCTGCAACAGCTGTGGGCCAGCAACGCGGCCGTTGCGATGAAACGCCATCATCCCTACCAGATGCTGGACAAGTGTCGTGGCGGCGCCGTTGCCCTCCTCAGCGATGATAATAACAATAACACAGGCCTTGCCACTGGCCCGAATAGTCACACCAACCTGCTACATCCCATGGGCTCCGATGGACTGCCACTCGATCCGCGCGATTGGACCCGAGCCGATGTCTGGAAATGGTTAATCAACATGGCTGTGTCTGAGGGTCTCGAAGTGACGCCAGAACTCCCACAAAAGTTCCCCATGAACGGCAAGGCGTTGTGCCTCATGAGCCTGGACATGTATCTGTGCCGGGTGCCCGTTGGTGGCAAGATGCTCTATCGTGATTTTCGTGTGCGACTCGCTCGCGCCATGGCGCTGCTCTCCTAGTTGACGGCAGCGGAGTGTTGTGGGGGGCGAAGAAGTCTCAACTCTCTCTCTGAGTGAATTACCTAATCAGGTTGTACATATACATAGTATATACATACATATATATATATATATAGCACCTATAGCTAACCTAGCGCTAAGCATTTGTCGTAAGTTTTAGTTATAATGAATTTGTTTAATCGCTTAAGTAATCGGAGCTTGCCCCGCCCCCCCATCCAAAATAAACGTGTGGGGGCGGGGCACACTTCAAATACTGTCCTATTAGTTATTTAAGTTGCATCTAATGAAAATATAAAATGAAATTTTATCAAATGAATTGAAAATGTGCTGTTTTCTATTAACTGAAATGGAATGTGAGATCTGGGGATTATAAAGATATAATGAATGTTATATAAGATAAAGAGCTTGAACTATTGCTAGACAACATTTTGACAGGGTATTGATTATGGATAAAAGATATTTGGGTTTTTAAGCTATATTCAAAAGAAATGTTTCTGTAAAGTTTTACGCATGATTTAAAAGAATAATATTTGTATAAAGTATTGCAAACAACTCGAGAACTGATCTTAAAAGAACTTAATGAATTAAACTTTAAATAGATAAAATAATGAGCTGGAACATAGATAAGAACTAAGGCCAGATAAACATTTGGCAAGTATTTATTGCTGCAGATCTTAAGACTGAGTCAGCTTTGTGAGCTGAATTGTAGACAATATTAATCTACGGACTGTAGACGAATAGCTTAGATATCTGTTATCAAATCCAACGGGAATGTTCAATATGTTGATAAAAAAAAGTCTGCAAAATGCAGAGCTAATGAAATTCTTCAGTTCCGGCTTAAACTCATTGATTAAAGTAAACTGAATATAAAGATTAACAGCTGATGCATGCAATTATTTAGAGCAGATTAAACTAAGCACTCTGCTGAAATGAGAGAGTATAAAAATGACTATTATATAGAGCAGATTATACTGCGCACTTTTCTGAAATTATGGATTACAATTCATATTTCTTAAATAATTAACCTAAGCAGCTGTACTAAATTTTTATTTCTCTTCTCTTTTTTTTGAGTGCATATTCTGGGGCCACTTTCTAAGCAATTTCGAAATGAATGGGCACAAGCTGACTCGTCTTTAGTTTGTGTTTAATGTGCTGTTTATGTGTGAGCCACACACACACACACACACATACAGCACATATATGTAGATATATATATATGTATATGTATATAAGAGAACCACAAAGCGACGCATTGACATGTTGAATATGGTTGCCCAATTAGCACATCATTAAGGTTAAACGAGAAATGCTCTCAGACTATGGCGCTGCCGACTTCTCTCCGTCCTCACCCCTCCTCTACCCTTTTCCCATCCCCTCAACAACAAGAAAAACTCAATGGAAGTGCAATAAACTCTTTGTTATTGTTGGCAAAGGAGAAGTTAATGTTAACATTTGTTTAAGTTCGTCGATAGATCACCCATGATGTTTATTTTTAGAGAGAGGCGTGATTTATGTCTACCAGTTGAAGGGGAAGGGACGAGTGTGGGGGGGGGGGGGAGAGATACAGTTCATAGCAGTTTGTTAATTGTGTAGTAAATAATATTTGGCAATTTGCAGCCAGCTGGCAAAAAAGGTTAGATAACCCGAAATGAACACTAAAAAAGGGTTGCTCAGCTTGTTTTTTTTTTATAGATCTTCCTTTGTTTTTCATATATATTTATTTTGCAAACAACAGTTGAACAATTATGACAACAATGACGAGGTAATGATAATCAGTAGCGGTAGCCAAATAGAACCCATGCTTGGACAGAGATAGGGCATTAGAAAGAGAGATAGAGATAGATGAAGGGGGTGGGTGCGAGAGAGGTTGCGAGATAGATGCTGATTCAAGCGCTTCATCCGCCCGTGCATCCGCTCGTTTGGCTCTTTTTTTTTACTTTTTTCTATGAATGAACAGCTACTGCTACAGCTACAGATACAGATACAAAACACTGTGCGTTGTCTCTTCCTGTATGCCTACCCCGCCTACCCCGCCTGCCTCCACACTCCCTTTAGCTCATTGTCGCTGCTGTTGCTGCTGCTGCTGCTGTTGCTGCCGCGGCTGCTGTTGCTGCTGCTGCTGCTGCTGTTGTAACTTTGGAACTTTGCATTTAGTGCAGTTTTATAAATTTGTCTGTTTTCTGTTTTTAATTCTCTCTTTAGTTGAGCATCCGGGATGTTGTTTGTGCACACACAAACAGCGCCGGCCCAAAAGGTAAAGGAAGTGAGACAAATGGGCCAGCAGTGGCAGCAGCAGCAACAACAACAACAGCAACAACAGCCAGCAACAACAGCCAGCAACAACAGCCAGCAACAATAATCAGCAACAACAACATGGCAAGTACTTTGTTTGTACCTTTCACAGCTACCTTGTAATATGAAACAGATGTCGTGGCCACAGAACTCAATTCAAAAGACCAGCCAGGCAGTTAGTCGACCTGCCACATGCCACATGCCGCATGTGCCAAGCGGCAGCAACAGCTGACACCGTTTGCCGCACACAAATTTACTCAATAAGCAAAGAAGCAACATATTGACACAAGTGTAAGCTATCAAACAGACGTCTTGTGGCACACAGATCTGTGGAAATGCGGAAAATTCTTTGCATGCAATGCTCTCTGCTCAATTTAGTGTTGCAATAGCTGAAAGAAAACATTTGTATAACTTAGTTTTAACTATCGATTGAGTTAGAAGTTGCTGCAATGGACGTGTTGCCAACAGTCCATTTTAAAAGAGATTTTTATAGATATCGGGAGTTTTATATATATTTGAAAGAAAAATACTTTAAATGAGTTGTTACCTTTAAATTAGACCTAAAAAAACAGTAATCAAATAATTAAAATTACATCCCAAGCACTGACTCAAGACAAGTTAACAAGCTACGAAATAAGTTAAAATTGTATTTAAACATTTAATACTTTTTTCAATGAGTGAATATTAAATTTGATTTTTCTCTGTATAATATGTTAAATGTTTTAAATCAAAATCTGCTATTTGAATGCACGCCAAGGAGATGACATCGACAGATAGATAGAACGAGAATATTTCCGGGTGATCGGAAATGGACTCTTAACTCAGTGACCAACAATCAATCGGCTTTCAAATATAGAAATGTCGATTTTTCCATCAATCAATCAATTAATTTTGTAATCTCAAGTTTGACGCTGCGAATGCGCTTAGCAAAACAAAAGCGGCTAACGTGAATAAATCGTCGGATGGCCGGAAAATATACTGTAGGAAATGCCGCTTATGTAAAGTAGAATATCCGCCGGCATCGATGGCGTCGACCGATCGCGACCCGAGCGCCAAACGAACGGAAGGCGAGGTGCGAAAACAATAAAAGCCGAACGGAAGTGGAAGCGAGTGACGGTTCCGTACAATTGTCATCATCATCATCATCATCATCATCATCATCATCTTCATCATCATCATCATCATGATCGCCATCATTCGGTGCCACTGGACTCGAGCGCTGCAACAGATTTTTGCCAATTCGTTTGAAATAGTTTTTCTCCCGTTTTTCCGGCCTAGAATCTTTTTACCATTTGTGTGCCCGAAATTCTTATAGGAAATGACTTAACTAAATTGTGAGCCACATCAATTCGGTGGCTCAAGTGGTTGAGCTGGCTGGCATTCTGACACAACTATCCACATAGACACACACACACAAAAAAAGAAAAAAAAGCAGACGCTAAACGAAACACAAACATTGTATGTGGGTTGGGGAGAGGAGTGGCGGGGGCAGCGGTGGAGCTGGTATTGTGCAATTGAGAGTCTTGGGGCAGCCGGCTTTTTAATTAGTTCATTGGCAGCAGCAGCGGAATGGGCGCGATATTTCCCACGAACTCTGAAATCGACGGGGTAAACAAATGAAATGAATCAACAAATATGAAAACATGTAAAAGGGGTGCTACAATTGGGGGAATGCGACTAACAGATACCCTATATAAAAGGTACATAAAGAAGCGAAAAGCGAAGTATAGTGATAGATAGATAGATCTAAAAAGGGGGCTAAATGTACTCAGAGGGTCATAGATATATAGAACAAGCTAAGCATACAAAGTGAGGTAAGTAAATAAAAAATTGTAGAGCCAGAGAAGGACGAAAGGAAAGACAGGAAGTTCTTCTGAAAGATATACATATATATATATATATATATATATATGTATTAAAGGAGGAAGAGGGAGTGTTAACAAAATGAACTGAAACTGAAAGAGTACAAAAATAGAGAGCTATGGAGAAATTGCAAAGCAGAGAGAGAGAGAGAGAGAGAGAGATTGATCCTTCATCTGTCCAATGTCTTGAATATAAGTATGTATATATTATTTATTTTGTATATATATATGCTACACACTTGCTAATATGTACAGGGTATTTTTATGAAACAGAAACAGCAATTGTAATGTGAAAAACTCAACTCTGCCCCGCTGTGGAGCCACACACAAAGAGCGGCTGCCCGCTTGGAAGCTGCCCCAAAGATGGGCCACTTGTTTAACGGGCCGCGTTGTTGATTCATGTATTTGTATTTGTTTATGTGAAGTTTAGGGAAATCGCTGAGGTATTAACATTTAGATTGGTCATTGGAGAATGTCGCCTGCAGTTAGCCATGGCAACAGAGGAAAGATTGTGCCAACCCACGCCACGATAAAAACCCATCAGTGGGTACATCTTTTAGACGGCACGACACTTCCATTTGTTGAATCAGTTGTGCAGCGGATGCCATAAATAATGACAACTCTGGCCGAGACACGATTTGTAAGGCATATCATTAGCACGGCCCAAGCTTCAACTCAACTCAAGTTCGTCGCACCGTCGATTAGCGATTAACGATACACAATTTCCATTTCAAATGCTGGATAACTTCGGGGGGCTGCTCTGCGGGCGTTCTACTTATACAAGACTACAACAGACTAGGGAATTGATTATTTCATTTCGATTCTGGGGACTGGGGGCTTGCTGTGGACCACCCGTTCAGTGTATGAGGCAATAGACGGCATTGCCAACTTCCGGCCCGCATTAGATGGAGGCAATAAAATGTTTAGAGTGCAGCTCACACTTGGCCCCAAAAATAATGGATTCCAATGAGCACTTGAAGTTCAGTGGGTTTCTCACGCCCACGCTGCGCTCTGGCCAGATTGCCATGAGAAGGGAAAAGTCAAAAGCTGTGTGAAATGTGTTCAAGAAAACGCGAGGCAGAATGCGACTAAGACGAAGAGAGACGGTCGAGAGAGAGAGAGAGAGAGAGAGAGAGAGAGAGAGAGAGAGAGAGAGAGAGTGGGAAACACTGGGCAACAACTGAAACTGTCACTCAGAGAAAACAAGTGGGAGAGAAGAGAGCATTATGCATATAGTAGAATGAACTGATTGCTACACAGAACACGACAAGTTCATGGGAACAAAAACTCGGCGTTTTAATGTAGTCAAGTGTAAAGAACCCAACGCCTTCTCCCTTCTCCCTTTCCTTCACTCCGTCTCCCCCTCGCTGCCCGGCTACATCAACTTCATCCTCATCCATCTTCAGCTTCATTGTTTCGTTTTTTTCTTGTTGTTTTTTTTTTTTGTCTTGTTGAGGGCACAAGTGCAGAGCACAGCGCTAAGCATATAATAAATAATGCCTGTAATATAATATAACATGTGTGTGAAATGAGTGCGTTTTTTTGTTCTTTTTGACATTAGAGATTTGTGGTTAAAGTGACACAGGATTTTATGGAGAGCAGCTTTAGTTGAATCCACAATGTGTTGAAATCAGGCATAAGTTTTTTGTCGTATTATATGATAGACTAGCTGAAGCTATGATAAGCGAGAAGTAGGATGTGTTGCCAGGATTGGAGTATTATATTATCATATATCTTATAGCAATCATAAGATCTAGTTCTATTTTTTATTTTTGGTATATAGAAAAGTAAGCTCTGCTTATGTGGTCTACATAACTTTATCAAAACTGCATAGATTCATAGATAAAAGCAAGGCTTTGTAATCTATATTAATACTGCATTTCAATAGAGAAATTCCTGTTGAAATTCTAACTCAAAAAAATCCATATTGTTTACGGTTTCAAGCTAGCCACTGCCTTTGTCAAAAGCACATGGATTTATCTGTACTGATTACATTACTGATCCTTCTTTTGCGAGTATCTTTTTCTACATCAAGTACACAGTTGGGGTTTTCCTTTATCCATTATGCTTGAGATTGCGGATACATGTCGACTCTTGAGGCATAAATAAGCCTTTATGCTGATGGACAGGCATGCATTTATAAATATATAAATAAATAATCGTATAAGGAATGAAGATACCACAATGTTAACAACGATCGCTGTGTGGGCGTATCATCACTTTCAATTTTTTTGTGGCCGACTCGAGTCGTGTTGTGGCATTCAATTTGACTGACACTCGACGCGTTGCACGTTGCCTGCAGTTTGCTCCCTGTTTGCTGTTTGCTGTTTGCCGCCAGCATAGCCAAATCGAATTGTGGCTAGGAATATATAGTTGGCTAGAAGGGAGTGCGCAGAGCTGCTTTTCTGACTTTTGTCTGCGACTTGTCTGCCAAACGTCGACGTCTGCGAGGCTTCCGTTTCCTGCGCATAAATTTTAATGAGCCAGGAACGACCGACGAAATATCAATTGAAATAAGTGAGCAAAAAAAAAAAAAAAACCAGAATGAATAAATGAAAAATAAATACAATAAAACAGGCGGTAGGCCAGCCTTGACTTTGGGCAACAAAGTCACGGCAAATGTTGGCCAATAAATAAGCAGCAGCCAACCAACCAGCCAACCAGTTTTCGCCAACGCAGGTGAAAACTGAATGAGGAAAAGCAACGACAAAGGCAACGGCGAAAGGCACATCAAAAAAAAACAACTTACACACAAAATGCATTTTTGGATGCGGCATTTACTTGCTTTCCCGAGCGTTAAATTCACAGATATGCGAAAAACTTAAAACGGACAATAGAAAAACAAGAAATTATCTACCTAGCCTGGGCACCTCGAAGTTTACATACTCTACACTTGCAAAAAAATCAAACTTAACTATAGAAAATCGTCGTACTTTTGGAGCCAAGGTTAGCTCAGGTTATTATTGAGAAAGTATATTTCTAAAACGGTAGGTTCTCTTACTAAGAGCAAGGATACATTTTTCTAAAATGTATTAAAAATATGTCTAATTTAAAGTTGTATTTTTTATATGTACACGTTAACTTTTTTCTTACTTCTTTTAGTATTAAATATCTTAAGTTTTAACATTTTTACATATTTTAAATTGAAAAAACCATCGATTTTACGGCAATTTATTTGCGTATTGAGTGAGTTTGCATTCTGATTATAGGATTTCCACTTATACTTTTTGAAATGTTTTCTAGTATTAAGAAATTCTAGTTCCTATCCGACTCTAATGACTCCGTTCAAAGCATAAAGAGGAATTCCCAGTTTCATCAAGATGAAGCCTTACAGCCGAGTGACTACTTCGCATAAAAACAATCAAATATAATTAGCTATAATGAGATTAATTTTGTTGCTTACAATGAATATTCAAATTCATAATTTGTATTTATCTTATCTAATATTCCTAAGAAGTTGTATGTGTAAACAAGTTCAAATTGAATTACTTTACTTATTAACTGTACTTATTAAAATATAAATTAACTATTACTGTATTTATTAATGTATACTTTACTTTATTATTCGAAATAGAGCTTTAAATGTGAGAATAAATATGAGTTTATTTTCAAAGTTGACGATTGAGATTACATTTTCTTTATTATTATTTGAGAGTAGGGCTTATGAGATCGAAGATGTCCCCTTTAGATGTGTATTAAACACTGCACAACAACTTTGTAATACCCCCTGCCAGGGTATGCAACAAAATTGCAATCGAAACTAGTTTTTCTGGTTCGGCGCATGGCCAGCAACAACCAAAACGACGCCGACGACGACGACGACGACTACGACAGAGACGGATTCTCTGTGATAACAACAATTGCAATTGCTGGCGGCGCATGCGCAACTTGGCGACTGGAGACTCGCGAGACTCGCGAGACTTGCGAGACATTTAAGGAATGTTAATTGCGCAAAAAAGTAGGGGAGAGAAAAATGGTAGAAGAAGTGCCACAACACAGTGAGAACATATCGCGTGATTGTGATGAATATAATGGCAACAAAGATGGGTGTCTCAGTATATATGATACCATAATTATGAGCTGTGTTTCGCCGCGGCTCGCTGCCTGCCTCGGCACTGCCTGTAAGCGTAGACAGTGTTCCCTGGGTTGGGCGTTGGTGGGGGGTTTAAATAAACAAAGCCATCAGCAGAGCACAAATCGTACACGCTGCTCGTATTATAAGTCGTCGACATTCTTGCACTTCTTGCGTGCAAAATGAGCCAGCACAAATGCTAGAAGCTGCCAACAAAATAGAATTAGAGTTTGTATCTGTATCTGTATCTTTAGTTGTTGCTGTATCTGTGTATGTTTTTGCGTGTCTGTTGTTCTTTATTGCAAGAAGAACAAAAGTGTTCTGTTTCTGAATGACCCGACGCGCAGTTACCCTATACAAGTAGAGCTTTAGATTGAAGTACTTCATCTTCTTAAACACATAATACAATTTTGGAATTTATCGCAAATCAAAGAGACAGCAGTCGAAACTCTTTCGTAGTAATCTTTCTATATTCTCCGATTAGCGGGGATCAAAGAAATTTAATTCAAAAAGTTGTTTTGCATAATAAAATTGGCATGACCAAAATCAAAAATCCTAAAAATTAGAGGTTATCACATAAAACTCTGGATTATAGCCAAAGTCGCAAAGATATCAAAATGCATAATGACGGAAAATAAAGTTAAAAAAAACAGCTAAGTCTTCCATGAAAGTTATGGAAAATGTTGGTAGAAAATGTAGAGAAAAATGTTGCTGAAAGAATTAAAGTTGCTCGGACTTTCTTTAAGAAAAAGGTAACTGAAAGTATTAAAGTTCTTCCAGCTTTCAAACTTACTTTCTTCAAACTTTCAAAATATGTTCATAAAATAGTAGTCGTAAATCGAAATTGATCAATTTTCTTTGGTCTTGTGCCGGCTGTGCAATTTAACAACTCACATATAAAACTGATTTGTCTTTGAGATTGCCGCTTTTATATTTTTTTAATATATTTATGGAGCAAAAGTTACATTCGTCTGCGTGTCATTAGGAGTATTTCACAATACCCTGCTTCACACATTTTTAATGGGTAAATGGATAGAAAGAACAACACAGACTTGGGGTCTTGGGTGTTTGGTCGCAGTCAGTGGAGCGAGCAAGCCATACGGAAGCCATAAGCTGCACACTGTTTGCTGGTTGTTGCTGCTGATGTTGTTGATGTTGCTGCTCTTGGACGACCATCGTCTGGAAGATTTCTCTGCTCATGTTTCGGCATTTTGTGCGCTGGGCTGTTGAACCCATGGCGGAAAGGCGCTCGAGCGTGCGCAAAAGGTGGTCGGCCCTGTTATGGGTCGCATCTGGAATGCGCAGTGAAAATGAATTGATCAGCAACATGCTCAAGGATGCAAAAAGTAGCCAAATCAATCAGCCAGCTGCAAAAATTATGAATTCTTGATGCGTGCAAATCACCCAAAATTGCAGGAAGCGAAAGGGGCACACAGAGAATGAGAGCACTTGCCGAAAATCATTCAATTATGTTTTGTACACGCCACTGGCAACCACAGCAGCAGTCGCAGCCGCAGCAACATCAACAACAGTAACAACTACAACAACAAGGATTTGCTGTCAGAATCCACAGCTGCATCAATAAGGGGCGTGTGCATTGGTAACAATTACGCAAGCAGTTTGGGATTAAAACGCTGAAGCACTTGTTGTTGCTTAAGGTCAGCCAGTTGCTTATTTATGAGGGTATGCAAAGCAGTCGTTCTGCTGTCGGTGCCCTAAAAATCAGTATAAGCAAATGGGGTCACGCCCCTAGGCCGTTTAACCAAAAATATAAGCTGTATATGCTAATTTAAATTGCGCAGCACAAATTGCGCCTATTTATCGACTAATTTTAGTGGCAGCTATAACATCAGCATTATTCAGCTTAACAGCGGGCTGTTAAATTAACATTTAAAAATGCTTATCGTTCTATCGAATATATCGACTAGTTATTGAACCGAACTGAGACAGCTGCGAGACAATTTTTCTCAGAAAAAATGCGTACAACGTAAACAAGACGCAATTAAAACAAAGCAAAACAAACAAAAACACGTCAACACAATTTCGAGCCAATGAGTATCGAGTCATATCTGCACTCCCTCAACACGACCCTACAGACTTTCGCCGAACAAGTCCAATACTTCACTGGCGTCGCTCTGCAATCCGTCGTTCATTTTCGCACCGAATTCGATACCCTAACTGGTGACTTGCAGTGGCAGAGTCCCGTTGAATTTACGGCATTGCAGGCAACGCTGCTGAAGGTTTTGCTGGTGCTGCTGCTGGGCACGGGTGTGCTGATTGCCTGGTCGTGGAGCGTCTACGGTCAAGTGATCACCGAGAAGTTTGTCAGGCCAAGTAAATAGAAATTGATCAAAATATTCTTTGAAAGGATATGCTCAACGACTAATTATTGCGTCGGGTTTTAGGCACTTTGAAGGAAATTGAGGAGCTTAAATTATCTGTGGCCAAATTGAAGCTGCCCAAGGAGCATTCACCCCGAATCTAAGCATGTCGAAAATCAAGCGTTACTTTTCCAAAAAGAAGGAGGAGGCCGCCTTTAAGGTGAGAGTTTTACCATTTAATAGTAAACCATCCGATGTAAAACCTAGTGTTATTTGTAGTTAAGAATCGGGCGTGGCATGGGCGAGGGGCATAAGCTGAATGCACCCAAGTCGGAGGCATCGACAAGCGGCTCGAGGCAGAGCAAATTTGAGGCATATGTGCCGCCCAAGCGAAATGAGTTGAGCAACGAGGCGCGTGCCGCTGCAGCTGCCGCCTTGTCGCGCATCGATCGCAAGGATTCGCGAGAGTTCAACACGTCGCTGGCAGCGATCAAGGCGCAGGCGAAACGCGAACTGGAAGCGGAACGCCGCCAGAAGGAGGAACTGCTCTCCAGTGCAAGTGGTTCGACGTCTGCCAGCTCTTCAACAGGTGGCAGCAGTGGCGAGAACAAGAATCTCGCCTGTCGGGGCGTCTTTTTTCGGTGTCCGCTTATCGGCGAGGAGGTGCTGCCCAAGAAGGAGTGGAAGATTAAAATCAAGGAGTTTCTCTACCAGCAGCTGGAGGCCGAACGTGGCCTGACCGCCTGTTTGATCATCCAGAACTGTAATGTTAAGGAGCGGGCAGACGATTGCACTGCTACATTGACCAAGTATCTGGAGAACATCATTAAGAATCCTGAGGAGGAGAAGTTCTGCAAGATACGCATGACCAATAAGATCTTTAGCGACAAGGTGCGCTACGTTGATGGTGCCTTGGATGTGCTCCATGCCGCTGGCTTCAGTGAAGTGCAAATCGATGATGAACCCTTCCTCTTGTGGAGCAGTGAGCAAATGGAAGAGGGTCTCGACTTGGCCACATTGGTGGACGCACTTAAGAACTCCGAGCCCATACATCTGGAGCTGGATCGCAATATTAAAGTGTTGTTGCCATCGCAGGCGCGTCGCGTCGTGCTGCCCGATGATTTCTATCGCATCTCGCCGGAGGAGATTAAACGGGAGCAACAGCTGCGCGCCGAGGCCATCGAGAGCTCCCAAATGCTGAAGACCAAGGCGATGCGAGAGCGCGAGGAGCAACGTAATTTACGCATGTATCGCTACTCCCTGGTCCGGGTCAAGTTCCCCAATGGTCTCCTTATACAGGTGAGTCAACGGATCTATTTTAAAATGGTCAAAACATTTAGTATATATTCTTAATAATATCCAGGGCACCTTCAACGTTTACGAGAAGATCGCCGATGTATTTGAATTTGTGCAATCTTGTCTGGCGGATGAAACGCTTGAATTTAATCTGATCGCCAGCAGCGAAGGCAAATTTAACGAGGAGGACATGGAAAAGACCTTATACGACTGCAAGTCAGTTTTGAAAATTTATTCACTTTGTTTTATATATATTTATTTAATATTTGTAATCTTTTGCAGACTCATTCCAAATGTTCTACTAATTTTTGCTGTTCCAGCGATTCCATCTTCGGGCGCAGTTGATGTAAATTTCTTGAAGGAGGATTTGCTGATGCTGGTCCAGTCCATGTAGAGATCCCTTATATAATCGTTTTTCTATTCAACAGACGATAAAGCATAAAGGCGGCGCACTATGTCCACCCGATTTAAGTTGAAAATGTGTTGTTATTATTTATTGCTATGTATTCGAATGAAATAAAATCACCTGATTCGAAACTACAACAAATGTTACATATTCTGTTAAAAAACAGCAATACTCTCTTAAAGGGTATAGGATTGGCTGGTCTTGTGAAATATTTAGCAGCACTGTTAGATATCATGCTCCAGCTGTTAACGCAATTTGAGCCGCATGAAGTTGGCTGCACCACACTAAGCTGACAGTCGTTTAGTTGAAATCGACTGACCGCCACAGTTTGTTAACAGCAACAGCTGTTTAGTAATGTGGTCACACAACGCCGCACTGAACTGTTTAACGTGATATTGCAACTAACAAATAAAAATTAGATAAATTAAGAGTGGCTATGAGCTTCAAATCTAAAGTATAATTGGTGCTACAAAAAAGGTGTACGTGAATATATACGAATTTATTAATGATATGCAAAAACGCAGGTAGGTCCCAACGCTCAATAAACCAAACAATAACAAACCATCAATGCTTTGTTTTCAATGCAATTTTATGACGCATGTGTGAGTGCAAGAAAAAGGCTCTTCAAATTGATAATTTTCCAATAAATAATGCTGGCATGTGAAGTGCGTGGGTGTGCATAATTAATGGCTGCTTTCGAGTTGGTTGCGTGCAGCAGCAGCATCAGTGATCGCTCATTACCAAATTTATTGGGGGTAAACAAAAGAGCTGTAATTTGTAATGCGTTGTTAATTAAGGCAAAAGGGCGCCCTTTATTACCGTTAACTAGGCAGCAATCTCCCTTTCTAAATGTGGGCCACCAAATGACACCAGCACACACACACAAACACACACATACATGCATAGAGTTAGATGCATTTGTATTTCATGAATCCATTTCGCCGCGCTTGCTTGCATGAAAGCAACGGTAAAAGAAGCCTTCAATCGCTGCTCATTCCAAGCAGGCAGTTCGGCAATTTGGCGCAAATCTTTCAGGCCGCAAGCAAGTTGATCTTGGGAAAAGTAAATAGCGAAAATCCAACTAAACTTAATGAATCTTTTGCGGCTGCATTGCCAGCTAAATTAAATCGAACGGCGACCCACAATCGACGGCCAAATCGAAAATTTGGTAAGAAAAAAGTTTAGACACGCAGCTAGGCTTCTTGGCCATCGCATAAATTGGCCTGAACCAATGTTTTTTTGTTTGTGCTTGCCTGGCTGGTTGGATGCCTGTTTGCCTGGCCCATTGTTAACGCTACTTATTATGGCCATGGGATCTGGGCCTTGACCAGAGGTGCATAGATAGATTAAAGAGGGAGAGAGATATAGGAGGGGGATCGGGATGAGGAGATAGTGGGTTCAGTTCGGGGTTCGAGTGCGTGAGATATGCATTATTTATCTAACTAAAAAAATGTTACTTATTTCTGCTGCAGCAGTAGCATCAGCAGCAGCTTCTACTCTCCACTTCCTGGTCCCTGGCAACGTCGGCAGCTGTGGCATTCTTAATGCTATACTCACGAAGCTAAGGCGGCATGTAAGAAACTGCGTATTAAAACTGCATTATCCTAATGGAATCTCGTAATATCTCGCAGTTAAAATCGCTTACATCGATAGAAACTTTATAATTCCGGCAATTTGAAATGTAGTTAAAGTTTACAGAGTCTATATGTGTATCTAAAATTAGTAATATCGGTTGTATTATGCATTTGTAATGGCTATTTTTGACTTATTGCGTTATTAAATTATTTTGTTTTCCTTTAATTTAATGCATAAATATTATACTTTATCTATAATTAATTAATTAATAACGTAGACTAAGAGCTCAACCAGGTATTATCAGCAAACATGGCATAGAAACAATCAATTCCATAAAAGTTTTTAAATTTGGGGTGGATGTAAGAGCTATATAAAGCCACTAATAATAATAAAACATTTTATTTTCAACTTAATTTCGCTTTTAGCTTTGTTTTTTTTCCTCTGTAGACTTTCGTTATTTCTCATTAACAAATAAATAGGGAAATAAAAAAGTATATTTGACTATTAACTTGCCACATCTTACAGTTTCATGGTAATGATTCTTTGCTTACAGTTTTAGAGCCACTAGACACATAATAGATAAAGTACCTTTCCACCTGTTATTCGAGACTCAAAAACAGCGTATGGGAAAGTCTTTAACATGCCACTGCCAGATTCCAGCTTGTTAAGCATCTTCTTGGCTAGATATAGAAATTGAGCCTTTACTATTTAGGACATATGTTGTTGTTGTTGTTGCTGTTGCTGTTGCACGTGCCACAGTAATGCAGATGGCAACCTTTTGGCCCAGTGGCGTATCGCTGGAGCGCTGATTGAACGATTCGGCCAAAAAAGATCATCACCTGTGCGCTGAGCCGCTGCCCATGCCAAAGATGATGAGGTGCAAATTGTTGCTGCCATGAAATTGCAAATCAACTATACACACGGCGAGCTGCCTCTCGCTGCTACTACCACCTACCAACTACCACCTACCCCTGCCCTCAATTCATTGAAAATTGTTTACACAACTACAAAAAGCGCCTTGCCAAATTGCAAATCGAATTCACCGACAACCGACAGCCGACAGCCAGCTCTCTCAGCTCTGACGCCTGACGCCTTGATTTGTTTTTGCGGTTGTTTGCCACAAACAGAAGAAATAAAAAACACACACACATACATACAGCTACAACAACAAAAAGAGTAGTGGCAAATAAGAGCCGCAATTTCGAGCGCGCCCTTTAACAAGCGTTTAGTGTGCGCGCCTGCGCCTGCTCCCATCCGGCCCTCCACTCCCCCATCCACCTTCTGCTCGTGGCAGCCACCTCGTGACCCGTTCCCAGTGCCCCGAAATTGATGTTGCCGTTGCTATGTAATGGTTAAATCGGTTAGAACCAAAACCAAAGCCAAAACCCAAAACCCAAACCCCATAGACCCGACACGCAAGCGCCCTGCATTTACATATTTCTGCCTGCATTTGAACTCCTGACCCCCCCTCCCGAGCTGAGTGAATGCAACAACAGCAGCAGCTACGAGTTCCGTAACTTGCAACATTTCAAACAGCAGCAGCGGCAGCCGCAGCAGCTGCGTCAGCTTCAAAACCAAAAAAAAAAAAACGGAAATACTCGGCGGTCTGTCACAGAGAAACCCTTTGCTTCAATTAGCACTTTTGAACTTGACAACACTCACAAAGCACACACAATAGCGATGAGTGCTTTGATGACTTTAAAAAGTGCTTGAAAATAGTGAATTTCATAATATATAATTTACAAATCTAACTACGAATTGAAAATGGTCGCAAATATTCATATAATTGTTATTATACAATTATGTCTGAAAAAACAGCATTTATTTAGTTTGTAAAAAGGTGTCAAACTTTATTTAAACGATCTAAATTCAGAAGCGAAACTGACATTTTTCAAATGATTCAACATTTTTTATGAATCATAAAATATAACTGCTTAAGTTGTTGTCATTCTTATTATTATTACTAGGGGGGAAAAACTGCACCGCGACCTATTAGATCTATTGTGCCCCCTTCTGAGCTTATAGCTCTTCCATCAGCCCCAACTCCCGCACGAATACGAGGATCTTTGTTGGGTTGAGGTCTTCTATGTCTTTGCATTTCAAAACATGCGCCCCTAGAAGGCTGCTTCTTCTTCTAGCTAAGGCGACACACTCTGCCAGGATGTGTATCGAGGATTCCTCCTCTCTTTCACAAAACCTGCATAGGTCGCTACTATTGCTGTCATTCTTACTTGTTTATAGTGTTTTCAAACTTTTATCTTGAACCGGTAAAAGTGCAGATCTGAATATCAAAGATAATTTAAAATAAGAAAATAAGATTATTTTCGGCAAGCCGAGGAATATATATAACTTCATTGACCGGAGTTAATCTGCTGATATGTTTCGGATTTCAGTGTGAATATATTTATAAAAAATATATAAAAAAAATCGTAGCATTAACCGGAATCTTAACACTTTACACTCGGCTCGACATCCTGATTAGTAAACAATGTGTATATTGGCCTTTTATATGTCCAGCTATTACATTATCCCTAATTGGTCGTATATCTTCTGTCTATGCGATTTACACGAAGTCAATGTAAAACTCTTTGTAAAAAGCCTTGTTTGACTAAACTAATAAGAAACACTGATCTCTCCACTTGTTCTCTTTCCAAGTCTTCAAGTTACTCCTTTCCCGCTTATCTTTATTCTAAGAAATTTAGAGCAATTTAAGTAAGTCTTAACTTCTAAGCAAACTTTTTGCTTCTTTTGATTGTCTTATAAGGCAGTCTACACACACACACCCATCGCTAAAAGAAAAGGCAAAAGATGAGCAATTTGTAATCAAGAAGAACAACTTCCGGTCAACAATTATTGCTGATGTCGTTTTTGTTTTTTTTTTTATCATTTGCCTCATTGAACGAATTAAATGCTGTTTTCATTTTATGAATGAATGAAAATCTTGTCATCGCATGGCATCGTTGTCCTCCCGCCCAACCCATCCCCCACTTGCCCCATCTCTGTTTGTTTGTCGTATCACGCGCTGCGCCACATCATTCGCGCCCAATTAGCGCAATCAAGTGGATGCCACCAAGTGCTGTAAATCCCCACTGCATGGGGTGTGGGGTGCACTCCCCCGTCCCCGTCCGCACCCCCGCTCCCGCCTAGACAATTACTCAGCCTCATGGAATAAAAAATAAAAATAAAAAATCTACGCAAAAGTTCACAGCTTGATAAGATTAATTGATGGCATCAATAGTTGCGCCTTCCTTTTTTGTTTTTTGCATCTCCTCTCCCCGCTTGCCACTTTAAGTTGCAGCAGTCAATTTCAAATACATTTGTAATTTGTCAAATTTGGTAGCAAGCAGATAAATTAATTTTGGCATCGATTTGATCGCTTGTCTCCTGGCCATTTTGCATGCACACACACGCACACACACACAAACACACACTCGCACACACACCCAGGCAGCGAGTGTGGTGTCTCATTTGGTTGTTGGCCAAGAAGAAACTGCTGTAGCTGGCTTTTGGCCATTGTAAATGTGCTTTAATGACCATTGGTCAGCAAATCTCATTTTTTGTCGCTGCCGACATGGACACGACATGGACCGCCTGCTGATACACACACACACACACACACACACACACACCCAATGCTGGTTACCAAATAGTCGTAACTGGTACCTGCCCCAAACGAAAATAATGACCAGTGTCCACATGGTGCACATTTGCACATATTTTGCCCATTTTCCTGATTTTCCTTACCTATTTTATCTTTATCTCCATCTACAGCTCACTCCCTCTCTCCGTCCTCACACTATTTGCATTTTCAACACCAAAAACGAAAGAAAAAAGTGAAAAATAAGAAGAAAAAGTTTACAATTGGCTTTTCTCCAAGTTGGTCGTCAGTTGAAAAATGACATTACAAATTGCGCACATTTGTCTAATTAAATCCCTGCTCCAATAACGAGAGATCTTAGATTACAATCTCACAGCGGTGCGTAATGGCTTTGGTCAGTTGGGGTCCACAATTTGTGGTTCTCCCTCTCTCTCTCTCTATCTCTATCTCTATCTCACTCTTCTGGTTAGTTTTTGGCCAATAAAGTTGGCAATTGTTCAGGTGGCAGCTTGCTGAAAATGTGCTTAAATTTTGATTAGTTTGCTGAAATAAAAATGGTAGTAGCCTTTGGGAACATTTTTATGTTGATTAATTTTAGAAAATCGCAATAATTTTGCTATTTTGTTTTATTTCTAAACCCGCAGGTTGTGATTTTCTAATCACGGTTTTTCTTATCCTAATTCTGGGTATTTTTTTTTCTAAAATTAGGTAAAATATGTCTAATTCCCAGGGTGTTTTTTAGATGTATTCACAAAACTTAAATTCGATTTTTTGTTACTTATTATATTATTATTATAAACATTACAAATTAACTATAACTTGTTGTTTTTGTTTGTTAATTCGAAGTGGATTTCATTAGGTTAATTAGTTGGCCATTTATTTTTAAGCTCAAATTGAAGTACTTATTCAAAATTTTATTATTTGTGGTTCTCTTTATAATATTTAAGAGAATTTTACGGGGCTCATTAAAGTTGCAATTCTATTCATTTTGTTTACAAGTTTGAGATAAACATTAACTAATTACACAAATTAGTTTCATATCACGAAATATTTAAATAGTCATTAGGTTTCAGGAAAGAGGAGGTGTTTTTAACTCCCCCTTCCTGTGTGCTAGCCACACATTTTCTTATCTCTTTGACTTAAGATAAATAATCAATAAAACCCAATTTGATTGAAATGATATACAAGAAAGAAATTCTTATATTTCTCAGAAAACAGACTAAACAAAACGTAAGCTTTCAGAATAATTCTCAAACAGTTCAAGTTTCAATTGAGATGTTGAATCACTCAATTGTTATTTGTTACTCATAGAAAATGTAAGTAATTCCTTCCTGTTACAGACTATAAACTATTGTATATATTATATTGTAAATTGATATAAGAATTTAAAATATAGTTGCAAGACTAAGCCAAAAGTTTTAAGTAAGCTTTTGCTTATCTATAATTAAGTAATAGATGGCATTTTTAATGCATTATTCCTCCACACAGTGCTGCCAACTTTGGAGTTAATCCGCAACCCACTCGATGGTCATCTAATATCGATTGAATATATATAATTTATTTGCCCCTCTCGTCGTGGCTTGCCTCATAACTCCCGAAATAGGGGCTCGAGAGTTTTAAGTGGCCCTCGCTGGCATTTAGTTGTGTGCTTCGTGGTACATAAAATGTTTGCTGCTGACCAATTAGAGCTCATCGACTGGCTGGCCAAATGCAACCCCAAAGCTGGACGCAGGGCGAGCACAGCGCACAGAATATACCTAAACGAATGACCGCAAAACAGCAGCAACAACAGTAAAAGTAACACTGCACCAGCATCTAATAACATTTAGTAAAATATTGAAAAATAAAATAATAATAAGCCGCAGCAACGAAGGCAAAGCAACTCAACTCAACTCAACTCAATTGCAGCGCCACTCAACGAACTCAATGAGCTCAACTTGTGTGCTATCAGCTGCCTGATTTCCTGACTTCCACTCAGTTAATCTCACTCAACTGATAATAGCACGTGTTGCTGCATGCTGCCATCTCTTTCGCACGTGCATGCAGAGTGCAGTGCATTAAGATTTCGTCCAGCAACCTAAGGCTCCCCAGATGACTCGAGACTTGTTCTCCTCAAAAAGATTAATCTATTCCAACTGCATTTTTGAGTTAACTCTTCGTAAGCAACTTCTTTTTAATAGTCATTTATTGAACATTAAAATAATGTACTATATGTACTAAAAAATAATCGAAAGTTAATTTTATTTAATTTATAATTATTATTTTTTATTTACCTCGTATTTATTTTTGATCTTATTTATATTTGTGAGTCGAGTATCAATTTAGTCAACACTGTCAGCCTGACCGGACTGTGTGTGTGCGTGCGCGACAGACATACGCATTCCAACTGGCCAGAGCGAGTGGGCATTAGTGAGAGAGTTTGTAAGTGGGAGAGCGCCATTTGTGCGCCTTGTGGAGTTGCCTACTCATTATATTTGCCGGCAGCAGCAAGCATGCGCTCTCTGTCTGACCAGTGTTGACTGGGGCGCAGGCGGCGTTGGCGCTGACGTTGGCTTTTTTGTAGCAGCCAGCAGCGACGACGCCGACGCCGACTCGACTTGGACTTGAGCTTCAGTTGTGCTCAATGCTCAGTCGCCACCTCAGTCACAGCCGCAGTCGTTTACAGAGCTCAGTCCGGTTTTGGAGCCGAACGTTGAGCGCGAATCGCGGATTGCATTTGCTTGCTTGCTGCATTAATTGTTGTCGTTGTTGTTTATTTGTTAATGTCTTGCTTCTGCTGCTGGCTGCTAGCTGCTGCCTGACAAATCCCATTACCCATAAATATCAGAGTGCGTCACTGTGCATGCGAAAAATTAAATAGCCGACGGCTCTCAAGTGAAATTTGTGTGCGATTCAGAAAAACAAAAAAAATACGAGAAGAAACTAAAAGCAGATGTCGCTAAATAACACAAAATATATAATTTAAAGTGCCCGAAAGCTGAACGAGAATTGAACGTAAGTTAACAACACAAAAATGTGATCGACATATTTTGTTTATTTTTTAATAGTGAGCAGATAAGACAGCTCCACTACCCCCTCTAAATAAAAAATAAAATAAAATGAAAGTGAGCTCGAGTCGCATATTCCGATCTGATTTCCAGGCTCAAAATACTTCTTATCGCAAACACACACAACAACAACACACACACACACATGCAAAGATCAAAATTTGTATATATATTTCTATAGAATCTGGCGTCGGCACTGATAATAAAATTTCATGTTCGACGCTTCGCTGATTAGCTGCGCCCAGCTTTGAAAGATATTTTTGGTGTATTTTTGAGGATGGCGAGCTGCCGAGATGCCGAGCTGGCGGAGTATTGAATTTGTTTAGTTTGGGGCATTCCCAATGCATTATTTGCCTGTGCGTTAGTCTCGTAAAATGAATATTGCTTGCCACAAGGCCTGGCAGCGGACAACGAAATCATGTACAAGTGATTAAATTAATTAATGATATAGACACTGCGCAATAATGTCCACGCACAGCACACAAGACCCCAGAGTCGATGAGTCGTCGAGTCGTCGAGTCGCCAAGTCTCCTCGTATCTATCCATCTGTTTATTCCTGCTCTTGCTCTCCAGCTCTCCAGCTCTTCCTCCTGCTCTTCCACGGGCTGTGTGGTGTTCCTGTTCTGCGCCGCATGATGCTGGAGAGGCGATCTTCCACACTAACTGGGCGCGCAGAGGCGCACAGATCGTTGTCTGAACTTGTCGTACACGATGTCTTATACGTGTAGCAACAATTTATTTCGCATGCCCAAATGGCCCGATCCCATCCAAATCGATGAGCATCAGCGGCGATCAATCAAGCGGAGTAAGCTTCACTTGTAGCCAAATGCTGCTCTGGCCATAATCAATATTAGCTAGCTAAAAATAATACAAAATGCCTTATCTTTATCTACTTACCAGTGGACAGTCTACCGTCTGCACTTCGTATATGAAGCCAAGGCAGGCAGAATCTTGAGATGCTCATACAAATATAAATCATGGGAAAGATTTAAAGTGAGCTATCATCTATATATGTATAATATTTCTCATGAAATTTGAATTGAGTTGATCAGTGGTAGGGCGTTTCATATATTCTATATATATAACGAAAATAGCAATTGATCGATGTATAATTTGTGGATTCAGCAGATTGTGCAATCATAATAACTATAAATCTCACATTGAATTTTAAACAGACATATTCAAATAAAAATTCAGATTTTTATTACTATTCTTCTATTCACATTTATACTTAATTTTCTTATTCATTTAGGTTTCTATTTACATTTTGATATTCATTAAAGTAATCCAAATATAAAAATATATTAACCAATTGCAAGTTCTTTAAATATCGGAAAAAAAAAATTATATTTTAATATCGCTTTAAATATTTTTACGACATGAAGAGACCGTCTTATTATAATATAATTTATATGTTTAAATAGTGACTTACGAATATGAACTATCTAACTGAATTTAAGTAATTTTCTTTGTGCTAAACATTAAAGACAGAAAAAATCTATGCATACCCAAAAAAACTGTCATCTGTTTAAAAAACACATTGATTAATTAAAAGTTGTAATCAGTATTGTTATTTATTGGACCTGTGTTATTCAATACAATTGTTTATAATACACATACATAGAATCTTTAGTGCTTATCAGTCGTGAAAGTGGGGACTTCATTGCAATATTATAATAAATACATATGTGAATATATGGAATATTTTGTATATATGATTGACAATGGGCAATAATCTTATAATCTCTATGTACAAGTATAATTGGAATCTTCTATTGATGAGTCAGTTTGTATATTAAATATATATGTATATATTTGTATAAATTAAGACTTGCTTAAACGCTGAAAAAAAAAGAAACAACTCATTTGGCTCGCACTTTGTTAGCCAAGAATTTTTATGACTCGCGTAATTAGTTTTGTATTTTAGTCTACATATTTCAGAGATGTTTTATGGTACAGGTGCCCTCAGTAGAGAGACCTAATCTTCGTGTGTTTTCTCGCGTTTTAACACACACACACACACAAACACCAAGGGAAATGCTATTAAAGCAACGAGTAACTGTGTTTTATATATTTCCAACTAATATCTGTGTCCAAAGTGCTAATTGAAGCATCTTGTCTCCTAGTCTCTGGCTTGAAACGCGGGTCAAAGCAGTCAAAGTTCTTTGCTTTTGTGTGCTTTGTTTATAGCCTTTTCTTTTTGTTAAAGTTGTAAGAGTGTGTGAGTGGAAAGAGGGGAGGGGGGGGGGGCAGAGTTAGGGGTCTATCTAACTGTCCTGTCCGACTGACTGACGACAAGTGCCTACACCTCTTTCAGGTAAACTGTCAAAGTGGAGATTGTTGTCGGGCCATGTTAACAGGCTTCGATGTCGAATTAATTAAACTAACTTGCAACCCCATTCAAGTTAACAGCCAATGCTCACACATACACAGACTCCCACACACACACACACATATGCACACTTGTGTGTAGCCTGCACCTCAATTTGTACTTTTCAAAAGCGAAATCCGACTTCTCAGTTTGAATTTTGGTCAAATGTAACCTGAGGCCCTGGACTGCCCTCCTGCCCCCCAGGCGAGCGGTCACTCGTCAGTTGTCCTTAGGCCACATTTAAAGCAGAAAGGACATAATCACCCATCACATATTTTACAAAAGCTGAGACATTGTCTTCTGGCTATTCTTGTTAACTTTGAGATGGATTTTGAGTGTAACATATTGTTTTGCTCAACCCAATGAAACTATAGAAATGCTTACATTTCTTTTGATCAATTCATTCAATTGAAATAATTGAAACGCTTTTGCTAAATGCTTAGCTAATCGAATTAGTAAGACAACCCTTAAGAAATATATATATATAATAATCTCTATGTATAAATATGCTCTATCTATATCAAGTATTTTGGCGGTATTTCTATTCTAAACTGGTCCTTCTGTTTTTAAGCTATCTTGATGCAACTTGCCATATGTCTAATTCCTGCCTCACCCAGTACATATGTCGTAGCAGGCTAAATCAGGTTACTATAACATAAAACTTGCAAAAATGCTTTTGTTTAATAAGATATCGGAACTCAATTTACCCAATATTATGACTTTGACATTTGGACTAAAAGTCTTGGAGAACTGATATTTATATACTATATCTCCCTTGATAAAAATATTATCCTAACCAAATTCAATACTTATGCTTATTATTGTGCTCCAAAAACATGTTGGCAACAACTTTTTAAGATCAGATTGCTATATCAATTAGATATCATAGGTTGATTTTTAAATTTATAAGACAAAAGTTTGACTCCGGTTAAAAAGTGTATTTAATTTTCTGTGTGCCCCAGAAAGCTGTTCTTTCCTGTTCTTGTTGATAATCATATTCCGAACATTTCAATCGATTGTTAAATACATAAGTTATTCCAAACCAATGTTGAACGTAGTGCAGAGTATCAGTTATTAGTACATTTACAGGGCATTTTTCACATAAAACACTTTGCAGCATTCTGATTACTTTTATTCGCAACAAGCTCAACTGAAATTTAATTTCCTGCACATGTATAAAAGAGGTCAGATGTTGTATAAAAGCTCATCAGTTCAGTTCAGTTGGGCTCAGCTCAGCTTCCAAACGAGCACACGATACCCTGGCACCCCCGCACCGCCCACTGTGGCATCTCCTGTAACGTGTGTAGGAGCCACAGACAAACTGTTTGGTCATTGATTGGAATATTCATTGAATAGTTTTTAAGCTGATTTATATGCCATTGTGTGCTGTCGACAATTTAATAAATATTTAATTTCGACGCTCTGCTTCTAAATCCATACACATAAAAGATTCAATAAAGCGAAGCCGACCAGGTGAGCCATGGCTGCCCCTTCATCATGACGACGATGATGACGTTGCATTCAGCTATTATTAATAATAATAACGTGTACTCAAACTCACTCAAACACACACACATACACTCGAGTTTTGCCGACATCGTTGTCGTAATTTGCAAAACGCACAATCGCTTCGTATAAATCAAGAGCCACGTCTCTGGTTAAACCTGTTGTGTGAGACCCTATTCAGATCAAATGGAGCAGCGTTCCCTTTTGCCATATTTCACCTGGCGAATCATAAAAGTATTCAGCACACAGTATTCAGCATACAGTTTTCCGTATTCAGTATTCAGTCTCTTTGTCAGTGCACCCCAAATCCAAAGCCACAGACGTCAACTGCTATCAATCTCAGGTGAAACGAAGCCAGCGTTTTTAGCGTTGCCTTCTATGCAATGATATAACCCCCCACCCCCTTTGTACCCCTCACCGACCTCTACATTAGATAGCTACGTACCGCTCAAAGGAAAGCGGCCGTCGCAATAGATCGCACATTGCAGATAGAGGCGTGCCTGCCACTCCACTCCCGCCCCCCACACAGAGCTCTCTGTGCAGCAGTGGGGAAGGGCAGCCACAAAGACTACGATTCCCTGCGGCACATAACGGAATTGCGAATACTCTTTATAGAGCTCATGATACGAATAAACTTGGGATGTAGATGGCATATATAGAAAATCATATACGGCTTGAATATAAATATCTGTTTTTTTTTTTATCTACTTTTACTTATGATTTCGAATAGATTCGTTAACTAGCAGATACATTCGCAGTTTTGACAGGCCTTTTCAAAAATAGTTTGACGTAGATCAGTAATAATCCCTTATACGAAATAGATGTCCTTAACAAACTGACTTAGCTTAGTGTGTTTGCAAAATATATTTAAATGTCGTTTTCAGTATAAGACTTATAAGTGTATATAAGCACTCAGAAAAACAATCAGACTTAGAAAATCGTAATCGTGCAACGAATAAATCATATTATTATTTAAAATGTATGTTTGTAAAACGGAGACTTGTATCTTACTCATAATTGAGGCTTTATATATTTATATTATATGTATACACAGAACTCTAAAATTAGCT